TACTGTGTGGGAAATTTAGCATAGATTAGGCTCAACTTTGGGTAATGTCCAATGATTCGGACACAAGACTTTTCATACTATGGTAACAGTAAGCCCTGTCCAATATAGCTCTATGCCACTGAAGGTATTGATTCTATAGCTAATTTGACTTAGCAAAGAAATAAAGAACGCTAAGAAAATGCTAACTATCACTAAAGGTCCAGTTGTAGGGGCTTTTTTCAAGCAGACATGTCTTGTAGTGGGAGTGTTTGGCAGCAGTACTGTCAAACATTGATTTTATTATTTAGTGGGATTGACTAATGCTAAAGAACAGCCTTAACCAAAGATGTTATGGCTACTTTGAGGCAGTGAATGGCAAAATATTAACAAAGTGCTAACAGGACTGGCAAGGCAAAGCTAATCTGACAAGGCAAATGGTCAAATAATGACAAAACGCTAATTGGCATAGCAGCATAACTGGGCAAACTTTTCAAGTGGGTGTGTCCAGAAAGCAGGCGTGGCCTGTATTTTCGCAGGACCCAGATGGATACTGTTGGATGAAGTCCATTCATTAAATATCCATGACACATTGGATTTGCCCAGAGTAGAAACAACTTCTGGGCCATGACAGGAGAGCTTGCCAAGTTTTTCCACGTCCTCACAAGGTCCTCAGTAAGACGGAAATGTTGACAAATATAGTGCTTTTACTGTGAACTTGTGTGTGGGGAATTTAGCATAGATTAGGGTCACATTTGGGTAATGTCCAGTGCTTAGGACACAAGACATTTTATATTATAGTAACAGGAGGACCTCTCCCATACAGCTCTATGCCACCAAAGATATTGATTCTATAGCTAATTTGACTTAGCGAAGAAACAAAGAATGCCAAGAAAATGCTAACTGGCACTAAAGGTGTAATTGGGCCCAGAGACAACTAACAAAATGCTAGCAGCAGCACTAAAGCAAATCTGACAAGACAAATGGTCAAATACTGACAAAATGCTAATTGGCATTATCAGCTTAACTGGGCCCACTCTTTTCCTGTAGTGGGCGTGGCATGCAGTCTTAGATAGATGCCAAAGTCCATTCATAAATGGACAAATAGATTTACTTACTGCAGAACAACCTTTGGGCTATGACATAAGAGCTTGCCAAGCTTTTCACTTCCTTAGAAGGTTCTCAGTAAGATGGAAATGTTAGATATATATGTTTTTACTGTGAAGTAGGTGTGGGGAATTTACCATGCCTTTAGGTAATGTCCAACAATTAAGACACAACACATTTTATATTATGGGTACCTCGCCCATATGCCTCGTGCACCACTGAGGGTGAGACTGGGCATCAGAATTGGCAAAAAAAAGAGGAACAGAACACAAGGAAGGCAAGGAGAGAAACTGGGAAGGAGTAGAAAGGGGAACTGGCAAGGAGGAGAAAAAAATAAGTGAGCCCTGCTCTCTATTCTTGCTCTCTCAGCCAAAATCCCCATCCCCTCCTTCCTCCAAACGCATTAGTCACAGATCCCTGGTGGGTGAGTAAGTTTTCCACCTACAGCCACCCAGGCAAAGGACCTCACATCTGCCCAGTTCTAGTCCACTGTAAAAGAGGGATTGAGGGGGTGGATGGGATGTTATAACCCCCTGCTGACAGTAAAAGTTGTTCTCCTAAACAGTGGAGGCCTGATGCACAGAGAATTTATCCACAAGTACAAAGGTCAGGCCTTAGGGTCAGGAGTTTTTAAGCTTTATCTTCAGCATTTAGCATGTATACATTTGACTTTACACATAATTCAATACAGCAGGGGTGCTCAGTCCTGGTCTTGGAGATCTACTACCCTGGAGAGTTCAGGTTCTAGTGTTCAGATGCCCCTGAAGATCCTCCTTTACCAGGATGAGGTGTGTTAAATTAGGATTGGAGCTACTCTGCAGGCTGGAACATCTTCAGGAGCAGGATTAAGCAACCCTGCATTACAGTCATTAAGTCACAAGCCTAAGGACACCAGAGCTTGTATTGTGATAAACAGAAAATGCAACCATCTTCTAAGACTGAACTTTGTAGGTGTGAAAAATATCCCTGCAGATTTCTTTGACAAACTGAAACCAAATCGCCTGAAAATTATTATTACATTCATATTTTATATCATTATTATCATATTTAGTTGTTGAGGCTTCTGTTGACTGGAAAGGAAATAGATGAAGGGTGGTTTCTGACTTTTGCACAGCACTGCAGCTGTGGCATGAAATTGTTGAATTCATATTGTATTTGATGATATTATACAGGCCACATCGTAGGTGTGCATTGCATTCATCATTTCTCTTCATGTTTTCGTCTGTTTTCTGTTTTTTTCTCTTTGCCATGTGTCATGATGAACATGACTGAAGTTTCCCTCATTAAGAATGACCATGAAGGCCTCCTATGCTACTGTCCAATTGTTCTGCATTGCAGTAATTTATCCAGAGCTAAAATTATCCACAACAAAAATAACTGATAACATGCATGTGTTTAAAGAATATGCATAAAGACAGAATGAGTGAGACAAACAGAAAGCAAGACACATCAACATACAGAGAATCAGGTCCCTGGACAAATATGGTAATAGGTACACGTGCTGCAGCACGTAATCGCCCGGATGGGAGGGACAGGAAGTGAAACTGACGTTAAGGTGTGCTCCCGAGCAGGTAGGAGGAGAGATAACAAAAGAGAAAGAGAGGGGGTAGGCAGGCAGAACACAAACTGGATATTGCTGGTCTGTATGGGTCACCTAAGAGGAAGAAAGAGGGAGAGTGCAGAGAGAAGGAGGAAAGAAGGCTGAGGCCTACGTGTGCGACTGCATGTTATTCTGAGGAAGTCATTCACACAAATGTGCAACACTGCGACGTGTCATCTTTGCCAATCACCGACAGCTGGGTGTCAAATGCTGCTTATAGGAATCTGAATGGGGTGGATAGGAGTGGGCAGAAATCACTAAAAATAGCCAGGCAAAAAATTCTGTGCTCAGAACATTAAATCTGAAAGTGAATGTTAAACATGAGCACTTACAAAAGCTGTGGTCAAATTTTGTTTCATTCCTTCACTTTAGTTTCATTGGTCTGCCACCCTTCAAGTGTCTTTTAACCAACAGTATTAAGCCCAATTTTAAATTTAAGGGGCTAAGACTCAACATTTTTGTTGTTGCAACATTTTTACATGACTATTTTCTAACCTCTTTTTATCTCTTAAATCAAACAGGCTACTTTCAATGTTTTCATTCTACATCAAACTCTAATCTCAGAACTGTGAAAAAAAATTGGCTTTCTGTGGCATGGGTATTTAAATATCAGTATTTTATAAACCTACTCTATTTACTGCTATTATTGTAGTCTTATGTATTTCTTTAACCCATTATGGGCTTCTTGACTGAGACACTTTATCATTTTTATGCTAACATCTCATGTTATGCCTTTCATTCAGGACAATACAGTGATACTTTGACTGTTGTAAAAGGATGTGGTGGCTGGATATTTTGTGAAACAGGCCCATCTAGTGGTCAAATTTAATACTGTTTACATACAGTTTGAGTTAGCTGACCAAGACAGATCACTGTGAAAAACTATTTTTTGGGTTTTTTTTTTGTTTTTTGGGGGGTGGGAGGTTTAATCTGAACTAAGTTAGCCAAAAAATTGCGTAGCTAACATTAAAGCTGGCTTACAGAGCCCCTAAGGTAACATGGTGATTAATTTTAACAAGGCGTGCCCACAAGTAATGCACTGAAGCCACAAGTTACTATATTGTGGCGTCTACCACGCACTCTGCATTTCAAGAGGAGCTCGGGGGGACATGGTATGCAAAGTTGTGCCATGCATACTCTGGCCCCCTCCATTAGAAAAGATAATTGCTGTTGCTGTGTTGTTGTTTGTTGCTGTACTGAAATGTGTGTATGTGTTGTTGGTGTGTTATTGTGTTGGGCTGTGGGATTAATTGTGTGGGTTAGTGTGTCTACCAAAAAGTGAAACTGTATGGCTAGAAATGATCTGACTATTATTTCCACAAATTAATATATTAAGGCTACAAAATACTATATTGAGGCCACAAAGCACTATATTGAGGCCACAAATTACTACATTGAGGCCACAAATTAATATATTGAGGCTACAAATTACTATATTAAGGCCACAAATTACTATGTTGAGGCCACAAATTAAAATATTAAGGCCACAAATTAATATATTAAGGCTACAAATTAATATATTAAGGCCACAAATTACTATACTGAGGCCACAAATAACTATATTGAGGCCAAAGATTGCTATACTGAGGCCACAAAGTACAATATTGAGGCCACAGAATTACTATATTGAGGCCACAAATTACTATACTGAGGCCACAAAATACTATATTGAGGCCACAAATTACAATGTTGAGGCCACAAATTAATATATTAAGGCCACAAATTACTATATTGAGGCCACAATTTAATATATCGAGACCACAAATTGATATGAGAAACTTAACTCAAGCTATTATTTTGTGGTCATGCCTCATTAAAAAATTAATCACCAAAATATCACCTTTTAGGCTCCATACTGGTGATTGATGTATAAGTTACATCAATAAATACAAAAAAGCTCTAATTAAAAAAAGTTAGCAAACATAACATATATATAAACAACTAAGTCTAAAATATAAGCCATGATACTAAATTACGTAATTAAGTAACTTAACCTAGCTAACTAATTAACCTAAGTTAGTTCCATCTCACCAACCAAGAAGACTGGCTGCTGATCGATACATTATTGTACCAAATGTATAAAGAAAAGTCTGTTTATAGAAATTCTGTTCAGTTTACAGGACTGTTTACTAGCTTAACAAATACTGGATTTATAATCAGTCTATATTCGTCTAGAAATGAGTAACGTTAGAACAAAAACAGGTATTACGGAAATTAAGGTTCATTTACCAAGGAACTGCAAGCAAATAACAACACGAGTTAATCCGTTGCTATGACAACGTACATTCTATGAAAAAACGCGAGAACTTACGTCGTGGCGATGACGTAGCACGTCGACGTGAGAGTGTGGAGCGCTCCGAGCAACAAACAACAACAAGCAAAAAGCCAAAAAAACGGCCAGCTTGTTTGTGAAGACGCTATTAGCTGTTTCGCTGACGGTCCACAATGAGTGTGGACAAAGCAGAGCTGTGTGATTCCCTGCTCGTCTGGGTAAGATCCGCTTCGGTTTGGTTTCGGTGTGGGACGGTTAGCTTAGCTCCGGGAGTCGCTAACAGCTTCAACTGAAACCGTGTTGTTGCCTGGAACAGGTGGAACCTGAGTTTATTCAGCTGAGAGACATGACTTGATTTTGTTCATGCCTGGAACTATTTATTCCCCTTCGAATGACTCCGTTTTATTTTCCAATGAGATATGACTCCATTTTACTGATTTGTGAGCCATGACTTGATTTTATTCTCATGTGAAGCATGACTTTAATCTGTGAGTCATGGCTTGCCACTCACACTAGGCTCTCCAAACGGAGCTGAAGTTGGCTTGTTCGAATAGTGCAGCAGCAACCTGAGGTGCCTGAATGTATCTACAGAAGCATTTAAGGTGGAACGGGAATATGAAGCCAACTTCAGCCTCTTGTTTACCAGCACAATAAAGAATACAGCATATTTCTGTGTTTTACTATGGTTTCATCCCTCACCAACAGTAAGCTTTCTGTAAGATTTCATTAACCCCTCAGGAACAGTAAGTGCTGAGCTGGATTGATTGTTGACTCCAGCGTGTCTGAGCGGACATGTGCCAAAGTCTGCTAGCTGGCTTGAAGCCATTACGCAATCGGCCAAAGGTCTTAAAAGGTCTTTCCAGTGCTGCCACCTGAATGCATTCCCATTGATCTATAATACAGAAGTCAACGTCTTAAAGATTGTTGGGTCAAATGTGTCTGACAGTCTAACTGTGCAAAGTGTGCCCCATTGCACATTCACACCACAAACTGACCCTGACTCTTTCTGAGGTGGGGAGTCAGTTATCTTCGGCCTTGTCTGTTATCACTTCATTGAGATGCCACATCATCTGTACAAAGCCGTGCAGTTTGTTTATAAGCGCCAATAAGGAATCCCTCCAGCTGACAGGCTGCCTTTTGATGCTTCATCATAAGGAGACTGTCAGCCACGTCCTTTTTAGACTGTGAAAACTGAAAAACAATAGGATCCACATTTTTACCTGTTGCTGTGATGTGTTCACAAAATTCTGTGTTATGAACGGGTCATTAAGAGAGTTGTCCCTATGATAATTGCCCTTATCCAAGTTCAAGTCCCAGTTCAACATTTGTGTTTTTGTAGATAATACAGCTAGATAACACACTGCACATTTCAAGTACATTAAAGTTGGTAAAACCAGTCTTCATTCCAATTACTGCAACGTGTTGTAGTAAAATGGCTTAGTGAAATATTTATTACATGCATAGTGTTGCACATTCAGAACTGATGTATGTTTGTTTATTTGATCGTTTTATAGACTTTTGAATACACCAGTCTTGAGAACAAGCATATAACCAAAGCACTAGTATTATTCATATCACAAACAGGCCTGGGACCCCTTATTGGTTTTATTGATAGTTATCAATGACCAGCATGAATTCATTTATTATTTTTCTTTCCGTTTTGTTTACATGAGTGTTCTGTGCTCCCATCTATGATCTGAAACTCCTGATTTTACTTCATTTGCACACAAAGCCTTGCTAGTGACTGTCACACTGGCATGCAGACACTAGGAGTATAAGAAAGCAATTGTGACGTGACACTGCAAACTGGCTGTGCATTGTGGAGAATGCACAGCCAATGGGTAACAGCCCATTCTGCTAAAGTTAATGACTGACTCGTAGTAGAGCTCTACAGCAGTGCTGTGTGGTGGAGACTGAGAGTCTACTTAAGCTTGGAGTTCAGAGCATTAAAAGGAGTGAACAAACCACATGAGCAACCATAAGCTTTAATGTAAAAAAGTTGCCATTAGTGTTATTGTGTGCATGTACAAAAGTTGTTTTGAGTCAACTGAGGAGAGAAAACACCACTGGGCAGTGTTGTGGCTGACAAGAGCAGGAGAGAACAACAGAAACCTGTTCTGTAATTAACTAAACTAATACACAGATCCTTGTTTCTACGCTCATTGTCCATTTTATCAGCTCCATTTACTATGTGGGTGCACTTTGTAGTTCTACAATTACAGACTGTAGTCCATCTGTTTCTCTGCATACTTTATTAGCCCCCTTTTACCCTGTTCTTCAGTGGTCAGGGCCCACCGTTGACCCTCACAGAGCAGGAACTATTTGGGTGGTGGATCACTCTCAGCACTGCAGTAACACTGACGTGGTGGTGGTGTGTTAGTGTGTGTTGCGCTGATCTGAGTGGATCAGACACATCAGACACAGACACCCCATTGGTCTGTTTTGGGCCCCCTCCCCCTTATGCTTGGACTCTGTAGTAAGGGCCTTGAGCTTTCCCTATGTAAATGGAACCTATTGGAACCTATCCTAGAAATACTGAAAGTTACTGTAGAATGCCCATAGATTTACATAGCTAAACTATATAAATTAATTGATCATTTTATAGTGATTTCAAAATTTGACCCGCTAACTATTTTTGACTTTAAAATAGTTCCACTCCTAAGACATTTCTTTTTATTTAGCTTGTCAACTTCTGAGCTCATGTCTCATTGCCACAAAGCGTACACCTTTTTTGTCAAAGTGTACACCTGTGCTGTTAAGAGTGCAGTAGGCTTACCAAAAGATCAGAACTGGATCAGGCTTAAAATCAAAGTGAATCAGTAATCATTATACATTTTCCTTTTGTACCAGAGTAAAACACTATTAAGGAGGATCTCTGAGTTAGCGGAATGTTTTCATTCAGTGACGGGTGTGGGTAAAACATGATGTTGCTTAATATTATTTTTCCTTGCCTGTTGGCACACGGTGACATAATCAAAACTTTAGACATTTTAGAGATGGGGAAAAAGTCATTACATTTTAATGGAGGATTATGGGAAAACAGGCATTAAAATATGCTTTGATCATCTCCACTATTGATCTATCACATTGGGTTGTGACGTACCACGTCATTAACTAAGCTTGTCTAATTCTAATCTTACTTTTCTTTTTTATCTTGCCTTGACAGCTGCAGATGTTTCAAGTGCCGTCATGTACGAGCAAGCGTGACCTGACAAACGGAGTGGCCATCGCTCACGTCCTCCATAAAATGTAAGACACATCTTACAGTTTGTGTACAGTTGCATTGGTGTGTCCACTAAAATAGAATTTCACTAACTTGAGTCCTGTAGGTCTAATGTAAGTGTGATCATGAGCAAAAGTGAGGAGAAAGTTTTCTAAACTAAGATAGAGTATCCTGCTAATTCATACTAGTCTTACCAGCTCTGCATGTTACCTGGGTCCACATTTTGAATATGACCACTTGTTATGTTCTTATACACCGATCAGGCATAACATTATGACCCCCTCCTTGTTTCTACGGTCATTGTCCATTTTATCAGCTCCGCTTACTATATAGGTGCACTTTGTAGTTCTACAATTACAGACTGTAGACTTTTACAGACTTTTATAGGAAGCACTAATAAAATATAACATTATGTAATCCCCATTTTTGATATCTAGATTATTGATAGTGATAGAGTATGAGATAGAGCTAAAGAACCTTTACCTTCTAGCCCATACTCCGCCTTTTAGACTGAAGTATGTAAATGAGCTCTATTCTGATTGGCTGCCTTGTATTGTGCTTTATTCAAAAAGCAGTCTAGGCTGAAACGCACCTTATAACTTTAGTGTGAATAGGCAAGGTGAATTCTATTTTCCGTGATGTGGGTCCTGTAATGTCAGTATTGGGCACAGCAGTTATTTCTCGGGTTTATAGTTCTGTAATGTGTGTATTGTCCACTCTTATCCTTTCAGAGACCCATCCTGGTTTAATGAGACATGGCTGGGGAGGATAAAGGAGGAGAGCGGAGACAACTGGAGGCTCAAGGTAACCGAAAGATTTGCTTCTCTCGCTGTTGGGTGGGCTAAATTTGCTTACTTCTGTTGAAGTTGGCTATTCTTAGCTACGTTAGTAACTAAACCTAGCAGACTCTTCTAAAAGCCAGAGACGGCAAGAGAAATGCTACAGAAAGGACAGTGCATAACATAACATAAGCTAGTGTAAAATTTATCTTTTTTCAGAGGCAAACTCTGTCATCAGCGTTCATGCAGCCAGTCTGGTGTAAATGAAGCCTGTGTGCTATGCATTTTCCTCCACTGCATGAGGTCTGTGCAACGATGACCCTGTTTGAATGTGTCTGTTCTCAGGTCAGCAACCTGAAGAAGATTCTACAGAGTATGATGGAGTATTACCATGATGTAAGTAGGGTGATCCTGAACGTCCTGAACCATTAGTGATGAGTATTGCAACACTGCGGTTGTTTCCAAAACATTAAGTGTGGAATCTTCAAATTCCAAAGTCTAAACTCAATCTCCCTCCCTCTCTCCCTCCCTCCCTCCAAATATCTAGGTGTTAGGGCAACAAGTAGAGGACGAGCATGTTCCAGACGTTTCTCTGATTGGAGAGATGGGGGATGTGGTGGAATTAGGTCGGCTGGTGCAATTGGTTCTGGGCTGTGCTGTCAGCTGTGAGAAGAAGCATGGTAAGCAAGGGCTCTATTGTGACCAGGGCCAGCCAAACATAGGCTAGTTGTAATGTTAGTGTTTACTAAATTCAGGTTTGACATTACTACATCAAAATGGGTTGTTCCACATAAACTGGTTGCTATGTTGAGATTAGCAGGTAATATTTACACTTACCCCTGTTGTAAGACATGACAACTACATAGTAATAGCTAGAAAACCAATGACAATTATATAGATTGTACAAAAAGCTGGCACTTCCACTTCCTCCTCTCACACGAGGTAAATCAGCCAGAGCAAAGTAAGCAGGTTGGGTTTAAGTTTGAAATCAATAAATGAAAGACACTAGCTAGCTAGCATTGACCACGTCCTGCTTCTTAACTCTATATTAAGTTCATTTGCTCAAAAAAGCCTACTTATACAGTGTCCTCAATAATTTTTGAGACAAAGGCATGGGTACTTTAGTACATACCTAAATTATTGTTCTTAAAAAGTTCACTCTGGTTTTTTTTTTTCATGTCCAGGAAATTCATCATCTACTTGTCTAACACAAACTTTTACTTGTACCTGACAAGCAGAAAAGCATTAATGTTGATTTCTATCTGTGGAATTCCTTACGCTAATTGTCTGAATCTGAGTCACATTGCCTAAAAGAAAAATAACTTGTCGCCGTTACTACTCAATGAATCTTTTTTGTTCTTCACCTTTTTCCCCTCATTCAAAGTGTTAAATAGAAACCTGCATCAGTCTTGCTGTGAAGGTGTCAGTGTGTTAAATTCGTAAAAGACCTCATGACTACTAAACATTAAATATAGTTTAGCACAACAAATACGACAGATGTTTCTGGATGTGTTTTACTGTGTGAAAGCACAACAGTGTGATATTTACTCATAGTGCAGCTCACTGTTGTGTAAACTAAGTAAAATCAGGACTGGAGTTTCAAATATCGGATTGGCATGCACAGTGCACAGACATGGAAAATGGAAAGAAAAAATAAATTTTACTTATTGGTTTCATGGATAAGAAGTACCAAAATGTAGTATTCAAATACAGCATGAGTGAACCTGGCTCACGTTATTTATATCATAAAATTGCAATGCAGATCTGTCAAAATAAAAACAATAAATTGTTTTCATTGGTTCGTGTTTTGAGTAAAAATCTGCCAAATCCGATCTTGGCCCATTTCAGTGTATCCCTAATGTCCTCACTTTGCCTTTAAGACAGCCCTTATTTTTCAGGAGACTTGCTTTCAGTTTTTCAAAGACATCTGCAGAGATATTTTTCACTCCTCCAAAGTTCAGTCTTGGTAGTTGGTTGCATTGTCTGCTTCTCACAGTCCAAGTAATCCCAAACGCATTCAATGATGTTGAGGTCTAGACTGGGGTGGTTAGTCCATTGTTCTGGAAACACCAGCAGCTTCTGACGTTTTCTGACGTTTCCTTTTCTCAGTAAGGGCTTCTTGACAGCTACACATCCTTTCAGATTCATAGTGTTGAGTGGTCTTCTCACAGTGGAAGGATGGACAGAAACAACTGCGGATTTTTTTAATCTGAAGCAAGAGTGGAGCTTGATTTTCTCGTCTCTCGAAGATGAAGTACTGTCAATCTAATGGTGATCGATTTGGTGGTCTACCAGGTCTTTTTATTCCTTTGTTGAGCTCCAGTTGTGGAAACTAGTTTTTTCCACTTATTTTCTTTTTACTCCTTTGTCTCCTTTCTTATACTAGTGGATTATTTTATTTCGAATCTCCTGAGAAATATATATTGAAAATGAGTAATTAGTTGTACTTAAAGGGCAATTTGACTGAAAATAAAAAAGTGAACAGTAGTCTTTGACTTTTGCCCAGTACTGCACAAAGAAAAAGCGATGGGAAGATGAGGGCAGATAGAAAAGGTTCTCACTCTCTGTATAACCGTGTAACAAGAACACTCTTGTCTCCCTCTCTCCCCCCTGCAGAGCACATTCAGCAGATAATGACCCTAGAGGAGTCTGTCCAGCACGTTGTCATGACAGCCATCCAAGAGGTATGCCTCTTTCTTCAGTTCTTTCAGGTCTTTTTCTCATTGCCCCGTTATGTTTCCCCTGGGTCTCTGTGCTCTGTGCGTCAGAGTGATTCAGGTTAGCTTGAATCCTTTTAAATGACGAGGAATAAGACATTCAGGGCTTTGGCACCTACACACTTTGTCTGAGAAAGTGATAATCTCTAATAGGCAAACTCATAAAGCAGTGTAAGTACAATTGAACAGCTGCGCGCACAGAAAAATCAAAGAATTTTTCATTAAAATGCAGAAGTTCAACTAATTGCAGAAAATATGTGCTTAGGTTGTAACTGTTTTGGTAGCTTTGAACAGTTGTACATGTATATTTTCATTAAAACAGGAGAAAATTGCAGAAAATATTCATTTTGGAAGTGGCAGTACTTAATGTTACAAACTGATTTTTAGAGTTTGGGATACATTTACTTCAAAACAATGAGATCTCACTGCTTAACATGTGGCCATGAGAGACAGGGACAGTCTCGCTTCCTACTCAAAAATGCAGAGGTGTGGCTAAAATGAGACTCTTAAAAAAGGGGTTAGAATTTGGGACAGCTGACCAACAGAAAGTACTGTATAAAGGATGATTTTGTATGTATTGAGCTCATAGAGAGTAGCCATGACATTAAAGTATTTTAACAAGTAGTTCAGGATAGAGTATTTTCTGAGCTATGTAACTGGCTGATCAGCCAAATGGTTAAGTTATTTGCTCTTCATCCCAGAGAGAAGGGTTCAATCCCAGTGCAAAGCAGCACTTACTGGGCTCATAACTAACTCCTTGTTCCTGCCAATCTAATTACGTTGCTCTGGCACACCATGTCATTGTCATCGCAGCTCTCAACAATGTGTTTGTCACAGAAACTTGTATTGCAGGAGCAGTAAAAATACAGCTTATTGCGCAGCCTCACTTGAGTGTCCTATTGCTTTTATATAAGTTTTTAATATCTGTAGTTTCTTCCACCAAAAATACGCTATGGACTTGTTATTTTCCTGGACATGGATTATGCCTTTTCTAAATCGCAGTGCCTAAAGTGATCTCTATTGAAAATTATTTTTAGTCTAGTATTAGGCTTAATCTGCATCTGTGAAACTGCTAATCAGGGGTGTAAATAGGGAGTTTGTCCCTCTTTGCTGCAGTAACAGCCTCTACTTTTCTAAGAAGGCTTTACACCACATGTTGGAACATTGCTGTGAGGATTTGATTGCATTCAGCCACAAGAGCATTAATGAGGTCAGCTAGTGATGTTGGATGATTACTTCTGGATCACAAACGCCACTCCAAGTCATCCAAAAGATATTGGGTTGAGCTTCAGAGAAAGCTGTTCTACTGCTCCACAGCCCAGCGCTGGGTGGGCTTTATACCCTTCTAGCTGAAACTTGGCATTGAGCATGGTGATGTTAAGCTGGCTGGGAATGCCTCATTCTGTTGGCAGTGCCTGAATACCTGAAGTAACTGAATTCACTAATTATAAGGGCTGTCTAGACACTTTTGGACATACAGTTCAGTTTCAGCACTTTAGCTCTCATGTTCTATTGCCTGTGTGTTCTTTGCAACCAGTGATCAGTAGAATGATACAGGAATGATGAAAAAAGTGCAGCTGTCAGATTTAACAACATGGGAAGAATGCTTTTCAACCTGTGTTACCACATACCTGACAGTTATCATATTAAAACCTGTGCTTACTTATTGGTGTCATTTTTAGACTACAGAGTCTTCTCAGGGGGGTTGTTCTTCTACATGCCAACATTACTGTTGACGTAAAGGATCCTTTCATTTTTCTGCAGCATGTCTTTGTGTGCTTTATAGCTGCTCACCCCGCAGGCCACACTTTTAATGACTGACTTACTGTGTGGCTAGAGCTCTTCTTAAGATGGATTTCAACCATGTGAGTGGTATGATCTTTGAGTTAGACCTCTGTGTCCTCAGTAATATTGTGTATTTTGTTTGCTTCTCAGCTGCTGAGCAAAGAGACTGTGGAGTCTGGAAGCCCAGACACATATGGAGACTTTGACTACCAGGTATGGGCTTTTATCTGCGCTACGATTAAACTACAATATTTAGGTTTTGTAGTGTTTTGCTGATCTAAATCACATTGAGATTTTATAACAAAAATGGAAAGTGCAATACAAATAATATGTAGTATTAGTGTTTAGTCCATCTGTTTGTCTGCATGCATTGTTAGCCCTGTTTTACCCTCTTCTTCAGTGGTCAGCCCCCCAGGACCACCACAGAGCAGGTACTATTTGGGTAGTGGATCATTCTCCGCACTGCAGTGACACTGACTTGGTGGTAGCATGTTAGTCTGTGTTGTGCTGCTCTGAGTGGATCAGACATAGCATAGTTTTTAAATACGTCAGTGTCACTACTGAACTGAGAATCTTCCACCAACCAAAATATCCAGCTAACAGCGCCCTGCGGGCAACATCCTGTGGCCATGATGAAGGACTAGAGTAGGGATTCATCGATAACGATACTGGTATTGGGCATCGGGCTGATACTGTGCTCAAGCATACTCATAAAAATGCACCAATACCACCATCTGATACCCCCTGATGACGAAGCTGAACGTACGCTGCTGCACTAATGAACAAATGACTCAACTTGGCAGTGAAGGAGGCTCTGCTCACACAGAGAAGTGTTAAAGATCTTGTGACAGCTGGACAAAAAGTCAGTGGTCACTTTAAACATTCTGCCACATTTCTGCCAGACCTACTGTGATTTTTAGCCTGTTTTTAAGCACACAAGCACAACTGCTTCCCTAATATGGGTGGTAGACAAGTAGGCTAGAAAGAAAGAGGCAAAAGAGTCAACATTTCCAACCGTATTTCCGTACATGCCGACTTTACTCTGTTTAACTAAACAGAATAGCGAGGTATAAATGTTAATGCGATGACTTTGTTTTGTAAAATAGGCTGTACAGAGACCACATTGTCCCACCGCATACATCCATGCCTGGCTTTTAGCTTCAGTGCTCAGTGTTAACAGCACTGCTCAGTTTCTCTTTGCTTTGTGTGTGTGTATATATACATATGTGTGTGTGTGTGTGTGTGTGTGTGTGTGTGTGTGTGTGTGTGTGTGTGTGTGTTGGTTGTTTCTGTTTTGCTCTTATTCTTGCTTATTTCTTTCACTTAGTCAAGGAAGTATTATTTTCTGAGTGAAGAGTTGGATGAGAAGGACGATGTGTCCCAGCGTTGTAGGGAGTTGGAGCAGCAGGTGGGTGAAAAGTCACTGGCACTGAATCTCCATTTCATCATTACCGTAAGAGAACCTCATATCTCCAAAATGCTAACTTTATAAGACACTGATAAAACCTTCTTTACATCTGATAATGTAACTCTAAAGTGTAAACTGTAAAGGAACAGTAATTTTGAAAAAAAAAAGTAAAGTGAGATTATTGGTAGTGTTGGCTGCAACAAAGCATTGATTAACAGTTTATTAAGGTCAAAATTCTATATCAGTGCATCCCTAGATGCAGTGTGTTTGTGTTTCATGCAGCTGTGTCTTGCTGTGTAATTATACTGACCTGCTTGTCTTTGCTGGGTTTGCCTCCCTGACTTGCTGTTTGCTCATAAAGGGTCTGCAGTATCTTCAGAGTGTATGTGAGGCTCTGTGCACAATCACAAAGCTATTTCACCTTTTGGGTAAATGACATTAAGAAGGAGATTAGACTTCTCGATTTCAAAGAGATTACGTTTAAAGCGTGAGGGGTGGGGTTACCATGGCAATGTATCCTTGGAGTCTGGCTGGGAGCAGGAAAATCTGGCACTGACCCCAGAGCCCCACAGCTCTGTCGCCAGAGGAGTCTGGGATACAGAGAAACATTTATTCACTTTACTCTTAGAAAGGTCTTTTTGCAGTGACTTCTGTTTCCTGGCTGTGGCGCAGAATGAGCTTAGATTAATTTGACTTTATCTGGACTAAGCCTAATCTTGAATTGTGTCACACTGCTGGTAGACATTCTACATTGAAGATCCTTTTTTAATCCAAGGCTAGGTTTAATCTATGTCTGGAAAACCAGCCTTATTTTTAATGTAGAGCTAAATTACGTGGCCAAACGTAGTGTATTTTTCCAGATCATTCTACATTAGTGTATGTAGGGTACATTTGTGGAGATGGAACAAGTTTAGTCTTTAGTCTAAATTATAATGCTGGTGATGTTCACCATCAAGATAGGGGTGGACAATATGATGTGCTTTTTCGGGCATATCATAGATATCGTCAGTACTTAAGGAACACTGCATGAATACTGCATGTTTCTTTGCAAGGAGAGTTTAATTGTATTTGTACAAATTAGATTTTCATAGAATTTTAAATATGGCACTTCTGGTTCTGTTGGGTTTTTTTTTGTTTTTTTGTTTTTTTGTGTGTGTGTGTGTGTGTGTGTGTGTGTGTGTGTGTGTGTGTGTGTGTGTGTGTGTGTGTTCCAGCCTATCAGAACTCTGCAAAACTAAATATCACGATACACATTATGTATCATAGAAATGTATTCAAGTACTTGTACCATATCATCCACCCAACGTCAAAAGTGCATTTTAAATGCAGTACATGGACACATACTGTTAATTTTTCTAGAATATACATGAAGTCAGTGGTGTTTTACCATTATAAATCCCATTTTTCTAGATTTAGCCTAAAACTAGCCTATAGAATTTGGCACTGACCCAGTTTTTGCTGTTCAGGGGGAAGCCTGTAATAAAATTTGTACGTCTCCTAAGTCAGATGGCAATAAAATTACCACAGAATGATGGAGTTTGTAGTGGGTTTTATTTTCTCTAAGCACAGATGTTTGCATCACATGTGATCATGTGTAAGTATACAGTAATGCTTTATACCTGTTGCTGCCATTATAGTCACCATTTTCATGAGCCTTTCCATTTTAATGATCTTGCTTTTCAGATTTACATTATTTTTCTCTCTCTTCCTGCTAATGAATAATGCTTGAAAAATAAAATATCAGGACATTTCCGCAGGACCCCTTGTAAATTTAACCTTGTCTGAATATGGCTAACCACTATGATAAAAACCAAAGTGCAGACAACCAGCTTTAGTTTGAAGCTATAGGAATTCTGTAATTTAACATTTTATATATAGAGCTGTATTAATCCAATTAAATACAATTAATTATGATCTCTTTGTAATTAAACATGTAGTTGGGAAGTGTTTTTAAGTACTGAGGATATCCACAATATATTCAGAAAAGCATATATGTATATGTGTGTGTGTGTGTGTGTGTGTGTGTGTGTGTGTGTGTGTGTGTGTGTAAAATATATAGATAGATAGTTATAAATAATTATAAGTAGATAGATAAGTAGAGTCCTATTATTTGGCCTATTATAAGCTCAAGAGCTCAAACAGTCCCTTTATTGGTGGACATTAGCTCCTACAAGGCAAAAGTCTTTTCTGACTGTGTTACAAGGAGAATCCACAATGCTAAAGTAAGATATTTGTCCCTATAAAGATCGAGGTAGGCCTCTGATTCATTCATTATGGAATCATGATGTCCACTATGTGAGTATTATTTCTCTCAGTTATTTATATCTCTACCTGCTTAACACCAACACAAGTTTTACCAGCACCTCAAGCATAATGTCAGGGCAAAATGTTCCATTTGAGTAGCATGCGTTTACAGCTAACTGTGTTTGCCCTTTAACATCCGAAACATGGAAAAGTACAAAACGACTAACAGCATTGCATTATGTCCTTTAATGCTACTGTCATAATTTCAGTGCATGCACTTTCATTGTTACATTACTTATACTTAAATGAGTTAATAAAAAAACACATTTTGCTTGAAAAATAACACAGAACAAACACAAGTTAAACTGTGTTGTAACAGACAATACAGCCTATGTGTGCACAGTGTATAACACAGTTGCATCATGTCCAGAACGACCAGCACCAGTTAACCTCTGAAGAAGCACTTGAACTGTTCTTGTCCTGTGTCCTGTCTCTATTGTAACTGTTTGGTTGTGTGTGTGGTTGCAGTTGTCTGTGCTAATGGAAGAGAAGTCCACGATGCAGACAGAGCTGCAGTCCCTGAAGGACAGGCTGAGTCGCTGTGAGCCTCAGGACGCCTCGACCACCATCACAGGCAAAAAACTGCTGCTGCTGCAGACCCAGTTAGAGCAGCTGCAAGAGGAGAACTACAGGTAAGGGCCTGCTCGCAGAGCTCCACACTGAGGCCCATGGCCAAAATCATATCCAGTGAACACTCGATTAACACTGATGTTAATGAGTAGTGCCGTCATGGTAGTTATGCTGATAGTAGTAGTTATGCTGATAGTAATCTAACACGTCACACCTGCTCCTCAGGCTCATGTTGGAGAGCTCACCTAGCTATATCTCTCTAGATACCACACAGATACCATACAATTTCCGAGTGGCAAGTTTTCCACTCTGTGTTTGAGGAATTTAACTCTTTGTTTCCTTTCAAAAAAAGTTTGTGTTTTTTTTCCCCCCCAGAAATCAATAGGCTGTACTCTTGCAGAATTAGACTCTCCTTTGCATGCATGCATGTCATGTAGGCATACATATGGATGCTAGTTTACATTCACAGTTCCTCTTATTTCTATTTTTAAACATGTATCTTCAGTTAAAAACCCCAGATAATAAATATAAAAAATAGAAATTGTGAATGTAATCTGTGGCGTAACCTGTGTGCACAGGGAAGGGAGACAGATTTTGCTGTTACCTGCTGTTTTCTATTACTGGGATAATTATGTTCATGTTGATAGATTTGTCTGGCTTTTGATGACTGAATTGCCACTGAATTGTAGCCATTAAAAACTATAAATGCCAAAAAAGTTGTTGGCTGTGTGTGTGCAGGCTGGAAAACAGTCGTGATGATCTGCGCATCCGAAGCGAAGCTTTAGAGAGGGAGGTGGCTGACCTGCAGCATCGCAATGAAGAACTGACCAGCCTGGCCCAGGAGGCACAGACACTCAAAGACGAGATGGACATCCTCCGGTATAGAGACACACATACACAGACTCACACAGACAGTTCTTGCTCATGCACACTAGTTGTCATGTTTGTAAGCTGAGCTGAAATAAGTAGCCCTTCATCTGAATTGACTGACACCAGTAAAAACAACTTCTTCTTTTTTTTCTATTTTTGTTATCAGTTAACTTATCAACTGTTATTCAGTTAATCAACTAATTGAAGCATTGTGGCTTCTGTGGTTCACCTCCCTTTGCAGCTGTTCAGTCTATGCAACAAACTAATTTGCCACATCACCCCCTATACTTCCTGTAGTGTATTGCAGTCTGTCAGAATGATTATTATGGCTCAGTGGCTATCATATGAACAGTTTAAACAAAAAATATGCTGACATTGAAATCCATGCCCATTCCTGCTGTCCTGGGCAAATTTTAATTTCAATAACCTTTTTAAAATGCAAATGTAAATAAGCACACACACATTTCGTAAGTTATCGTTGTTATTATTATTATATGCGTTCAGTCAGCTCTGTAGAACAGACTGAATCAGAATCTGCACCATGCAAAAGGTTGGTGAGGTAAAGCCACCCTTCTGTTTGGGTTTGGCCCCTCCAGGCACTCCTCGGACCGCGTGAGTCGTCTAGAGGCGCTGGTGGAGACATATAAGCGGAAGCTGGAGGATCTGGGGGACCTGCGCAGACAGGTACGTCTGCTGGAGGAGAGGAACACTGTGTACATGCAGCGCACCTGTGAGCTGGAGGAGGAGCTGCGCAGGGCCAACGCGGGACGAACTCAGCTGGACTCCTACAAGAGACAGGTGGGCCCTGAATGCACTACATAGTCATATGCTACAGTTTGGGTCCCCCAGTTAAATTACACATTTTGTTGATTTTCTAAGTAAAAATAAGTAAACATCCCCTACAGATAACACAATTCTGCATATTTTAATGCACAAGTACTGTTTATTTTCTGAATTTAACATACTGGGAGAAAAGAAAAACAAAAATGTGGCCTGTGCAAAAGTTATAGTACATTTTATACTGTGTGTTAAACTAAGAAATAGGCAAATAAGTAGATGTCCGCTAATATTTGCAAAAAAATGTCATATTTCAAAATGTGTTCTCTGCAGAGATAACTTATTTTCCCTTCAGAACCTACAGTTTGACCAGGAGTGTTCAAACATTTGCATATGAGTATTAAGGATGTGCTGATATGGAAGTTCTGGGACAAAAACGATAAGCATCAATACCTGTTGTGGCGGAATCCAGTATCAACTGACAGTTATACTCTTTTGCATATTAAAACAAGTTCATTGCCATAATCCAGTTATGAAGTGTAGTGAACATAAGACATGATGAGTTTTCAGATGAGTTCAATTGAAAGTCTTTAATGTCTCTTCCTGTACTTTGCAGACGTTTCGTATTGTGTTTTCCTTTTTTCCCTTTTTTTTTCTTTATAAAAATGTTCACACTTGTTACATTTTCACTGTGTAACATTATGGCGTGACTACATGTGCGTCTGTGGTACACACGCAGAAATGGGGCAAGGTATTGACTGTAATTATGTGCTAAAATCCCACAATTGGATTCATTGGTTTAATGATAATTACATTTTCCCATTTACTGAAACATAACATTTGCCCATCATACAGTCACAGAGCACTTTATTAGGTGCATCTACATTGTATGTACACTCATTGTCCATTTTATTAGCTCCACTTACCTTATAGGATCATTCTGCAGTGACACTGACATGGTGGTGGTGTGTTAGCGTTGTGTTGTGCTGGTATGAGTGGATCAGACACAGCAGTGCTGCTGGAGTTTTTAAACACTGTGTCCGCTCACTGTCCACTCTATTAGTCATTTCTACCTCATTGGTTCACCTTGTAGATGTAAAGTCAGAGACAGTAGCTTATCGGTTGCTGCACAGTTTCTGTTGGTCATCCTCTAGTCCTTCATCGGTGGTCACGGGACGCTGCCCACAGGACGCTGTTGGCTGGATGTTTTTGGGTGGTGATCTATACTCAGTCCAGCAGTGATACTGAGGTGTTTAAAAACTCCAGCAGCACTGCTGTGTCTGATCTACTCATACGTCAGTGTCATTACAGTCCTGAGAATGATCCACCACCCAAATAATACCTGCTCTGTGGTGGTCCTTGGGGGTCCTGACAAGTGATAAACGAGGTAAAGTTGGGAACAAATTTTGCAGAGAAACAGATGGACTACAGTCTGTAATTGTGGAACTACAAAGTGCACCTAACTGGTAATTGGAGCTGATCAAATGGACAGTGAGTGTAGAAACAAGGGTTTTCCTAATGAAGTGATCAGTAAGTGTATTGTGCACCTTTAACATGAACTGCAACTGATGCAACTTCTTAAATTTCTTGAAGTTGCGAGGAGTGAGGTTTCAAATGACAATTTTTTAAAAACCTGAATCTCACACTATGTGAGCTAAATTAAAACATGAAACATGCTAGCACATTTATTTTTTTTATTTACTTTATTTGCTCTTGAACAGGCCAAACTAGCATTTTAACCCGTGTGTGGTGTTCATGTTTTTGTTACTCAGTGGTCTGGTGGACCCACCGCATTATTGTTTTCTAAATCAAGAAAACAGCCGTAACATTTTATGTAAAAATACCAGATGTATAAAATATCACAAGTGGCCAGTGTAGGGTTCTCCTTTAGCAGCTATAGCCAGTCAGCAGCCTGTCCATGTTGTCCACCCTCACACACATGCACACATGTACAGACACATACACACAGACACACACATACTAACAGCAGGCCATGTAGGATGAGAACAGAGTAAAGGAACACAGCACCTCCACACTTATTCCCTGCGGGTTCACCCCAACACGTGTATATAAATGTGTAGGGGCTGTACAGTGTGACGTCTTTGAAAATGTGTTGTTTTATATGTTTTTCACAGAAGATGAGCAAAGGCTAATAAATATGGGGTTGAAATAATAATGAATCGCATCATTTTTTTTCTTTTGGTAAATATTAAAAAAGGGTCTCAAAGACCCGAACACCACACAAGGGTTACATTCTTAACCAAAAAAATCGTATATTAACACATGATAAGATGCAACTGGCTATTTAGCACAATGTCATCCATAATTATACTATGATGTTTTGGTACCAGTGTAGAAGAAGCATTCAGATACAGTGCAAGTGTGCTTACCTCCTTACATAAGACAAAACAGGTCGACCAAAATCAAAACAACAGATTGACCAAATACCGATCGTGTGTTTGGAGCAAAAAACTGCCGATTCCAATCCTGCATGCCTAATTAACATACTTTAGGTTGGGAAATGTAGGGGTATATTTCAGATCTACAAAACCTCTGAAATAAATTAATATTCAAAATACAAAAATTCCATTTAAAAACATTTTACTGAGCTCCATTTGGGGTTTTCCTCCTCCTGCAGCAGACCTGTAAGTCTCCAGTACCAAGAGATTTGAGGCTGCTCTGTATAAGATGTAATTATTTGCTGCTTTTAGGCTGGGATGTAATCTGCATTTGGCAGAGCTGTTTTTAGCTCTGAAAAGCTGTAGTGGGTGGTAACATGGGGGATAGTTTAAGCATGCCCAGCGACAGACAACACCTATAGAGCAAATTGGTAATGTAGCTTTGAGGGACGTCCTACTGAATTTGATGAGACATTATTGCATGTTAATGCATCAGTCTGTCTGTGTTTGCATTGGACAGGTGCATGAGCTTCACACCAAACACTCCTCAGAGGCCATGAAGGCCGAGAAGTGGCAGTTTGAGTACAAAAACCTTAACGACAAGTATGAAGCCCTACTGAAAGAGAAGGAGGTAAGATGCCGCCTGTGGGTCACAAACCATATGTGTGCTTGTATTTGTGCCATCGTGAGTAGACAAGTGCAGTTGATTGCATAATTCTGATACTGTAAGTACGTGAGGGTTTCTGTTAATGCCTCTGTGCCCCATGACTACTGTCCTAAAAAAAACAAAACAAAAAACCGACTGTTTTTCTGTCTGTCTGTCTGCCTGCCTGCCTGCCTGCCTGCACAGAGGTTGATATCAGAGCGGGACACCCTGCGAGAGACCAATGAGGAGCTTCGCTGTGCTCAGGTCCAGCAGAAATGCCTCAGCCAAGCAGGTCAGTCATTGTAACGTTCTGTTACTGCTTACATAAAATGTCTAAGGGGTCAATTTAAAGCTGTAAATTTAAGTAAAAAAAATGTAAATTAATGTAAAAAGAGTTTATTTCAAGTATTTTGGAGTATTTCTATTGGTCCTTTCATTAGGAAATGTTCACACAAAATAAAGGGCAACTTGTTATTCTATGAATTTTTAATCTATGAAAGATCAGAAGAAGAAAGTTTACCATATTAAGAGTTTGTAAATAGTTACTGTTATTACTTCTTTTATTATATAGCACTTTTCGTACATAAAAAGCAGCTCATAGTACTTTACTGTCCTAAATGTCAAAAATAAATGATAGTGTTTGTTTAATTCGAGGAAAAAGAAGCATTAACATATAAAGAGAAAAAATTAAAAGTTAAAATTAAATCTGTTAATAAAATACATTACATGTGCAATTTTATATATAAAGTACAACTTAAAAAGAACAAGTAATAAAATCCTAAACCTAAATAAGAGTTGGTTTAAGCTGCTTTTATAGTAGATGCCTGACGGACAATAATAAGAGAGAAAGCAGCTTTTCCAGTCTTTTTGTGTTTAACAAAAACTTAGACTTGTTTATTTTGTTAGTGTTTCTAATTTTTTGTTGTTGCGTGTCACAGTTTTCAGAGAAGTGATGCTGAGCTTTAAAACTATGTGGCTGCTGTTGAAAAATTCTCTGTCGCCCCCTGCAGGCTCTCTGGTATCTGACTCTGGAGCAGTGGGTAACCTGGCATCTGAGATCATGCCCACAGAGTTCAAGTGAGCCTACACACACTTTGAATGTTCCGCACACACACATGCCTACATCCAGTCTTCCTTTAACCAGTCTGTTGTGTTCTCAGTTTTCAAGAGCACCTGGCTCAACTTCTTACTATTATTATTATTATTATTTTATTATTATTATCATTATTATTATGGATGTACAATGATTTTTCAGTTATATCACTACTACAGGATAACTAGATTTAAAAAATCACCATTGGACAGTTTAGATTTAAACCAATATTTTAAACCAAAATTTGACCATGTGTTTAAATACAGAAGAGCAGAATGTTTAGGCGGCACTGGGCTTCTTATATATGTTCATGTTCAGTTCAGTCTTCATTTCTCAGTAATGCTGTAATATTTATTTTCTACATTTTAGATGTTTATCAGATCAGCATAATATCAGATATCGGCATTGGCCCACAATTCCCATATTGATGATGATCCTGTAAAACTTGACCGGTCTCTTCTCAGCTCCTACAACTGTAACGAGCTACTGTTTCTGACTGCTAAGGCACAGTTCATCACAAATAAGCCTATTGTTGTTGTTATTCGCTTTAATAATAACAACAAAAACAGTAGTAATCCAAAATTGATGTAGATGCCCCAATGAATCACTGCATTTGACAAGTCTCTCTCTCTCTCTCTCTCTCTCTCTCTCTCTCTCTCTTTCTCTCCCTTTCTCTCTCTTTCTCTCTATCTGTTTCTGTCTGACTTATCTCTGCCTCTGTGTCTCTCTCTCAGGGAGACTGTGGTGCGCCTGCAGAGTGAGAATAAGATGTTGTGTGCTCAGGAGGAGTCGTACAGGCAGAGACTTGGGGTGGTGCAGGCCCAGCTGGAGGAGGCACAGCGCAGCCAGAACACACTCGAGACACAGAACAGGTGTGTGTGTGTGTGTGTGTGTGTGTGTGTGTGTGTGTTTAGATTTTTGGAAAAGTTCCAGTTCCATTGTCTAAAGTTACATATGATATCTAAAGCTTTGCTTTAGAGATTTAAAGTCAGGTTTAGGTTGAGGGATATTTAACTGGAGCATCATTTCATCATCATTTCAGTTGTGGATCTCTAAAAGTGTTTGAGTGAGAGTGTGCACGTACAAGTGTACATGTTTTGCATCACTTCCCAGCAGCAGAGGGCTTAGTGTGGGTGGTAGAACAACAGATTGTATCACAGATCACCCATATTGTGTGTGTCTGTGTGTGTGTGTCTGTGTGTGTGTGTCTGTGTGTGTGGGGTGAATATTGATGTGCTTTTCACAAACATTTCAGTATGTAGGACAAATCTCCTTTGAGATGGTGCTGATGATCGTATTACCAAGCTGATGATAATTTTTTGCAAAGCCTGCGGTACAGTAGTGTACAAAGTTGAATGCAAGCAGAATTTTTGTTCTCCTAAATATGATCTGCATCTCTGTTTTTGTTCCACATTTAACACAGTGCTTGTCAGATTTGCTGTCCTTACTTAACATTTGTTTTGTATTCTAATTTTTTCTGAAGATCCGCTTATAGCATTTTTGTTGTTTTATGTATCAAAAACAGGGCATTTTCCACTCTCCTTTACCTTATTTAAATAAACAGGCTGTTTCTGTGCTCTGCCTTTAATGCAGTATTTGCGTAGTCAATGGCAGCCCTGATATTTCATTGTTTTCAATTGAGCAGCAGCAGAAAATTCTGCCTTTTTCAGCAGAAGCAGCGGTGGCGTACCTCAGCAGTCAGCGGAACGTTCCATTAAGAGTTAGATTTTTACCAAATTTTGCCGTCAGCTGTGGGAGTGGAATAAACCAGACCTTTTTCTTGTGAGCCATGGACAGTGAACGTGTCTTTAGCCAAGTTTCCATTCAGAGAAGTTTTTACAAAAAAGGTTTTACTGTGTAAAAATGTTTGTCAGTGTAGGCCATGGAAACTTAATAATATTTCATGAATGTCAACGAAACTTTTGTAAATTCAGCTTTAGCAGAAAAAAGGGTTTCATTTCACCAAAAATGCAAATTTCTTTCCCAAAAAAATAATGCATTTAGGCAGAAATTTAGTCTGATGTGACAGATTTCCATCACATGCCTTAAACAAGAAACAAAAGCAATCACAAACAGCATGGCGGAGGAGTAGAGTTGGACTGAGGAAGAGAAAAGTTACAGCCTTTCTGAAAGGAAAATGTTCAAACAGCTCTATTTGGCAGAGAAATGAGGTCTCTCGTGCAATAGTTCTGATGAAAAAAATAAGTAAAAATAAGAGAAATTAAATAAGATAAACAGAATGTCCATGTCAGTGGGATATGGGGAAGTCAGGGAGGCCAAAGGTACACAAGTTGCAACATACACTGTCAGGAAAAAAAGGTACAAAACATCTCAGTACCTTTAGTCAGGGAACATAATTGTACCATAATCCACTGAAATTATATTTTCTAAGTTGTAGTGACTCCACACACCCCGTCTCGTATCCAGGCTTTTTATTTCATTGTTCTGTTTTAAAACATTAGGTAATGAAAAGGTACAAATATGTACTTTTCCACTAGAAAATAAACGAAAAATGAACCTGCACAGAACCATTATTTCTAACAGTGTACAATGTGGGAAAAAAAGTTGATTGACACATTGACACACAGCTAGTTTTTCAGTCCAGGCACACCCAGTATTATACAACAAAATATTAAGAGTACACAGCATCCTCCTCCTTTTATCCACCGTAAACAATCAACACCTTTAAAGCTCCCATCTGATGATTATCTATTTTCCGCTAGTAATGCTGTCACCATGGCAACGCTTTACATTGCTGCATGCCTCCATCTGTTCTGTACTGTTGTGAGGCAAAAAGTATATGTATTTTTAACTAGCTGCCTTATTTTTGTGCCTTATTCAAAAAGCTGTCTGGACTGTGATGTGGAAAAAGCTGCCACGTTCAAATTGAAATTCTCATCAAAGCAAACAAGCACAAAAAAACTTTCAGCCACTCCTGTTGGATGTGTAGATTCTTTGGAAGGCTGCAGTGATCTGTCTGCTTTCTGACAGCCAGTAACAGCACAACATTTAAGGTTTCCCCACATATTCCACTCCAGGTACTCTAACATTTTGACCGACTTGGGTCTGTACTACCTGTTGCGCAACAATGACTCACAGTTCTATAATCTCGCAGGGCTGCAGTTCCCCTCTGCCTGGCTCATTGAGCTGAGATACGGATAGCTAATAACAGAGCCATTGGCTAGAAGCTCAGTTAACGACTATGTAGATGCAAACTGAAGTGAATGCAGCGCTTAGTCTATTACATTGTGTAGTGTTTGTGGTTATTATTTTCATATATGAAATTCAATTTATGTTCTTCAAACAAATGTTACACCTGAAACGTGAACGACGCGAGAGCTGCCGGCTCACCTAGAGTGCAGCTGGTAATTGTCAGGCTTGACAGGTCTCTTCTCAGCCCCTCCCGCAGCTGCAACTGGCTACTCTCGCTAATCGCCAAGGCCAGGCACAGTTCATCTCGAACAAGCCTGTTATTGTTCATGACTGTGACTTCACAGCCAAGATGACTTTAAAAAGCAACTGATTTTCCATATGTGGTTTGGGCAGTGAACAGCATGTTTTTATAACTTTTAAATGTTTTAAAACTTTTAAGTTTTACATAATACTTCAAACACTTCTTGAAAAAAACAGGATATGGGCCCTTTAAACAGTCCGAGGGGCATTCGCAGCACTCTTTTATATTTCTTCAGTAACCGTCTCAACTCTGTTCTCTCTCTCAGGTTGAGCCAGCAGCAGATAGCACAGTTGCGCTCTCAAGTGGAGGACTTGCAGAAGGCTTTGCAGGAACAGGACAGCAAAGCTGAGGATGTGAGTTTTACACAAGCACACACACACTGTAAACTAGCATGCATGTACACACACCTGTGCTTACACTCTGTGTGTTTGTTGATCAGTAAAGACAAATCCAGCTACAGTCAGTCTCACAGCTTTTTGTGATCGTGAAACATCATGGCACTGATCACCTAAATGCACATTGAGGAAAAAGCTCTTGCTAATACTGTCACGTATTGAGATACATGCGTGTTCAGTATGGGATCAAGTAGTTGGTGTGGTTTAAGATTTGGCGTGGATATTGAGTGTTCTTGATTTAGTGCTTGAAATGTTGATGGAACTCACGCTCTAGAACAGCCCCAGTGTTGTAAAGATTACAACACTGGCAGTCTCTCTCTCTCTCTCTCTCTCTCTCTCTCTCTCTCTCTCTCTCTCTCTCTCTCTCTCACGTGTGTGTGAATTTTAACCCTTTGTTTGCTGTGGTGAATTATAAATTAACACATGCCTGATTCTGTCTCTCTCTGCCCACCTCACCCAATCGACCAATCATCTGCCTATTAGGCCATCGTAAGTACGGGCCATCTGTGTCAGTCTGGTTTCTGATTAAAAGTGTAAATAAAATGGAGGCGGAAGTGTCCCTAATGACAGATATTACACAAAAAGTAGTGTATGAATATAGATTAAATGTATGTTAAGGAATATAAAAACCATTGAAGGTGTTAAAGTATTAAATTCTGGACAAATACACAATATTTGATGATTTATGAACTTTATTGTTTTCGTAAATATATGTTGATTCAAATTTGATGCCTGCAATGCGTGCCGAAAAATTTAGGACAGGAGATTGTTTATCACTTTGTTGGATCACCTTTCCATATAACAACACTTGGGCTCTGAAAACACCAGCTAATCCAGTTTTGAAAGCAGATGGCATTCAAGACGTCTAGAAGGCAGAAGGCATGTTGCTCCAAAATGTGCATAGGTCTTTCAGCATTAATGGTACCTTGACAGATGTGAATTATGGCCACTAATACACCCCCATACCATTGCAAACCCTGGCTGTTGAACTTTACGCTGGTAACAGTCTTTTTCATCTTTGGTCTGGAAAACATGATGCCGATTATTTCCATAAACAGTCTGAAAGGTTGACCCGTCAGACGGGGATACACGTTTCCACTGTGCGTCAATCCATTTCAGATGAGCTTGAGCACAGAGAAGTCAAGAGCGTTTCTGGATGTTGTTCATGCGTGGCTTCCGCTGTGCATAGTACAGTCTTAACTTGCATTTGAAATGCCTTAAAATCATTGCAGTCATTAAGGAACCATCTTAAACCGTTTGATTATTTGCTGCTGCATTCTTTGATGTAGTGGCAAGTCCCGATCTGTTCTTGCTCATAAAGGACTAAGTCTTTTCTTTGATGCTCTTTTTATGCTCATGCGTGGCTGAGAATCATCTGTTTAAGATATTTTTGGTGGACATTGCACAACATTTCTAGACTTAAATTGCTCCTGTGCCAACGTTTTTGGAACGTGTTGCGGGCATCAGTTTCAGAATGAGCATGTTTATAAAAACAATGAAGTTGATAATACATGCTGTTTTTATTAGAATACAGGTCAAAATGGACAGATCATTGTTTCAGTTGTTATTATGAAATATGATGTCATTCGTGACACAGCTGCCATATGCGTGTGTCTTTTGTATGTAAAGCAATAGTTTGAGACTCTAGGAGGTCTAGGAGGGTCGCAGCAGTGCAGAAAAGAGTTTTTCCTGGCCTTATTTATACTTGGCATTAACATCTAGATAATCTCCTAATCCATCCAACAGTATTGACTTATCTGTCTGTAAAAAGTTGCAAGTTTACCAACAAGACTCCAACATTTAAAGAAATCAGAGGGAAAAAATATACTAATTTACGTTATCTGTTTGATTAATGACTTGTTGTTAAGACCATTAATAGCTTAATATTTTACCATTTTATTTTGTTTTGCACAAGAGCGTAGTTTCTGCATTCAGATTCAGATCCAGATGATCAGATCTCATTTCACTGCGCAGTAGGCTATTACTGTAGGCTATGGTGTTTGCTTTATAAAACATTTTGCAGTTGCGGTACAGTGTAAATATGGGTAAAAATCACAGCCAGACTTGAAGATAGTTGTGCACTGTACTTCACAGTTGATACGTGGCTTTTCAGCTTTCGCATTCGTAAACTTCACAAAACATATGCAACTACAGTTAAAGGAACAGTTATGCAAACTGTCAAGTTTGTCCAGTTTGTCCAGTTTTCTGCTTACCCCAGATGCAGTCAATCAGCCTAGACATGTTTGGAGTTCAGATTTTGAGAACTTTGCATTTTAGAACTGAAGCTATGAGGGTAACTTTGCTAACAAACACTGGAAATGAGTAGTCACCCAAATAGCCCAAATTGTTTCTGTAACAAAATATCCCAAAAATATCCCAAAGATTTCTCTCAAACCATAACCAGATCTTCATTAAGGTCATACCAACTTGATGTGGTTTACAGCATAATGACTTACCGTGAGCTAGAAAAATAAACAAAACTTCACCCCTTCAGGCAGCCAAGCCGCTCAACATCAGGGCTTCAGCACCACAAAAGCTACAAGACTAATGTAGTTAGTTAGTAGATTGGTCAAAAGCTTGGCCCTGATTGGTTCAAGAGCTGTTAATTATCTGAAATACATAACCTACCCTACAGCAGGTTAGGGATATAGCATAAGTAGCCATGGTGATGTTGTGCAGTGAAACTGATCCATAGGTATAATATGAAACCAAGCTTAAAGTTCACTGGCTAAGCAAGAAACCCTGCTTCTTGAAAACAGGCGTGAACATTAATGTTCATTTACAGTCCATTAGTGTTCATCACTGACTGTGTTAGAGTACTGAGATATGCACTGCTGTGGCCCTCCAGGACCTGACACACTGACACTGATCTAAAAGGTTTGGCTTAGTAAGACACTGACTGCGTTCGTAATTCTTTTCTTTTCAGTCATCCCTCCTGCAGAAAAAACTGGAAGAGCATCTGTGAGTATATGTGGGTGGGAAGAGGGAGTGGGGGTGTAACCTGAGTGAATTACAAGAAAGCTGACTAAATGAGTAAGCATGGCTGATGCAAATTGGACTGTTCTAAACTGTGTGTGTTTGTGTGTGCATGCTGCAGGGAGAAGCTGCACGAGGCCCACTCAGATCTGCAGAAGAAGCGAGAAGTAATCGATGACCTGGAGCCCGGAGCAGACAGCAACAGTAAGCTGTCACATTAGAATAATGCAGATGTGCTGCTATTCAGCAGTTTAATTTACTGGAATATTTAACATGCCAGAATTTTTTGATCAGCTCTGGTTTCAAGAACTACCACCAGGCTGTCATGAGCTAATGCATTATGTCCCCTTCGCTGAGCGGTTGACGTGCACTAATGTAAACAATCACAGCAAGCGCAGCCGCAGCATAGCCGAAGGAGGAGTGGTCTCAGAACTTTTTCCACCTTCAAAATGTGTGAAAACTCACATCCCACACAGCATGGAGGAGTAAAAATTACAGGATGTCACAAATACTTGTATATTTACACTCAACAAGTAAAAGGCCCAGAGCAATAGTTCACATATGAATCCAGTTTTGTTTAAACAACCAGCTCGCCAGATCACTAACAGACTAATCTATAATGATTTTCACAGTTAGGCTTTAAGTTGACTGTATACAATATACATAGCTTGATGCTAACTTGACATAGGAAAAAACGTTGGGGAACTAGCAGAATTTAGCATTATTGTAGCAGTGGATAAACAAACTTTTCTTATAAAGCCAGACATCCACATTGATGCACATTCATGATTGTATGATTAAAAATTAAGAAGTTTAAGAAATGGCTGTTTTTTATGTGGCAGGACCTTTACAGCTCTAAGTAAGAGTTGCATTGCTCTATGGTTCCCAGCTTCAGTCCTAACTGCACATAGTCCTATATGATATTTACATGCACAGTGAGTGTCATTATGTGTGTCTCACGTTAAGAAATATGGAGACATCTAAGTTGAGCTATATTTGGAAACATTTCAAACAAAAAGTGACACATTTTTCCACTTAAAGCTGTGAAACCTGTTATGTATGTCAACAGGTAGTGTGTTCCGCCTAAAACAGAAAGAGAACCAAATTCTTTAAGAGAAGCAGACAAATGCTAATCGTCTGATACCTTAGCTAATGCAACTAATGCCACTAGCTTAGTTACAGCATAGCTTTCTCCACCTCATACATATTAGCTGCAAAACGGCACATTTTGAAAGGTAAAGTTTTAGGTTTGTTGATTGATAATGTTATCAGTGCACACGAAGCTGAGGCTGGCTACATGTTTGACAGCTACTTATTCCAGTTGATTTGATTGATTCCAAACGTGATAGAACCACTAAATGATGTTGAAAGTTTTACTCCACTAAAGATATGATTAGAGTATAAAATGAGCTTGATGTCTGTCTGCTGTGATTCTTCCTATGTGCTGTTTAACTACAGCTACATCCAAATAGAATTTCATTACTTGTCATGTAGATCCACATTCTAGACCAGTCAAAATCAAGAAAAGCAGGTAGGAAAAGAAGATTTGATTCAACTGTTCTGAACCAGCCTAGACTGTCTAACCCTGCTGCAGTAGCAGATCACCTATAAGACACTACGTCATGACATCACATTCCCAAGCCCTGTTGAACCTTGTAATGCTGTTAGCATGCTAGATGAGCTCACGCCAAACATTTTAGTGTTACCCAGCTAACAGTTCCACACGCCACGGAACAAGTGTATTCACTTCAATAAAACTTTTTGCCTTAGCTAGCACTATTATAAAAAGGTTTTTCCCTTTTAGTACAATCATGATATCTTAAACGTCACACGCCTAGTTCCAGTATAGCAGGATTGAAACGAAGCGTGTTTGGTGATGACCTGAATGTGAGGCAGGGGTCAAGAGTGCTTTTGCATGTAAATTGTGTTGCGATGCTCTGCAATTCATGCTTTCGTTTCTCAGTTGGTTTTTTACTGATGCAAGATTTTCCGCTTCTGTGAATTGAAAGTGAGAGCTGTGTTTTGAAGATGCCCTGTTATGTCCTGCAGGCTGCAAACTCACACATGCACAGACTTCTGTAAACCCCCAAGACCCTTGGGTTGACACCTCTCTCTCCCTTATTAGCCAGCTCAGGCACTTATGTTCATAAAAAATAAAAGATTGTGATGCTAATATTAACCAGCTAATATAGTTTGCAACAGTAACAGTTTTTAGGATTAAGTTCTTAAACAGTAATCCTTGCCATGTACTTACATGTACCAGCACATTATCCAGGCATATTATCAGCAATGATAAAACAAAATCATACTACACATGAACTACTCACATTGCCTTCCTAACTGTGTTTCAGCTCACAGTGATGCAACAATTATTCAAAAATGCTTGCATGAGCATGCCAACTCAGTAGGGGTTGATCCTTTGTTTACTTTGATGTAATTTAATGTTAAATGGCCCAAAAAGAACATTGTGAGATGCATATTGCGCAAAAGCGTGAGGGTGAAGCAAAGAGTTTCTAACAGTGACAGCCGCATGTTACAAACACAAACGCTTTAACTTGCTCGCCGTTAGATCTCTGCCAGAGAATGAAAAGCTTAGGTGAAAGAAGGCCTACCGCTTTTTGCTTTGGGGTGAAGTTACCATGGCAAAGCCGCTGTGAATCGTTTGAACTGTTCACACAGGCAGAGAAGTGGAGTTTTTTAGTCCATTTGAATTATGGAGTTAGTTTGTTTTTCAAATCTGACTTTAGTTAATGGTCACACATCAGAATTTTTGAGGTATTTTTAACATCTGCAATTAAGTTGACACCCCCTTTAAAAAACTGAGTGCAGTAAATTCTGAAGCCTTAGCATATTTAATTCAAAAATGTTATCACCTCTAAATTGCTGAAAACACACAAAATCTAGTGGTCAGCCGTATTTCAGACAGTTCTTCATACTTGTTGAACAAAAATAGCACCAGGCAAGTGCAAGTTACTGCCATGACGTCAGCGTTTTGGCAGAATTTTCTAAAATCTCCACCCTGGAGAGAGTTTTCAGTGAGTGAAAACGTTTTGTTGTGAACAGGCCAAATTATAAAAAAAAATGTATGTATGTAAATATCCAGTTATGTGTGGGTGGGGCCTGTATCTCAGGAATTCACTAAGCTTTATGGATCTGACCATATTTACTTGCTTTGTATGTCTCTCTCTCTCTCTCTCTCTCTATTTCTATTTCTCTCTTTCTCTCTCTCTCTCTCTCAGTGGCAAAGAAAATTGATGAATTGCAGGAGATTCTGAAGAAGAAAGACGAGGACATGAAGCAGATGGAGGAAAGATACAAGCGCTACGTGGAGAAGGCTAGGACGGTGAGCACACATGCGCACACAATCTATCCATTCCACACACAGATAGGGCTGGATATTATCAGAAGCTTCACAGTACAACACGTCTCACAATGAAAACTATATAATACGATGACAACACACACACACCAGGTGTAGAAGCAGACATTTTTGGCAACTGTTTACCTTAAAATTTGTTCTGAAAAGTACAGCAACAATGAATAAATGAATATGTTTTGGTAGAATTATAAATAGCATTTCTGCATTAATGCTCACCTAAACTATCTGCAGTGGTACAATAAAAAGATTCATCTAACTCATGCCACAGTTCACACACTGCACAGTAACATCTAGAGGTGCACCGGCATCGACACCGATAGTGTCAGTATTGGTACCAGCAGTAGGGATACCGATCCCTATGACCAGTAACACAAAGCGATTTCCGACATGCATGCATGCTAGTAGACAGAACTTAACACATCAGCGATATGAGTTGACGAGCAGCAGTATAAATGCTCATGGCAAAATCTGTAACGCCTTATTGGAAAGGCAATCTTAGTGGATGATATACCAGTTGGAATTCTTCCTAAGCTATTGGTTTGGTTTGGTTTGGTTAGGTTAGGTTAGTCAGTATTGGTACTCCGTATTGGCCAATGCTTAAGGTATCGGTATCAGTGATTCTCTAGTAATATCATCCGTTTAGTATTTTAACAGCGCAGTGACGTGAAGCAGTGCTATAAACATGTAACCAAAATGCTAATGGCTAAGTGCTAATCTCCGCAAGCTAAAAAGTAACAGAACAGCTTACTACCACTGTGACCTGAACCACATCTGTGAAAGTGAAGTTGACAAGGATAATACAGGCCATAACAACAGTTACATCATCCTCACACGCAACAGCAGATGATAAACTACTGAATGAACTTCACTCTGAGCTTTTTTTCCAATACAGTTTTTAAATTTTAGATGTGAAACACCTTAAGCACCTGAAGGTTAAAGGGGAATTACGTCAGTTTTTTTCAGAATATCTGCATAATCCACTCTGAGTTGTAAATAAAGTCATTGAAAAGCTCCTTCCTAGAGAAACTTGCCAACAATTTGTTTACAGTGGTGGGGAATCAAGGGTCACACTTCTGTTCAACACAAGTGTAAACATTTCATTTACACTCCAAAACTACATGAGTTTTTACATCTAATGTTAATAATGATAAAATAGTGGTAGATCTGTAAAAAATGCCCTTCATGGACCTATATGCCATGAATTTATGCTAAAAAATACTTTATAAAATGTCACACTCTCAGACTTGAATGCAGTATCTGTTTCACTTGCAAATTAAAGCAGCAAAAGTGAGTTTGCAAATATTAACAGCCATTACTGTATCAATACGTACATCGGCATGAGTTTATCCACAATATATGGCTGAATCAGTTATTGAGAACACAGGTGCAGACATGTCGGCCCCTCACCTACATAGCGGGGGGGTGAATGACGGAAGACACCTGATCTCAGTGTTTATGAAGCAGGCCTGAATGTTTCCATCTTACTAAATGCAAAAGAGTTGATACGCTAACATACGCCACAGCATCAAGACTTCTCACTCTGCACCCACACAAACGCACACAGCTTTACTGTAAACCGCACTACCCAGTAGACGCAAGGTCAGCACCATGTCAGCTGTGTGTGTGTGTAGCAACCCCAGCCTGCGTCAGCTCTCTTGCTGCATTTAGCTGTTTTGTTGTGTTTCCTGCGTGTTTCTCTGCTCTAGTCCAGTAACCTCCAGATCCTCAAGACTGTTTACTCACAAAGTCTGTTCTTGTTGGTTTCCAGGATGCACTCTTTGGTGCAGTTTCATTATTATTTTTTTTTTTTCCCTGTGGCACCACTTACACTGGTTTTACTACACCAGCTATAAAAAAAAAACCTTTCCCGTATATGGAACAGTTGGGCTTTCGGACCTCCTTAGGTGCAAACCTGGGCTCTTTATTCAATATTAATTTTTCCTTTAATTAATATATAGATATTTTAATTTTAAGTGGTGGGTGGTTTCAGGTATTCCACTAAAGCAGGAAATAGGTACCTTTCTATTTTTCATTTTTAGATGTGAAGCACCTTACAGATTTACATAAAGTGAAGGAGAATTCCACAAAAAAATTAATAATTCAGTCTTTGAAATATATGCGAATCATTAAGAGTGGTTTGATGTAAAATGCTCGGATCTAGAGAAACTTACCAACTCCAATTTTCAGTGGTGTTAATGGGAACCAGAGGTCATGACACATATGTAATCATTTAATTTACTATCCAAAACCTTGAACCTTGAGTGTTTATATGAAATGATGATGATAAACAAGATCTCAGACATCAGGCAGTGTATTCATAACCATTTCATGTAATAACTTTGTGAGGTAGCTTTAAGAAGCATTCAGTTCTTCAGATGTCTACTTCCCGTCACCAACACAGTGAACAATACTGACTCAGTAAGTTTCTCAAGAATACAGTATTTCACATCACACCACTCTGAATGACTTTGTTTACATCTTAACCATTTAATTATTCAGAAATGTATCTGTGGTTTTCCCCTTTAAGGTCATGGAATTGACCACAGAGGGAAAAAGAATGATGCTTTGCAACAGTATGTTATTAAAATGGGACAAAATATATTTGGATTATCGTAATAAATTGTGTCATGGTATGTCACAATATGCTTCACTGAGTATATTGTGGATAACATCTCTATGTAACCACTGAGCAGCTGTGTGATCAAATACAAATCATTGGATTCATAGTTTTATATCAATTTTTTTGTTTTAATTGTCTTTTCCAGCTTATTAGATGTCAGAAAAAAATAAATCTCATTTCATAAAGTATCACAGTATTAGATTTTTGACATATCGCCTAGCTCTATGCCCAAGTATAGCCTGTGTGTGGGAAGCATTGAAACAGTGACCTACATTTATCCTCCAACATTTCACAACCCAAAAAAGTGTGCCTCCTGAATGTTTAGGTGCCTACAGTACATTTTACAGTCAGGCAGCCTAGCCATTCAAATACAGAAGTGGATATAGGGTGACGATGTGACCACAGTATTAACATCACTGTCATGTCATGCCTCTGACACAATCCATTTAAACATTGAAAAATGAACACTTTCTATATTCAAATGTGCAATGTTTTTCTTTTAATTTGACGAATATTTGAACAGCCCTCGTGTTTGTGTGTGTTTAGGTGATTAAGACTCTGGACCCCAAGCAGAAGCCCCACTCTCTTCCTCCAGAGGTTCAGGCTCTGAGGAACCAGCTGTCAGAGAGAGACCGAAAGATCCAACATATGGAGGTGAGCCAAACCTGAAACATTTGCAGTTTTGACCAGTCAATGAATTTATTTATTCATTTATTTATTTAACCCAAAATATTCACTGTGTGGGTGAAATGAATATGTTAAGCATACTAGCACGTTTCCAGTGCTTCCCGTTAGGCAAACTCACCAGTAACAGTATTTGCGCTTTCTTGGGCCAAACTGGCATTTTAAATTCTCAAATGAAAAATTTTTCCCATTATCCACTAGGGATGCATGATCATTGATGATTTTGATTATTTGATTAATTAAATATTAATAAAGTGTTAGAGGAGGCAGTAGACTGTTTCACACAACGAGTCACATGTAAGTATACCACAACATTCTGGTACAGTGAACTTAACTTGCTCACCTGATTTACAGTTTAAAACTGCAACGGAGATCAGCAACAACAAAAATAACAAATTAGACAATTGGTGATCGCCTGTTTGGAGTAAAAATCTGCCAATTCTGATCTTGGCAGATTCTGATCATGCATCCCTCGTTATGAGAATCACTACTTGCAGCCAAAATACCAAGTCAGAGCATCTGTGTTCTTACTTGCTCTGATACCAGTCAGATCCCATGAGCACAAGGCCTGTTTGACATAAGATTACATTGCGTGGCACCAGTGATGCAGTGGCATGACTGATACACCTAGCCCTTGTTGGTTTTTTATACATGCAGCATTTACCTGACAAAACAGTACAGCAGTATTATACCGGGAATTCTCACCTTTTCTAAACATATTCTAAAGATACTGCACACAATATGCAAATGTTGTGTGAAATGTAGAGTAGATTGTGTGAAAGCATGTGATTTTCTTGCCCTGACTGGCCATTTTTTCCAAGACTGCATGAATCATTTCAGACTTGAAAACACGCAGGACTTTTAACTGACTTGGACTAAAATTATTTTGCTTTGAGTAACTCTATACTTTAATGTTTATATTATTAAAACACATGATTGAACATTCCACTTTGTCACTACCATAATAATCATAACACTATTGAAGCTTTACCACATTTTGGAAGTGACTGTTTCGGTGGTGACAGTTTTAGCTCGTTTTGAATGTAACTCAAAAATGCTAGCCAGTACGTGACTACCAAACACAGCTTTGAACAGTTGTACGCACATAAAATCATAAGTTTTCATTAAAACGTAAAGTTTACTTAATTGCAGGAAATACGTGTTTCGATAGTGACAATTCTTTGTGTGTTTGTGTGTGTATAGCATGACTTTGAGAAGACCCGGTCCAGACACGATCAAGAGGAGAAGCTTATCATCAGTGCCTGGTACAACATGGTGAGCAATATGTCTGTTTTCCACATCAACAGTCTCATGTGGCAGTAAAGAGCCCATATTGTGGGAAACCTAATTTGATGTACTATGTAAACTTTAAGGTTTCAGAACATGCCATTCACTCCCCAGTTCGTACAGTTGATATGAATAAATTAATTAGCAAATACAGCCCATTTTGAATTTACCATGTTTATGATGTCACAAACATGAAAACATCTACATATGACCGCCAGTTCAGCCTACAGCAGTTCAGCCCACCCATTCATATTGAAAGGAGATGCATTTCAGTACAGACAGTGTTTTTTCTGACTGAGACACAATACAGGACGCTCTAAGGCCTAGCCAATCAGTAGTGGGGTTGTATTTATTTAAAATTTTTCCACACTTTTTTGTACATAAATCCACATAAATATTAAGTATCTGGGAAACAGTTTGAATCAGTATTTATCTTTAACTTTCTCTCTCTAGGGTATGGCTCTTCATCAGAAGGTGGTAGGAGAGCGGACTGGTTCCCCAGGCCAGGCCCAGTCTTTCCTGGCCCAGCAGAGGCAATCCACACAGGCACGGAGAGGCCTAACTGCCCGCTTCCAGCCCAGATAACACGCACACACGAGTACAGAGAGCGAGTATAAGACACTCTGACTGGCTCTGAACTCTCCTCTTCTTGCCTGCTGTAGTATCTTCCTTGCCAGCAACTTGTCCATAAATTCTCTGGGCAACTGGAAGCGCATTGCTGCCACCTACAGGCCAACACTGGAAGGGCAATGGTCTTTTTTGCTGCTGGCTAAACATGCACCTCCATTCTCTTGCCTTTTGGAGTGTGTGGTTGAGTCTGACTGCTGCAGAGGAAGAGGATTAAGATTTGAAGATCATTAGGATGAGGAAAAAATGCATAAGGGAGGAAGGAACGAAGAACATTGTTGCCTACTGTCAGCGTTTTCTTCTTTATGAACTTTATTTAGTTTTCCGTTTCCTCTTAGTTGGATAGTCAAGAGGGTTAGTTTTATTAGTAAGGATACAGGGTTTTATTTCAAAGCGCTTTGGTCTGCCACTGTATTTACAGGGTCAATCTAGATAGACGTTCTAGGGCTCAGCCAGTCGGGAATCAGGGAATAGTAGGGTTTAAATTTTGTTCTTTGTTTTACCATTCTTCTCACTTTATTTCTTCATCCATCCAGACAACACTACGATAAACTTATTATCAAATGACCAGATGGTGCAAAGCCCACAAGCTGTAGCTGTTCATTTAGTCACTGATGGCTGTAGTTGTGGACCTGGTGACTTTCCTTCAGCAAAAATGCTGCTCTTACAAAGTGATTTTCATGTGTGTCTGTCTGATATAGAGTTTATGTGCTAATCATGTCCTTCTGATTTATATCGCAAGCATGCCTGTTTAGTTTTAATCATATTTTCTCTGTATTTGTTTTGATCTTATTTTTATCCCTGATTTTTTGCTGTAGTTTTAGCTAGTTTTATGGATATTTTCTTTTTCCTTAACAAATCATGTTTTAGCACCTTAACATTCTAAGTAACATGTAGACATATGAGGCCTAGCTTATTTTAGTTTAATCTGATCCTAGATTTTAGTCATGTTTCAGTTTGTTCAGTAACACACTACAGATTTCAGTTAGCTTATTAGCTATTAGCTTATAATTACACTGTGAGAATGAACACCTTCTTTATGGTTTATGGTGGATATCAGTGCCTCTTCACAGACTTAAGCAATGGCTGTTTGTATGCTGCCTGCTTGCTGAGGTCAAAGAAATTGACCTTGAGAATGTTAGCCAGTCCAGTTATGAACAGGAGACTGCACTTTCCAATGATGAACACTTAGTTGTCTCTCCAGTTTGGCAGTTACAGGAATCCATTAAGGAATCCATTCTCTGTCTTACGATCATGTTTCATGAATTTCAACTAAAAATGATCTGAGAACAAAATGAAAAACTATCCTTTTTTGTTTAGTCTTTCACACTGAAATCAAATGAGGGACCTCATTTTAAGATGAGCTGCTCACCATTTAAGATGAAATGTTAGCAATGCTAGCATTTCCTTGCTGAGAGGAAACTGCTTTCTTCTCCATATTTGCTACTGTTGCTACAAGATGGTGGTTCAGTTTGGCTAAAGTATTAGCCGGATGGGCTCCTTTTCTGTTTGAATCTGCTGTTATCCGTTTTTAACTGATGTCTTTGCACAATGTGAAAAAGCCGTAAGCGGTTATCCATTAGCAATGAAGGGTTTTTTCCTTAATTGAGGAGAGCTACCAAAGTTTAATGCCTTTTTCTTTTACTTTATTTTTTTCTTTTCTTTTTTTGGACACTACTGTAAATGGTCTAACACTGACACTAAATCAAAGTCCTTTTCAAACTGTTTTCTGGTTCCAGTGACCACAAAAGATGTCTGAAAGAATCACTTCACCAAAAGATGCTAACATGGCTAACTCTGAGTAAAAGGCTGGTTAGCATGATACAGTTTCCATAAACTAGCTCCTGCTAGTTTCATTCATTGTTAGCATCATCAGCATTTTTAGCTTTTTAAACTGCTAACAGTGACTGACAAACTTGCCCTACAGCTGCTGTGCGTTTGTGTTTAGAGGAGCACATTTTGTGTGTTACAGTTAAACTTGTTTGGAACTACATTTGCTGAGCACCAAGACTGAAGATGTGAAAAATTAATGTTTTTTGAGAGAATTTTGTCAAAGACACTGGAGTGACGATGTTGAACTGTGTGATTCATATTTACATGTTTAAAGTATTTTTTTGTGTTGTGTTATATTCTGGTGTTTGTTGGGTGAACAACACTGGGTCAAGCATGAGTTGTAGATCAAATTAGTCAATGTTCCACATTTTGCACTGCAATAAAAAACCATGGACAGCTGGTACCAGAAAACATGATGACTGGTGTTGTGATTCATTGTGTATAATTATGCCAGATACGTCTTAACTGTGGGTAAATAGGATAGCACTACACGGTCATTTTATTGCGTTTTACCTACTAATTTATGTAGTGGTCAGATATTTCTCTGTGCCAGTATATGTAGTACATGGAATATGCAGCCTCAAAGGGAGAATAGTTTGTAAGGCTGTGTTTAGCTAGAGGTTTGTTTTTTGTAGTTGTAGTTTTTTCTTTCCTGTAGTCCAGTTTCATGTAGTTCTAAGTCTGAAAACTGAATTTGGTTTGAATAAGGTTTCTCCGCAGCTGTCACAGACCTGGCATCGTGCTGTTCTATGACATTACCACTAAAAGTGGGTGCTGGATGGGCATGAATTGTGTGATTGGTGGCAGGTATATTCTAATTTTATATGTATTCTAATAGTAATCTACTAGCATTACCACTTTTTTAGATATGGCCAACACAGATTTAATAAACTGCTTCATTTCTTAAATTACTAAGAGATACAAATTCTTATTTTTTTTTCTGCAGCCCCCTTAGTGCCACTCTACAGCCCCTAGTTTGAGAACTGCTGGCCTAAAATACCACTTATATTCAACTCAAATACTTTAACAGATAATTGTAGTTATTTTGAAATTCTGAGAAATTACATATACAAACGGAGGAGTGATCATCATTAAAGGGAGACTGGCCATGTGTTGCACTTATTGTTAACGTGCCTTCTGGTGCTGCTGCAGTCTCTAGAGCAAGATTTTTCAGGTTTAAAGACAATTAAACCTGCCTTCTCATGACATGTCTTAAGTGGGGAGAGCTTATGAAAAACTACACCTGCTTTGGGTGGACCTTTGGAGATGGTTGTTTTAAATGTGATTTTTTTTTTTTCTTCAACAGCGGAAAATTGAGAATCTTGTGTAACACTGTCTGTCTATACACTCTTAAGTTTGGAGTTTCTGCTCAGGCCGATTAAAGGCATCACTAACTTAACGTGTACAAGTATTTAAAGTATCTCATAGTATGGAGCATGTTTTTTGCACTGGAATGTTTAAGTGACTGAGCTGATATAGCACTGCTGCACTTAAAGGATGGGAATTGTTAGGTAGGGTATTTGGCATCATATGATACACAGTCTAAAAGTCTAAAATTACTTTTTATGATACATAATAATATACAGTATGCTGGTCACCAGCAAAACCAGCATATGTTGTGTTTTAGATGCTAGTATGTTGGTCAGCCAGCATGACCATGCTAGCAGACAAGCTAAACCAGCATAAATCAGCTTAGACCAACATGCTGGTCTACGCTGTTCTTTTCAGCAGGGAAAACACTAACATTAGAATAAATACAAATAAACAATCCATTGTGATATGATTTGTGTTAGTTTAACCATTTCCAAAGCTCTCCTTGGGCAACTCGGATTTACAGTTACCATCCAATACCTTAGATGTAACCAGTCCTTCATTAAATTAAATCAGGAGCCTTTGATAAAACTTAAAATAACTCTGACTTGAGTGCAGACGTCAGGAACCAAACCTGAGCCAACTGTAGCTCTCTGTCATCTAAGTCGATTATCCTCCTGGGTCGCAGGGGTGCTGGAGCCTACCCCAGCACTCATTGCGTGGAAGGCAGGAAACACCCTGGACAGGTCGCCAGTCCATCCCAGGGCAGAAACACAGACGTACACATTCACACTCACACCTAGGGGCAGTTTAGTATCTCCAATTGGCTTGACTACATGTCTTTGGACTGTGGGAGGAAACCCACACAGACAATGAGAGAACATGCAAAGAACCCTGGTCGCCCAGCCGGGGAATCAAACCCAGGCCCTGTTTGCTGTGAGCTGACAACGCTACCCTCTGTAGCCAATATGATCAATAATGCTTTTGACAAACAACACATTCCCATTACTGTACTTGTACAGCAGTAAAAATGACATTCTAAGATTAACAGTAATCATTAGATGCTAGGGGGTGGAGTGTCATGCCTTTGAGAGCATCAACTCGCTTGAGAATTCTCCTTTTATCATTAATTTTTGTACGTGGGACCCTTTAATGGATTTTGCGCCGGTGGCCCTAAGATCATAGTTACCCCCATCTGATGTAAACAATATAAAACCGTGAGATCTGTCGAGCTGATTAAGCTACTGCGCTACACGGTTTACATGACAAATTACGCACTCGTTTTCGTCTGGGCTGCCTTGTTAAGAACGCTGAAAACAATTAAAGACAGTGCCAACGGTCTTAAATGACCGTAAAGCACAGACTCTGCTAATAATAATGTACAGAAAAGTAAACATTCACACTGCCCTCTTCAGCTCCGCGGTCAGTCAGAGCGCTGTGGCTGTAAAGCGCCTTCAGACCACCAGGCGGCAGGACGACGCTCAGCAGCGCTTAACTCCGCCATTGTTCCCACAAACCGCAGAAGAAAATCAAGATGGTTGATGGCCGAAGAGGCGAAAACAAAATATAAGATTTTTTCTGGAAATTTCGATATAGGTTGAGCTGCTGCATGAGGTTTCACCGTTTAAAACGTGTGTTTTGATAGGAAAGTAGAACAGATGACCTCCTGAGTAACATATGTTGTTTTTTGTTATTTTGCAGAGTAACTAGCTCGTCTATTTTTTCGGTGCTGTCCGTTTGAAGGTTCAGTTGCCAGCGGTTCTTATTTTTTTGGATTGGAAGGGAAAGCTCACTGAATTTACCCTCTTTTTTCTTTTTAGTTAATATTAAACTTGTGTTCTTGTAACGTGAGAACATTAAGTATTTTGTATGCTCGTCAGGGGCCGGTTGGTAAGCTAGCTTAGCTTGAGTGAGGTTAGTTAGTTTGAACGTCCCTGACTGACCGAGCAGGTGACTTGAAGAGCGAAGGCTCCCGCTGTCAATGCTAAAAGGACTTTTTTCTTAAGAAAAAGGAAAAAGAAACGCTCCAGTCGACATGGAGTCCAAGCACGGTAGCAGCAAAAACCAGCCGAGCAGCAGCGGCAGCGACTCCAGCGGAGGGCCCGGGTCGCCCGCCAGCCCCGGAGCTCCCACCGGCGGCAACGCGTTCGCCAACGACGGCAGCTTCATGGAGCTGTTCAAGAAGAAGATGGAGGAGGAGCGGAGGAAAAGGGAGCTGCAGGAGGAAGGGAAGAGCGAAAAGAACAGTGCGGACGCAGGACAGTCGTCTCAGGGAAAGAAGACGCTTAGCGTGACCAGCTTTGTAAGGGGTTTGGCAGTTGCTCTAGCCGGTTACAGCCGCACTACATTAGTTTATGCTGAAATGTGCTGAAACTGTTTACAGCTTTACATCCCACGTGCAGAAATAGAAACAGCAGCCACACTTTTTCATCCCTTTATCAAGGACCATCAGTAATGGTCAGCTTGTTTAGAGATTGGCTTATAGTTTAGCACAGCTTGTATCCAGTTCACATTATTATAGCTGCACATCTGCCAAATCTTATGTTCCATGAGTCCTGCCCACCATGAAGATTGTTGAAGATGGGGGACAATTGAGATAAGGCATAGCAGGGGATGGTGCGGTTTTTTTGGGTGGTCTCTCGCTGTTGGGGCGGGTGAAGCCTACTTGTAGATGCTTTCCTAAGTGAATGGCAGGCTTCCCCAAAATGGCCCGTATAACGGTTTCAGTCTTCTCCCCTAACCCAGGTGGGCAAGCGGAGAGGCGGCGCCAAGTTGGCCCTCAAGACTGGCGTGGTTGCCAAGAAGCAGAAACTGGACTCGGAGGTGAGTCAGACTTTTAGTGACGGTGTTTTTGTAGATGGTCAACATTTTTGCCATATTCCAGCACAGCTGTACCAAGTTTCACATTCTTAACTGATTGGCACGGATCTGTCAGCGGTAGTGCTCCCTCATCCAGTCTTTTGGGACTCCCAGATGGTTCACATTTCTTAGTGTTCTTGGCTGGTTGGTACGGATCTGTTGGCAGCAGTATTCCCCTACCGAGTCTGTCCCAACTGTCACAACTATTCCAGAATTAGTGTTTTGACGTCTTGGTACAGAACTGTTGGGAGCTGGGATAGCACAAAAATAATGGACCATCTGGGGAGGACTGCACCTTTTTTGGGCATTTCTGCATAGTTTCTGTCCTGTGCGCATGTATTTCAGTCAGAGTAGTACGCCTTTTATCCATGTTATATCCATGTCTGTTATTGGTGGAACTGAGCAAAGACAGTTTGAAACACATTAATACACCTTCCTTCTGCAGGCCTCCTGCAAAGCGCTCGGCCATGTTCATTTCGGAAATGGGAAATCCTCTCACATTTATATGTATTTATATATATTTATATTAATATTCATGATGTGGTTGTACAGATTTTTTTCCTTTTTGATGTTTGCTGCAAAGCAGTAACTCTGAAAAGGTGCAAGAAAAGTTCATTAATCATTGTTCTGTTTAGAAATACAGGAATAAACTTATAATGAACGTGCCAAGTGGAATTGAGTAAGACATTGTTTCTCATCCCTGGTCCTGGAAGCCCACCGTCCTGCACATTTTAGTGTTCCCCCTGCCTTAACACAGCTACTTAGTCAATATTTGTCTGTTAATGAGCTGATTAGTTGAATCAGGGTGTTGGGAGCAGGGAAAACACTTAAAGGTGCAGGGCTGTCAGTCTCCAGAAACACTGGAGTAAGAGACATGGGCTTACTGAATGAACAGGCTGATTTCTCTTTGGGTATAATCTTACATTCCTGTGTTTTGATCCAATCCATGCATCACTTTATACTGCTGTCTAATGTTAGGCCCTTACAACCAACTTAATCAGCTGCTCTGTCCTACAAATATATAAGGTCTAAACTTTTGAGACAAACTATTCTTAAGCCATCATTTTCAAACAAAGTTTGTACTCGTGATTGCTTTATGTCCTGAAGCTCTCTGATGTTACTGTGTGTACTTTACAGGCTGAGGCAGGTAAAGGAGATGCCTGGTCAAAGTACATGGCAGAGGTGAAAAAGTACAAAGCTCACCAGTGCGGAGACGACGACAAAACCAGACCGCTGGTCAAATAGACTCTACTGAGCAGCATCCCACAGGAGCAGCCGCCGGACCCTCTCAAGACTGCCAGGCCATTTGAACATGCAGCCGATGAAAAGTCACACGGTGTACTTTGTGATTTGGTCAAGGGTTATTGTTTTTTGTTTTTTTCCCCTTCCTTTTTGTTTTTCCTCAAACGTTTTGATCCTAGGTTTCTAATTTTAGCGTGTATGCAGTCTGTGCCAGCTGCAGTTACGTACGGTGATTCAGATGCCTTTTAAAAGTGTAATTTGAGCATTATTATCAACATTAGTAAGATCATTTGTGGTGTTTGTTGTATTTGCACTGACATCACACCTTGCTATTTTGTACTTTTCCCCCCAGTGTCACCTGAATTAAAAGATAAAAGTATTAAAATGCTGAGTGATTATGCCCTTTAAGACTGACCCCTTGCATCACCAGTAATGCTTGTCACATTTTTGTGTATAACCTTTTTGAGGTAGAATTCTTAATAGACATGCTTTTTCTTTTCCGATATCAATGTTGAAACTGTGAGTTGCTGATACTGCTCCAATGTGTTTTTATTTTAAACTAACGCACTTTAGGCTATCATGCTATAGCTCAGGCATGTCAACCTGGGGACCTTCCCCTGCAGAGATTAGTGTTTACCCTCATCTAACACTCTGATTTCAGTTTATAAAGGCCTTGCTAATTAGCTTGGCCCGAGAGGACTGGAGGCTGGCACATGTGCTCTAGCTTCTCAAACTCTACTACTCCACAGGAAGAAATGCACAGCTAACATATCACGCTATAAGGTATTTCAAGCTAGGTTTGTTACAGGATTGGGTGATTCAGTCTTTCTTTACCCCCTTCTATATCCAAGCCAGCTTTTTCTGCTGCCCATCAATACTTATGCCATCCAAAGTTCAAATCCTGTCAGACCTCTGAATTACCATTTAGGGTTACCCTGTCCCAAATTACCTGACAAATTGACCAGTCCGAAATACATGCATTTAAACGCCTAGTTTGGTCATAGCTGTTGTCCAGTGGAAGGTATGGTTCTTTTTGTTCTGTTTAGTGTCCCCTCTGTAAGAGTAAATGAGAATTGTCCATACAGTTTGTGAATTTACGGCTCTTGTACTGAAAAGTTCTGAATCTGTTTTACGCAAGATATCCACTACTTCATTACCTGTTAAGTCATCCTCACTACATTGCTTCTACAAAGTACTGTAAGACAGCACTGCAGTAGTGTTGTATATGATTTTTCCTTGATCAGCTAGGCCCTGACATGAGCCCTCTAAGCTCATCTACTAACCAAACTTTACTTGAGACAATAAACATATTGAACAGCCGTTAAGTCATGGATTCCCCTGAGGGAAATAGCGAGGCCAAGCCGACGAGGGCATGTTAAAACCAGTATGAAATGGATGTCTAGCATTTCATGATGTCATTTGGTGTGGTAGAAAACAGGAAAACTAAATCAGTTCCGTCAGCACTGAGTAAAGGAAAAATGCCTCAGTCTTGCTATAAAGAAGCATGCATATTTCATCATAATCATAATCCTGAAAAGCCGTTGCTGGGACTAACTAATGCTTTTTATTTAGCTAGTGTGGAGTTCAGCTTAAGTAGACAAATTTTGAAAATTCAAGTACAATACAAATTCACCCCCCCACCCCCAAGTCCCCACTTTCATTTGGATATAAAATAATTTTTGTTCAACAGGGGCTTATTATAATTCCACTGGGAACAGCACCAGAGAGACACTGACCTACACCTGAGAGAGGGAGGGATGAATTCACTCACTCATTCATTCTCTAGCTACCTCATTCATTAAAGCATCCATAATTCACTCAGTGGTTCAGAAATCAACACACACACAAAATCACTCAACCCAGAGTGTGTACATATACACAGTTTCCCTCCCTGTCCACAGTGATTAAGGTCTGTCTGTGTAAACATTAGCCAAAAAAAAAAAATCATCCATTCCAATGACAATATTATTAATTTAAAAAAAAAAAAATTGATCCATTCTTATTGGGTAAGCCAGCAGTCCATGCATATGTGGGTGGGCCCCTTGGTTATGTCCATTTCAGTATGAAAGCCACCCAGATTCCCGCATTATCAGAGTCAGTTCACATGAGCTTTCCTTTAGAGTCCAGCAGATCCTGGGTGAGGTCATAGCGACTTCCTCTTCACGTCTCCGCCCTGGCTTTGAGTGACATCTGTAACAGGAAATGAGAATCAGTTCAGAAAAAAACGGCAAAGACCATGATCATGAGAGGACAGAGAGGTCAGGGGGGAAGGGGGAAAACAACACTTAACATTTAAGACAGACCCAAGAAAGGTACTAGTAACGACTACAGGAGGGCAGACATGCAACCACCACCAGATGAACACAGAAGACAGCCACCAGGCAGGCAGTGAAAGGGGGTTTTGGGGGGAGGTTGGACAGAGAGAAGGAACGAGGGAGCGACGGAGGAGAGGGCCACAGTTTACCTGAGAAAGCGAGTTGCAAGTGAGGAGGCAGAGCAGCCTGAGCACCTGACATGAGACCCTTTAACAAATCTGAGGAAGGATGGACAGACAGATGGAGAGAGAAAAAGAGAGCAAGAGGAAAGGAAAGTGAGAGGAACAGGGTAGAAATCGGAGAAACAGGTGAAGGGATGAATAAGGACAGGGATAGACAGATTAAGTGGAGGGATGAGAAAACAGACCAGAAAAAAGGGAGTAAAGAGCAGATATAGATCGTTTCAGGGGATGATGAATAGATGAAAAAGCAGAGATGGGCAGAACAGCAAAGAAAGGAAGTAATAAAGAAAGGAAGGAAAAAGGGTGTAAAAAGCAAGAAAAGTTGAACATGAACACAAAGGAAAAATGGATGAACAAAATGAATAAAAAATGTATGATGAGAAATACAAACAGGCTAGCAGCAGGTCAAAAACACTACATGAACCAACAGCAGCACAAGAGACAAGCCAAAGACAGGGACATACGGTGTCATATACAGCATCTTACACGCAACGTTATGGGTATAGTACTGTGTGAACTCTAAGTGGTTTGTTGAAAGTGCCAATCATTTTTACTTGAAGCTCAGAAAGCAGAGCAATGTAAATGGTATTCAGTTTGAACTCCAGAGTTGGTATAAAGCCCAGTGGATACTCCTCTCATCAGAGAACAGTTTCCTGCCACTTCAACTCCGGAAGAGCTTGTTAAGTGATTAGTAAGACCAACGACTAGACACAGCGTTTACAGATAGTTAAATAACTAATGATTTGATTTACTTTGATTCATTTTTGACACGATATAATGTGTTTCAGCTCCAATATGATTAGATTCAGGCATGTTTCTTATGCCTCATTCAAAGCCCCTACATTCTTTCTTGAATGTACCTTGGTAAAGTCTTGAGTAGAGCTGAGTATCATTACATTTTTTGATATCCATCAATACCTTGATTTTGATACTTATTTCTGAATTGTTTGATACTTGTCTTTTGCTGTCATATGGGGGTTTTGCTTTGCCTTTCTGGCCTGCATACAAGCAACTCTATCTGAGAGTTTTCTTCCAGATCTTGCCTTTACTTCCACAGTTCTCCTTAACCGCCATGAATGTTTTAATGACATTTCAGACAGTGGAAACAGGGTTGGAAGCTAGAAGCATGTGCAAAAGTCTGGAGTTAAGGTTATTAAGTCAGTCAAAAATTAAAAGCATTTGCAGAAAACGTTAGCTCCAGAGGTTAGGTTTACTTCTTTTTACTTCACAAAAAGCAACATGTAATGTGGCCAGAGGTTCCCAAACTCTTGCATACAACTCTCTCTAGAGCCACTAACAGATGACCTGCCTTTTTGTTTATTTAGATAACTAGTGGTACATCTAGACTTCCCAAAATGACAAACAATACGAATGCATTTACACAGGTATCAATGTAAGTGAACAATAGGACAGGATTCTCTTAACTGGACCCATCGAACATAGCAAATTGATGTTAATAGTTCATGTGTTACTCCACTAATCAGTGTGCAGACTGTGTGAAAGATAGCCGACACTGCTCACAGGCAGCCTGTTTCATGCGCGGTTTCATTGATTCTATTGTGTGTGTGAGAGTCATACTCACTGGGGGGTAGACTGTATCCTGAGCTGGTGGGGTTAGCAGAACTGGCCGCTGCAGCGGTAACTGTGGGAGTTGGGAGGTTGAGCAGGCCTGGGAACTGGAAGGGCAGAGAAACAGGCACCAACCCTCCCAACATCCCGAACCCCAGCGGCAAATTTGGGGCACCTGAGCCTAGCAGAGCTCCACTGGATGACGAAACCTGCAGAGAAAAATAAATAAATAAATAAATTTAAAAAAACAGCTCTGACAAGGAATCTGAAAGATGCCATCAGGGCTAACAATACATAAGAGAAACAGGTCAAAAAGTGAACAATGTTAACTTAGCCCAGCTTGTTAGCTTCCCACAGCTACAATACTGTCTGGATTAACTGAACCAACGTGAAACAAATCTTATCTATTGAGGGACATCAGTCATTTTTTGTTCTAGCAAATTAATAGTCACATACGGGGTAGACATTGCCTATTCCTCAGTGCCCCTGGCCACAACATTTCACATTTTGGCCATAAAAATTGCAAAACCTGTGGCCTGAGTGGCCAATTGCCTGGCAGAGTTTTTTTTTCCCTTTTTCCAATGACAGTGTGGTGACTGTGGTGGTAGCGTTACACCGAATACACTGAAATGATCTAGATCAGATGACATGGACCAGCACAGCAGGAGGACCATAGCACCATGGTCAGCACAACAGCAATGCTCTAATTAATGTGATTTTTTTGATAAACAAAGCAACTCCTGAATGTTTTAGTGCTGAAGCATGCAGCATTTCTTTATTTTGGCCACAAGAATAATTGGCTTGGTGGTTCCAATAGACATGCATTTTTTTTTATATCTGTCCACCCCTCATTACATAGAACATGGCTTAAAAGATATACATGTGCATTTGGTAATCCTTGCAGAACGTAATGTGCCTGGTAGCTAAACTAACTTTCCCTACTAGTTTGCATTCTTTTTAGCAATGTTAGCAACTGCACGCTGTATTACTTTCATTAGTCAGACACTAGGCAGACAAATTTGGTTTATCAAACTATCCAATTTATGCTTCCAACACCGCCTTACCTGTGGCAGCTGAGAGGCTGATGCTGAGGAAACCGATGCCATCGTCTTAGTCCCCTGATTAGCCATGCCTGCCGGCCTTTGCCGCTGTCCGTGATTGGCCGAGCCAGCTATGGGCGACGCGCTGGTTGGAGGCTTCGTGATGGAGGAAGGAGTGCTTGTGAGGTTGCCGCTGTTCACCTGAGAGGAATTCTTCTGCTGCCCTACAGGGGCGCTATAACTGGCCCTGACACCTGAGAACCCCGCGTGAAACCCTGGGCTTTTAGAGGAGTACTGGTGCACGCTGGGTAATGTAGGCGGTCTGAGGGTGGGGGAGGGGGAAGGAGAGCTGGTAGCCACGCTGGGGGTCGATACCCGAGGGGTGAGTTTGAGGATGGGGGAGTTGGAGCTGTGGGGGGATTTGGTGAGTGTGGCATGCATTGGGGTGATAAAGTTGGACTGCTGATGCTGCGGTTTTGGCTGAGAGGGGGAGGGAGAGGGCACTGGGCGTGGGGACTCGTGTGGGGCATTTTTGGACTGTGGTAAATGTAAGGCCTGTGGCGTTTTGGCAGCGAGGAGCGTGGAAGAGGATGAGGAAGAAGCGGAAGAAGACGGCGTTGTAGAAGAAGTAGGGAGCACAGGTGGCCGAGATGATAAGCTTATGTCACCTATTCTACTGCCGTTATTATTGCTGGACTTGTGTTGGCTCGGAGACGTGGCCATGGGCAATTTTCCCACGGGTGAACTGAAGCTTTTGTGAGGAGGGAGTAGCGGCGAGGCAGTGGGCGGCGGCCTCGGTTTCGGCGGAGACGGCGTACCAGGCATGCTCAGCTTGTTGCTAACAGCAACGACAGGGCGCTGGGCCGTCATTACGGAATGTCTTTGCGCCTGAGACACACCGCCCACTCCGATCTTCACCCCTGCCAATCCCTCACTCCTAACAGCAGGGGAAGAAGAGATGGACACAGAGGGAGGACGAGAGATGGAGGGAGACGGAGAAGAGACGAAGTGAGGGCTACTTGTGGCCAGCGGCACGGCGGCAGCGGGCACAGATGGGGCAGTAGTGGTGCTGGTCTTTTTGGGGAGTGGAGTAGTGGAGGTATGGGGAGCCGTGGGGCTGGAGGGTTTGGGGCCCTCGGGGGACGCCGGGCTGTCAGACTGAATTAGCCCCTTAGCAGCACTGCTGAGTAGAGCCAGCGCCTGTGAGATGGAGTCCAGAGACGGAGCTCCGCCCAAATCCTCATCCAGAGAGTCCGAAAGGCAGATGGGCTCGGATGGGGATGGCGGCTTGGGCAGCAGGCCAGGCTGCTGCACGCCTGTCTCCATGGACGCAGTTGGCTGCTGGACCCAGCCACCATCCTGAGGCTAGAGAGAGAGACATCGGTATAAATGGGTGTGAAAGCGCATGAGTGCATTGTGATGTATTGACATGAAGGTGGCAATTCAACTGTGCTGATTTTGCAATGTTAGAATCAATTTTAAATCAATCAATCACAATAATACTCAAAAAAGTATGTGTAAAAGCTATTTTCAAAACATAACTAAAAACTTGTATTGTTCTTATTTTCAATATTGCTACACTGTGTGAACAGTTCCTGTACAGTGCTTCTCCTACATTAATATAAGCCCGACGGCACACCTGGACAAACCTCCGTGGCTGAATGAGTCACTGACATCAGGGTATAACTTGCAGGCTAACGTTTGCAGTCCAACTGTCTAATTCAGTGCATATTTAAAAAGTAATTTAAGTTGTGCCAAAGTAATTAAATTGAATTGTGGTGAAATTTGAGATTTGATGACACACAAAAGGATCATAATCCTTGTCAGAGATTTACACCCATGATGCTCTGATGGGATGAAATTATTTTGTAGTACAGTTTGCCATTTAAATATTGTTGGATAGATCTATTAATATGAGACTAAAAGCAACTCAGAGAGAAAACAATAATATTTCACATCGCTCCATGGACAGTCACTAAACTTACATAATTATTTTCCAGCAATGTTTCTTGAAAACATTGGGAAAATCACAAGTCTTATGTTTCTAAAACGTAAGATAAGCTCTTGAAAGATTCACTTACTAATTCAGCTCTTGGCTCTGGCCAAACATTTGCCGACAAACAGTGTATCATGTAGGCAACCTGAAAGATTAGTGCACCTAACCATACTGCAGGTTTATGCAGTTCCTCCTACGGTCATTCACTGCTTGAAATATAAAAAGCAAGAAGATGGACAAGAATGCACTCGCACATTCTCCCACATGAACATGCACAGCTTACTTTTGGTTTCACTTTTGGAGTGGGGACCATCTTTTTCTTCACCCTGAAAACAAACATGAAGAAACATTTCTTACTAGAAAGCATTTCATTTTGTACAAGAACAGCTACACACAATCTGGACAAACAGGACACACAAAGTTTAGTTTTTATTCAAAGCCTGAACAAGTTAATCAGGATCTTCAGAACATTCAAATCAGTTGTGATAAGAACTGAAGTGACTGAGAGCGAGTGTCCTGATTTAGACTGTAGTTTTTTTTTTTTAACGTGCATGAGTAACCACATGTAAACAGTGTGTTTTAGGAGAATCAAAAGTCAACTCACGTGTTTCCTGTGAGGTGTCCGTGGGCCATGCGGCTCTCTTTAATCAGCATCCTGAAAACACACAACAGGAAGTGAGTGCTTTACACCTCCTAACTCCAGGACAGAAAGGCAATAAATATATATATAATGTATATATGCACCCATATACTAAAGAGCAAAATCAAAACCAAAATGCAAGAAATGAATGGAGACAAATCCTTAAACTTCAGGTCATGAGATAAGCTACACGAACACTAACAAGAGAAAACCTATTTAAATTACACAAGCTTATATGACATTTCACCTACAGTATTGTAGGGCTGAAACGATCAAATATATCCACTGCTGAACATTCTACTGAATATTTTTTCATATTTGAATATTTTGTAAGAATAAGAAAAGCTCAAGCAGAGTTGAATTAAATTGTTCAACCAGGGATTCTGGCCAATCTGGCAACCGCAAACAGGTTGCTGGCTGTGTTTGAACAGTAGTAAGCAGTGCAGGGAAGCAGAGGAAACTGTCTTTTAACCACTGTCTTAAAAATGAAAACAACTTTTTTGATCAACTTGCCATGGAATAGGGTTGTGACGAATACTTTTCCTACAGCTTCAGTTAGTTTGCATGCAGTCTCATTTATTCTCTGCAATCAATGAAGCTGAGAACATGCAAGTTATCCAGCTATACAGAGCAGTATTAAATGTATTTGGACTGCACACAGAGTTAAGACTGGTCTCAAACAGCAAAAGCCTGGTGTACCAAATCAATCTGCAATGAGTGTGGTGTGCAGAGCTGGCTTCTGTGTGCTACTAGAGACAAGTCTAGTATTTGGATAGTGGATAGTACAGTGCACAGGTTCATAAAAATGGTGAATGTGTTGGTTATGCGAATGGCTTTACCAAATATTATCAAATTTGTTGCAGCCCTTCAGTATCGAACCTTCCCTGCAACAACAGCTGCATGATAGCATTACAATTAGCTGACGTATGGAATCACCCAAATCACAAAACAGGCTCTCCATCACCCAAAACACTATTTCCCCCATCCGAAAAGTAGGCAATATGACGAGATTTGTTACCATAATTTCTGTTATCGATACACAATAGACATGCCTGATATAGTCAGTACTTAAAGAGCACCGACTAACTGCATGTTTCATTACAAGGACAGCATAATTAGTCCTGCGTAGTTGGATTTAGTGCAGCAAGCTATGTGTAATGTGTAAAAATGTTAAATAATTGTGTTTTGAGTGTATTGATGTTTATGATGAATGAAGATTTTTTACATGCAACACTACTAGTGCATGGTGTCAAAATATTGTGCTGTGAATTGTGTAAGTTTTCTTTCAGGATTGTGATAATATTTTTTTGCCATATTGCCCACCCCTACTACAACCAGTTCATTTTGTTTTAGCTGTAACAATCCCAGAAATCTATATGAGATTTCAAAACTGAATACATCCCACACTTTTTTAGCCTATTTTAGTAAGAGAAGCATCCCACAGTACTCGAAGTAACTTGCACTGAACTTAAACTACAGCAAATAGAGGATGGAGCAGTTTTGTAAATCAAAGTGTCACACATGCACACTAACCTGGCCTGCATCCAGCCTTTAGGCCAGAGGGGTTTCACCTCAGTCTCCATAAAGGCTTTGAGGTAGTCTTCAGGAGAGGGAGAATTTTGGCCCTCAGCTTCATAACAGCCCAGTTTCACTCGGACCAGATTACACAGCAGGGCCCTGCCGACACAAACACACACAGAAACACATTTTTTTTTTCGTTAAGATGTGTTAAACTACGTCTTTGTGCTGGTGGATGTGACTGAAGCATTTTTTTTTCATTTTGAGCTTAGATTTAGATTTTACCTGAGTTTGTCATCCCACACAAACTTCTTCCGTGGTCCCATTACCCGTTTTCCTGGCTTCTCCTCATCTTCATCCTCTGAACCATTCCTCTCCCCGTCCTCCGACATCTGCCTACAATGCCCACAGAAAATCAAACTGTGTGGCTGCAGTTTTGATGTTAAAGCAATTGTTTGACAAAAACTTTCCCCAACACCAAATGTAGCCAGTCAGTAGAGATGGAAGGATCAATCGGCTATATATCAGTCGATTTTCAGCCCAAATATGCCATCGGCAATTTGCTGATATTTATTTAATAACTTTCAGCCGATCCTGAGAGCTGATCAGTGACAAACATGTGAGCCATATTTCTTCTGAGGCACCAGAATGTAACTGCTGCACCATTTAAGGTGGAACAGGAAAATTCAAACAAGAAGCTGGTGAACAGGAAGCCAAAAGTATATTTATTACATATTTGGCTCCTATTGTGCCGTAAACTCTGTGTGAATGTGTAGAACTGTAATAATGCAGTTTGTGGTCAAAGCTTTGAGGATTCGTTTATGTTAGCATCCACATACTAATCTTAGCTTAGCTTACACTGCACTAGCTTCATGACCGATGGCTCTGACAGGGGCTAAAAATAAAAATAAGATGCACAACTGCATAGATAAAATGTGTATAATCAGCCCTTTTTATTTATTTTTTTTAGATTTGATTTAAAAATCATGAAGCAGCCTCTGGTTTTTTCAATGGTTACGCTAGCCTCTCTAATGTTATATCACTGTATTTGTCCGTACAACATTTGCGAAGTGTTTTATGGCCAGGAAGATTAAGAATAATAATAAATAAATAAATAAATAAATAAATAAATAAATAAATGTTCACTTTGGCAATGTGCGTCCATTCATTTGGGGGGTAGAGCTCCTAAAAGAGCACTGAGATGAGGGGTGTTTTGTTATTCGTTCTCCATTTACTGATCCTTCAAGTGATCAGCGATCGGTATCGGCCCCAAAAACACTGATCGCTCCATCTCAATCAGTTAATCATGTACAAAATGTTCTTCTTTTGTTTTGCACTGGAGCTACAAGATGCTGCTAATGAGTAACAGAAGCTTATAACCAACCAAATAACACTGTACCTAAATCACACACTTGCTTCAAACAGTGTCGTTGCTTTAGTGCTCATACTTTTGCCCATTTTACACCAAACATGCCTTCGCTGATAGAGGACATTTGGTGTAAAAGGGGAAGACAAAGTAAATCTGATTTTCACCAAACTATCGCTCATCAGTACATCATGAACAATCCATTTGTGCTCCCATTTCAAAAACTGGGACACTGTGTTCTGCAGTAATGCACTAACAGACACTCCCTATCTAATCCACTGCCAGTACGCTGTACAAAAGAAAGTGATCAGTTGAAAATGCCCTTACTTGGCCACTTTAGCCATGCAGTCCATGTTGTAGCGAGCGATCTGCTCAGGCATGGCGCTGCAGACGGCCAGTTTGAGTTTGAGCAGCGGCTTCTTCAGCCTGTCGTCCTGCACGTTCAGACTGAGCTTCTTCAGCCGCTTCAGCAGAGCCTCTTTATTACAAGGAACGAAGGCCTCAAGGTGGGAATACACAGCAGAGCGCACTTCAGCCGGCTGCTCCTGAACCTGCAGCTCAATACTGCAGACAGGGAGAGACACAAAGAGAGAGAAAGAGTGAATGAGAAAATATTATTTATATTATAAATAGTAGTACTGGTAATGGTGGTAGTAGTAGTAGTAGTAACAGTAACAGTAGTTAGGGATGGGCATTTCAGTCAAATTTCAAATGTCAGTTATTCAAAAAATATTTAAATAATTTAATTAAGTAACACAACTCCACAGTGTGAGACAGACTTGAAAGTCACACCAAGATAAACATAAAATAAACAGGCAAATGCTAATTAGTAGTTTTCACCTCAGCTAGTATTCATTCAAGTTAAATAAGTTAATAACGTCCAGTCCCTACCTGCATAGTTAGGTTACCTCTCAAATTCAGAAAACTCAAATGTGTGAGATTTTACAAAAATGAATAAACAAAGCACTGGCAAAGCTCTTAAATAATAAACATAATTAGGCTGGAGTTGGCATCTTATTTGTCAGCTTCTTATTCAGATTTTCTGTTCCACTTTAAATAGTGCAGCAGTTATTTAGGTGCCATTTACAATGGATTTTGAAAGAAGCTGGCGAGTAAGAAGCCAACACCATGTAACACAAAAAACCCGAAGACATCCTGTTTACCTCAATAAATACGTCCTTAATCAGGTAATATTCTCAAATATTCTATTTTTTATACTCTAAAACTCTTCTATACTTTTTAACTACTACAGTAACGAATGCAGTTCTATTTGTACTGCACTTTTATGTACTACTTATTGTGCTAGTAAGAGGTTTGGGAGGCAGCAGAAGTAATGAACCATCACTGCGCTGCCAAATGAACTTTAGATTCCTACCAAAATAGTGGCGACATCATCGGAATACTATCAATTACTTGCTTAGTCACACCTTATTTCACCACTTTTAGCTCAGAAACAAGGAGCTTAAGAAAAGTTAGTTTGTGGATACCAAAGCTTAAAAAAAAAAAAATAATAATCACTAAATGATCTATTCGATTAAGTGTAAAATAAAATTGTGCTTCTTGTTTATTAGGTCTACCGTGGAGCTCCTTCTCCGGTGTGTCAGCTGGCCACAGTTTACATTGCAGTAAACAGATAAGACAAGACAAAGCACACACACAACTCAAAAGCTACTCCATCCTTAATAACTAGCTAGTAAAAATGCTTAAAACATGATTATTTTCACTCTCAGTGTTGTGTATAAAATGCATAGACTGGATGGTAAGATGTAGGAAACAGTAATGGCTAAAGTTTAAAGATCAGAGGCTAAATTCATAGACACAGTCAATGCAGTGAAGTTCTCTTGAACTCTTGACATATTCAGAATCAACAAAGACAGAAACAAAAACTCACTCCAAGAGGATGTTGTTCATGTCCAGCGTAAAGAACTTCTTCCTTCCCTCCATGTCAAACTGCCGAGACGCCTAGAAACACACACATACATACATACATACATGAACAAAATCATTTAAAATGTTTGAAACAAAACTTCCAGACACAAAATCCACACTCCCAAATCAACAAGATACACTACTGTTCAAAAACATGGAATCACTTGTCAAAATAAATACTATTTTATTCTATCTAAATCAGTGTAAACTGAAAGACTACAATTGAGATTAGAAGGTATTTTAAGATGTTTTTAATCAAGATTTCTAAGAACACTAAGACTTTTGAAATACGAGGCATCCTGAATATTATTCTAACTTCATTCCTGACGCTATACAACTTTATCAGTCATTTGAGAATCATCTAGAGCTCTGTTCATCGTCATCATGGGGTCTGGAAGCATCACCCTCCAGAGAAAATTTCAATTATTTCAACATGAAAACTATGCTAAATGCTCATAGCGGTTACAGCAGCCCGTAACCACTATGTTCAGAGAGTGGAGACGTTATACTGGCCTGCCTGTCTTCCTTTGAAAACGTCTGGGGCATTATGAAGTGCAAAATACCACAACAAATGGACCACACGGTCGCACAGCTGAAGACTTAAATAACTGAAGAATGGCAAAAACAATACACTTTCTATGCTAAATCAGCTGGTGTCTTCAGCCCCCAAACAAATATTAAGTGCTGCTGAAAGGAAAGGTGATGTATCACAGTAGTAAACATCCTCCTTTAATTCATGTGAATGACTGACAACTTGTTTGCAATGCATGCAGTCATTTTAAACATGATTTTTTTGAACGGTGGTTTATGTTTAAAAATAAATAAATAAAATAAAAACTTCAACTGACAGCAATTTTCAGAAGTTTAGAGCCTTATTTCATAAGATCTTCACCAGCTCCTCAAAAAAGGACACTTAAGTTCAAAGAGCAGCACCATGTCTGTAAAATACTGCCATAACTCACCCACTTCTTTGCACCACTTTCTATACTGCTCCCTCTACTTTCTAGAGGTCTGCACGGGCTTGATTATTAAGGCCCGCAATCACTTGCGCCTGTGCCCACAAAATCTAGTGTCGTTCTTGCCCACACCTGCCCACAAAACTTAACGGCATTTTTGCCCACACCCACTCACATCTACCACACGCACACTTTGGGTAATACACAAGTGGGAGTGGGTCCTTATCCACCCACCCACTTCTTTGCACCACTTTTTAAACATTTAAAGTTGCAAATTATAAGTATTATGTGCATTTTCAGGCTAAACACACATAGCAAAGCAGCTTAGCTTCGCTACTTTTTATCTGTATCAACATTATTTTTTTGTCTGTCAGCATTATATTAGTCAGCTGGAATTAAATCAAAGCTAGAACAGATGCTGAGGCATGCCACACAGGTTAAAAAGCCAAACACAGGTTCTTGAGGGGAAAAAAATATATATTATTAACGTTTTCTCTGCAGCACACCTGCAGCTTATTTGTTGTTTGCTCGTGTGCTTCTAAACGCAGCCAATAATTGTCTAAGAGTGCCCCACCCAGCCAGCTATAATACCCGCATGAGCTCACAACCTGTTGGCTGTTTACTCGTGGTGCCTCAAAATGAATCCCACCCGACTATTATTTTGCACATCACCCACAGGTGAACCCACCTTGTGCAGACCTCTACTGCTTTCATCTTTCACCTCTTTTCTCTCTGCTATTTTGCCCCTTTCCCTCACTCTGCTTCCCTCTCTACCTCAGTCATAGTCCTCTCTACTGGTCTTTATTCTTTTCATCTTCTTCCTCTGTCTTCCACCTCCCTCCTCTTTCAGCCTTTACCTGTATGAAGAAAGCCTTTAGACACACTGCACTAACACACCTGATTCAGCCTGATAATGAACAGTTATACAACCTATTATGCCTCTGCTTTTGTCAAAAAGACAAGATAATGATACTTTCCTTTAATGCTAGTGTTACTTAGAACTCAAGTACACTTACACTGAAATGTATCTTTAAAAAGATTAAACTGCACTTATGGTTTTAACTTTAAGCAGATCACACAGAGGCTGTACAAAGGAGTGGAAATACGATTTCTTTTTTTTTTTAATGGTCATTTTATCAGAAGCACCTACAACAGTGTTTCCAAAAAAGTTGGGACGCTGTGTAAGATGAAAATAAAAACAGAATGTAATGATGCAAGTCATGTAAACCGTATATTTAATTTAAAATAGTACAAAGACAGCATATTAAATGTTGGAATATTTTTCAAAAAACAATATATGTCCATTTTGAATTGTATGCAGCAACACTCCCTAGAAAAGTTGGGACGGGGCATGTTTACCACTGTGTTTTATCACCTCTTAACAACACTAACTTTCGTGAACTGAGGAAACCAATTGCTGTAGTTTTGAAAGTGAAATGTTTTCCCAGTCTTGTTTGATACAGGATTTCAGCTGCTTCACAGTTGAGGGTCTCCTTTGTTGTATTTTTTCGCTTGAGAATGCATGAAATGTTTTCAGTGGTAACAGGTCTGGACTGCAGGCAGGCCAGGTTTGCACCCAGACTCTTTTACTCCAGAGCCATGCTGTTGTAGTACATGCAGAATGTGGTTTGGCATTGTCTTGCTGAAATAAGCAAGGCCTTCCCTGAAAAAGATGTTGTCTAGATGGCAGCATATGTTGCCATAACAATAAATGTATATTGTTCAACATCAATGGTGCCTTCACAGATGCGCAAGTCACCTCAGCCATGTGCACTAATGCACCTCCACACCATCACGGATGCTGGCTTTTGAACTGTGCACTGATAACAAGCCAGATAGTCTTTAGCCCAAAGGACACAGTGTCCATGATTTCCAAAAAGAATTTCACATCTGACCACAGGACACTTTTCCACTTCCATGCCTCAGTCCATCTTGAATGAGCTTGGGCCCAGAGAAGGTGGCAGCGTTTCTGGATCCTGTTTATATGTTGTTTCTTTTTTGCAGGGTAGAGCTTTAACTTGCATTTATGTGCATTTGTTGTATTTGTCTTGGCTATTATCTATTAAATATAGGGTTTCAAATTTGCACATCTGTGTTTTTTTTTTTTCACATTTTGCACAGCATCCCAACTTTTTTGGAAATGGGGTTGTACCATTCAGGTGCACTTGGTAAGTCTACAGTTGTAGACTGTAGCCCATCTGTTGCAGCACACTGTCAGCTCTCCCACTCTAAAATGGCCAGTGAGTATACGCGTTTCATATGGTGTTTCCGTTTTTTTTATATCCACTGTATATTCTGTACAACACCTTCAAGTGCACAACAACTTCACACCCAGTCAAGATTAATTTTAATTTAAAATTATTTTAAGAAATTTTAGCTGATTATTAATTTAAATAACTGCAATTAACAATTTGCCTTCCCAAATAAAAGTCCGAAGTGGCCAAATCGCCAAATAACCTTTTGTTTTACTTTGTCTATTGAGCCGGTGAAAACAGTCATGATCTCCCACTGTCACTTTTTTGAGTGGCTGCTTCATGAAACTTGCTTCACAAAATTGCTTACAACGGTTGCAGCAGAGTTTCATGCTTTACATCATGCATTTCAAGCGCAATTTAGTTTCATGCAAGTTGCATGAAAATGCCACAGTTTAAAGCCAATCTTTGCAAGATATTGATATTTACTGCCGTGATAAATGTACTGAACTGAGAATGCACGCATGTGGCCTACTTCGCTTGGCTTTGCAATGCTGCAAGCAATTGTGTGCTATATTCAGACTAGATTTGTGACAATATCGGTTTAGATTCAAATTTTCCAAATTGTATCTGATTCAGCACTTTTTTGTCGGATATCGGATTATCTAATTGTGATGGGCCTGAAATTCACCCCATATGTAGACCAGCCATGAAATGTCTGCTTTCTTTAGTAACACTAATGGAAGCTTATAGCTTACATCCCACCAATTAGCACAGTGGAAATTAGGGATGCAACGGTACACAGTTTATTACAGAAACGTTCGGTACACCCCCTCAATATGCACATGTGAACCACAATATCATGATGTGCCTGTTATTTTCCTACATTTTCCAAAACTTCCTACTGCGCTGCAGATTACATGGACGTTGTACATTCAGATCCACAGAGCACCTCTGGAGCCTATCAGAATTTCCTTGCAGCTTATCAGTGCTCTGTATGCAAATACGAACTGGAGAAGAGACAGGGAACTGAAAACAAAATCCATCAGCTCCAATGTGACAACAGCGAGCGCTAACAAGACAGAGAGAAGTTAAGGATGCTCCATGTCGCATCATGCAGCGTCCAAAAATTTGAAACCTGTTTTTAAAAAAAGGTACGCACACTGGAGTCGACGTGTAGCAGTGCTCGTGACTACAACAGCCAGTCTTTTAGGTAAACAGACAAATGCTACTGTTAATTTACCTCAGCTAACTTTACTATCCTAGCCTTTTTCAGCTCTTATCTTTTGCTTGAAAACAGTTTGTGATGAGTAGTAAACAGATGTGAAGTGTGGCAAGTGAGGCTTTTTTTCATTGAATTTATAAGAGCAGAGAATGTGCAAATGAACTTGAACCTGGCTATTATTGGCCCTCCCTGGCCGCAATCTACAGCAGCACTACACTACACGTCTGGTGTGCGTTGGCCTTTACAACGTCCCCTCCCACACACATTTCAGCAGCAAAGTAACTCCTAAAGTGTTCGGAACATCAGAGAGAAACTGAAAGCGTAATGACAGACACCCTGTCTAGCCCTCTTCAATTATTTAAAATAGAGAAGGCAAAGCACCTACAGGTCAAAGCTAAGAAGCACTTTTAATTTGAATGTTTTTCTCTTCCTGATTTCATACAGTACAGATAGAAACCAGGCCTATTCAGTCATGCTGCTATTCTTCTGAATGGAAGGGTTTTATTTGTCTACAGGCAAAATAAAGAGTTCATTGTTTAAAGGGTGGTGTGTTTTTTTTCTTAAATATAAAGATACCAAAACTGTACCATTACCATGGCCCAAAAACCATGACACACTCCAAACCGCAGGTCCACTGTACCACTGCATCCCTAATGAGAACTGCATAAATGAACATACACTTGCTTCAAACTGTTTCAAGGTGTTAAGACTTCTGACTCACTTATGTGGTAGCTAAACAGTTTTGTCCACTGTTTATAGATAATAGTATATCATACAGTGTCAGACACCAAATAAGCACGTCTACTTGAGATGACTTGACTAATTAATTCATGCTGTTAATATGATGCTAATTGTAGCGCACATGCTTTCATTACTTGTTAGCTACATTAACCTTGTAGCTCTAGTGAAAACCCAAAGAAGCAGACTTTGGCTGATTGACTACTTGTGGAGTAAATCAAATTGTTTTTTTTCCTCTGAAATATGGCTTTTAGCATGATTTGATTTAAACCTGAATTGTTTGTAGTTTACACTAAACTAACACTTGCTGCAAAGATTAAAAATTAGATATTCAGCTGAACAGGAAATTGACCAAAAACCAGAACAGGTCAGACATGTTTAGTGGAAATGAATTAAACTGTCAGGCAGGAGTCTCTCCATCTTAAGCCTTCTTTAATCGTCATGTCAATATGCATAGTTAGGCAGGCCAGCACTGGGTGATACAGTCCTAGCAAGGGCTGGTGCAGATTAGTCACAGAGACGCAGCCCAAAGATCACTTATGACTAAAAATAAACCCCACTCAAAGTGAAGACACAGTTATTCTACCTACTCCCATCGAGCGATCAGGGGGTGGATACATAACCAAGAAGCAAAATTCTAAATCCTCCTGTAGTATTTCTTGGCAGCACCAAAGACTAATTGAAGCATGACTAAAGCTTATTTCAATCAAAAGGCCTATTATTACCATCATGATCATATTTGTCATTACTGTAAAATTTAACCATAGGCTGCATGTTTTGTGAGTTTCAGAGTTGTCACTGCAACTTAGCATTATTGCAACAAATGCATGCAACTGCCTCCCGTTTTTTCTTCCAACAATACAGCAACAGCACAGCCATACCACTCGACAGATGACTGGATATGATGGAAGCTTGCTACATACCAAAATGATAACTTAATACAAGCTTAATATTAAAGGAATACTTCAAAAATGGAGTTCATGCAATTTCTTCCTAACACCACAATGTAGTCGATTAGCCAAGGCATGTTTGGTATTTGAAGTTTGTTTCTTTAGCTTTGTGCTGGAGCTATGTGGCTACTGTAGATCCTCTGCAGTCACTAATGTATTTTTTAATGGTTAACTCCTGTTAGATGACTTATTATAGACCAATATCTGTATCAAAAGTGTTACTACAGCACAGACTTTCAACGAAAACAAAGACTTTCTCGCTGATGTAAGTTTAGAGAATAAAGACTCAAAACTGAGCTTGTGTATTTGTGCATGGAACTGTTAGCCTAAACTACTCTTGCTCCACATTCACCAGAAGCTACCGTTAGCATAGAAAGAAGGCCTAGGCTTTACACACACACACACACACACACACACACACACACACACACACACACACACACACACACACACACACACACAGGTTCATTATATTTTATTTATGCCTTGCTGATGTACGTTTAGAGAATAAAGACTCAAAACTGAGCAAGTAAACCTGTGTTTGTGTAGCTTTTAGCTTATGCTACTTGGCTACAATTAGCTTAGCGAGAAGGTTAAACCACCAGCAATTTCAGACCACTGACACTGCAGTGAGGCAAGATCACAGGACTCAAATTTGAGCGGGTGAAACTGACCGTCAGGTACCATAGTGACAGAAACTGTACAACTTGGGTCTTATCACTCAGCTAACAGCAGCTTCTAGTGAACATGAAGCAAAAGTAGCTCAGTCTCCACAAAAACGCAGGTTCAGCACCTCAGATTTGAGCCTTTACTCCCTAAACTTCTGTCAGTGAGGCTTCAATAAACCGGAATGAACTTGCGTAGATGCGTGAAACACTTAGGCCTTCTTGCTAACCTAATGGTAGCTTCCAGTGTATTAAAGTAGCCTTTAAGGAGCCTATTTTTTGTTTCTGTAACATCTCATTTGTTCAGTCTTTAATACAGAAGGAAAAAGCATGCAGGGTGATGGGGGAAGGGGTGTGATTTAGAAAAAGGAGAGCAAGGAGTTGTTTAAAATTTGCATAATCATGCATACTCATATTTTTACATTCCTAAAGAGTGTCATGGTTTAGGGACGCTCTTATGCCATTTGTAATAGTTCCTTTGGGCATAAAAGCAATGCAAAGAAATACTAAAGGATTTATTATTCAACCTAGATTATCTGTGTGTGTTTCAGGAACTTTAAGGTAACAAATATAATTACAGGACTCGTTGCTCCACTTACCGCTCGCAAGTCCTCTATGCGTTTGATGAGGGGGGCAGGCAGACCATCCGGCAGTGGAGGAGGGGGCATGAGACCCGTCCTCTGCACCCGGCCAGGGATGCCTCCTCTCTGGGCTCCAGCACTGCCGTTCTCTCCTTGCCCTGGACTGGAGGGCTCCGTAGGGTCCAGCAGCGCAAAGTCCAGATCACCCATCAGGTCCTGCAGCATCTCATTGTCATTGGCTGAACCCAGTAGCGACATCACAGGGTCGTTGGTGAGGTCAGCCATAGAGAGGTCGTTGCCCGGGGGCACCGAGTTGGAGTTGAGCATGGCTCTGTTGGCATTCGTGGGTCCACGTGGGACCTTAAGGGGGCCAGAAACTACAGGGTTCTTCTTCCTCATCTCCTCTTTCTCACGGGTGAAGCGGCGGATCATGGCCGCCAGTGAGAGTGAATCCTTCATCAGCTTCTTCCTCTTCTTCTTCTCAGGCCGGTTCAGCGCAGACACCCTGAGAGAGGGAAGATGGCACGGGTGTTTAGGATTTCAAAGAAAAGATGAGGTCTTTCACAAAGCAGGACTTCTCAGTAAGGCTTGTTGACTTCTACCCAAAGTAAAGATTGTCCAACAGGAATGTCTCTAACTTCCTAAACTCTGAAACCATCACAGTCCAATAAAACAAACATGAGAGAACATGCCAGGTGCCTCCGGGAGAAACAGCATGAGGCCAGTGCTCAAGCCTCGAGCGCTGAGGAGAGTCAGGCGAAACACCTGAGCCGAGATGGCAAGGGAGAATTTTTTTTTTCCCCACCACCCCGCCTCAGCCCCTAACTTCTACTATTGTCAACATGTGGAAGACAGAACGAAGAAGAGACGAAAGTTTCAGTGTTCTTAGGTACAATGTAGTAAAATGAATGCCATAATGAATTAACAGTTCTATAATGAAACTGTAATATTCCAATGGCATCCAGTCGTATCGGGGAGGATAGCATTGTTCCATGCACTGTTTTTAAATCTATGTTCAGAATTTTGGGACGATGAACACTTAAAACTTGCCAAAACTGTGATAAAAGCACAAACTTGCCACTCATTAATGCAGAAACATATAGCCAGTGATTTTTTTTAGCTGTCTAGTCAGACATGCCCACTCAGAATCATACAAACAGTGATGAAAATTTTAAATTCTAATGATCTGTGTAACATTTAGAAAAAAAAAAAAGAAGATAAAAATAAAAATAACAAATAAATGCTAAATGAAGTAATAAAGGGTTAAATTTTATTTTAACAACCGTTTGGAGACTTTAATGCAAACTTTCTATTTTAACTGAAAAAAAAATACATGTCCTGTATTATTAATCTCTCACTGAAATGGGAACATAATCATTGGATTGGTCAATTAATTTAAACAATAGTTAATACAGAAGTAATTGTTAGTTGCAGCGCTACTGTTAAGTACTGCTAAAACACAAATTAAAAGAAACGGAAAACTGCAGGCCTGTCTGACCAATTAATAGGAATCATAGGCCTTTAAATGTCAAGCAGATGAAACCAAACTCCAAACACAAAATCAAACTCAGCCATGGCCCAAACTCATCTAGGGCTGCAACTAATGATCTTTTATAAGTTTAACTTATTTTATGATCAATCAGCTCATCTAACTAGCAAAAGACATTTCACAGGTGATTTCACTGAAATGTTTGAGCTTCATTGACGTACCACTGCACAACGCCATCTACACTGCATACGCTTTTACTTGTTTAAGTGAAAAACTCCCAGAATTTGGAGATTCACCACAAGCATTCAACCTTACAAATGTGGGATAAGCGTTTCTCAGTTGTGGAGTGACTGAACAGCAGAAGCTGTTGAATGACTGTGTGCATGTATCAAGCTCACCCTGGCTTTGGTACTCGATTCTTTCTGGGTTTCTTCTCCTCTAATGAGCCGTCTTTCTTCTTTCTTTTTTTAATCACTCGCTCTTCACCATCCTTCAGCTTCTACAGGCAAACAAAACAGAAATGCACCTTAGATGAAGAACTTCTAAAATTTCTAAACTGTCTATAACAACAAATTGGTTCTCAAAATCAAATCTTGAGTTGATGCAGCACTTCAACATTCATTCACTCACTCACTTTAGTTCATTCATAATCCAAGTGAAATAATTTTAGGTGAAAACACATTTTCTTCTACAGCAGACGTTCCCAATCTCAGTTTGGAGTCCTGTTGTCCTCTGCAATTTTTTTTCCTGAATCTTTTTTATTGCATTTTGTAAGAGCAAAAATGTAGCATTTTGACAGATCTAACAAGGACAGGCGTGACAATGTACACAAATAGACGTACAGAGAGACAGACAGAGAGACAGACAGACAGACAGACAGACAGACATCTATTAAATAAAAAATATAAACGAAAATCCCTCTGTCTAAAAGTTTTCATGTAAGCCTTGCTGTCTCATTCACACAAGACAGTAAGGTCATTAAGTTCTGAACTTTGTGTTTTCTCTACTCTACCTGCTGAACCCAGACCAGGAGGAACTTATTAATTAGTTAAATGAGTCGAATCAGGTGTGCTAGATGAGACAACGCACAAATGTGTGTTCAGTCAAATAGAGTTTTAAACACTGCCTGTTTACATTTTGTTGATTTTCTAAGTGAAAATAACATCCTCTACAGAAAAAACACGTAAAAATGGCATTTTTCTGAACATTTTAGTGCACCATTTATATTTATTAGCTGAGTTTAACAGACTGGAACACAAAAAAAATGAAACATAAAATAAAAAAATATGCTATTGCTTTTGCACAGACCACAGTCGCCACACAAAATTGTTAAATTCAGCAAATAAACAGTAGTTGTGTATGAAAATGTGTGCACTGAAGTGTGTTCCCTGTAGAGGACGCATTCTTATTTTCACTTGGGAGAAATAAAAAAGACATAAAATGACCATCCAAACTTGCACACAGCCGTTTTGCAGGGTCACTGAGACTGGGATTCCCTGTTTTACAGTGTGATCTGAGACATTTAAAGCACACTAGTCGAGAGGGGAGAGCTGTGTGAACCTTGAAGTGGTTGCCGTCCTTGCCGCCCTCCTCATCCTCAGACTCTGACGCAGCTCTAAACTGCAGAGTACCCGTGTTGATGTAAAAGCCTCCTAGTTTAGTGGTGAGGGATGCAGGCACAAGCTCATCATACTGCAGGGACAAAATAAAAGGGTTACGTCAGCAAAACAGCAGGAAGTTACAGGCATTTAAAGTGTTAATGCAAATCAAAACAACCAAACTCCCCTTCGCTTTTCACCCCCAATTTCTTTCTGCTGTATTAATTAGCTTTTTGGGCAGTTTATGTGCTCAAGCAACTCTTACCTGGGAAACAATAATCAGCTTAATTACTGCAAACCTAAATGTCTCAGTTCAACCTGACCTAGCGGATGTGTAATGAGACCAACTGAATGGAACAGTCATGTAGTTCGCATGGCTGAAAACTGAGCAATACTCACAGCCTCAGAGTTGTCAATGAATGGATCGGTCTCGTCATAGCCATAACCAATGTCAATGAGGTCCTGCATGCGGTCCTTCTTCTTCTTTCTCCCTGCGTTCCCCTGTCACAGCATCAGAATGAAGTTAATACATTTTTATATGAACATTCTTACACATAAAACCTTTGCAATACTGACACAACAGAGGGCTGCAATATGTAAACAAGCTCTCCAACCAATCACATTCTTTCTGTACGTTGTGGCATCCTAACCAATCAGAGCTCCAGATGAGTGAGTGTGGACATTCTGATAAATCAAGGTATTCATGAATGTAATAAAAGCAAATTACTTTGGTTAAAATAATGCAAGCCAATATTTAACTAACACCTACTTCTATAATCCGTTTTCCCCGATTAGTCAACTAGTATGATTATGTTCCTGTTTCAGTTTTTTTACACTTTTAAATGTTTAAGCAATCTAAACTGTTAATAAAAGTTATTTTAAAACTTGATATTACTTCATTTATAATTTACTCACTATGTTTTTGTTTATTTTTATTATATTAACTTTCCAGTTTTCTCAATTTTAGATTCTAACCATTTAATTTCCCATTTTTGTCTCTGTTTACATGACTGAGTGGGGCATCTCTCATACATCTCTCATATCACTGGCTAAAGGTTTATCAAACACTATGGCTGGCATGAACGACTGCCACGCTTGTGATTTTATGACTGTATATTTTACAGAAGTTTAACCCATCCAATATCATCTCAAAAAAAATCTAAAACATTCTCATGCACAACATTTATCCTCCCCAGGATGTCCAGCCAGTGTTAGTTTGGAGCTCTGTCATTTAATTATGTATTTATTACATTTTACTACACTATACTGATCATCACTGAATCGTTCGTTTTTTGCATGAGACATTCTGTTTTGCGACATGTAGTGTGACGTTAATATTACTGGGCTGACATTATCCACCAGGCTAGTTAGTTACAGCACTAACTCACTAATAGAGGGAGCAGAAAATAAAACTAAAGAGCTTACATTTCGTTTGTGAGTCACTGACATGCTGCTGTGAACTCTACCTCTGCTTCTGTATAGTGCAAAAGGCATTACACTGTGACTTTTGTGGTGTCTTGAGGTACATTCACACCAAAGCATGCAAGAGGAGTGGAGCAGCAGACATTTTCACCTCTCACTTAAAGCGTTTCTGTGATCCCTCCGGTCCAGCTCCATTCTGTTTTTTTTTCTATTTCTTGCTCCTTGCTCACACGTCAGACATACCCCACTCCACATGATTCATTCTTATATTTATGTCTTGACCGTATAAACATTTATTTCATAATTATATAACTCGTGGCCATTATTAAACAAAAAAAAACTAGTTTAACATTGTGTAACCCAGGCTCCTTTCGGAAGGAATAGGCTTGAAGTGACAGTCCAATCACAAGCTAGAAAACTGTCAAGGGTAAACAAACATACATGTTTTTTATACAATCTTCTCTGTCATTCACGCAGCAAAACGGCTGACCCAAGACTAACTAATATCTGTTTTACTGAGTTTTGATCAGTGAGAATTATACGCCTGCTGAACAGCTCTGCAGCGCAAACACTGTATGAATGGCTGTGGTGTGCGATCTGTAGCAACCACTGTCGCATCTCTCACAGCCCGCAGAGGTAGTCAGCGTGGAAAAAGGACTGTCTGGCTCATGGGATGGAGTGAAACTAGAGCAATTTCAGAGTGAGAAAGAACACTGACACTTTCTGAAAAGCTACTCTGCGCTCCGCTCCCCGCTGCGGTTCACACTATCATGGCAAATGTCTCAATCATGTCAAAACATCTCAAAACTGCCTGTAGTATGATTCAAAATACCCTGAATGCATACACGTAACATTGAAATTCTATAGTAACAGAAGTCAAGTAATTGCCTACAGTCTTTAACTGCACATTAAAAAAAAAAAAATCTCCAAAGAAGTTCAAAACCACTCCATTAAATGTGAACAGACAAGACACAAAACCTTTTCACAGCGATAATGCATCTTTACTTTTGCTGCCACCATCGTTCATCGTCCGTTCTGTCATATTGCCACCATGTGTACTGAAATCTTTCAGAATTAACACACAAACGTTATATGGCATTTTCTTTTTCAGTAACCTATGCAAGATCAAGATTTGTCGATTAATCGTTGCAGCCCTATTTTTAACCATGCCACAATAACTGCCCCAAAATATTGTGCACATCTAAATTGCAATATAAAGTAATCACAACACTAGGATTTTGTCTATATTGCATTCGTATAGCCCTATACACGTTATCACAATAAGGAAGAGCTACTTACATATTTACTCTCAAATTTCTTGGCCAGAGCTTCAACCTCTCGTCTCTCTCGGTCTTCGTCTGCAAATGGATCATTTGGGTCGAGGGGTGGGGGGAGCCCTTGAGGAACTTTCCTGGCCTTTAGGAGACACAGCAAAAGGGTGGAATGAACAAAAAGCCACAGACTGAACACAAAAAGCAGGAAGTGACCAGATGGACAGTCTGAACATACAATCATTGTTGGCTCATCTTGATCAAAAAAAATTAATGTCTTCAAATTCAGACAAACGAATTGTGCCCGAAATGCAGCAATACCACAAATTAACACACTAGGTGTTAAAGAAAGCAGCCTTCCACCACATATTGTGCCGGAGGAGTAAAGGCTTTCACGTAATGTAAGAAGCATGAATCACTTTGTGTGTCAATAATGATCATCAACCGTTTTGCTTTGTTTTTTACATAATGCAAAGCCGATTTCAATCGCAATTTGAAGCAATGTAACAGCAACATGGTCTAATGTTGTGCAACCCAAGTGCTAAAGCAATCCTGAGTGAAGCCAACCAACAATGTGAAAGCAGACTTTCTTACAAATATCTCCACATCCCACAAGTTCCCCAGCTCCAGTTCTGTGATCCACCTGCACTGCGGAGTTTCCATTTTTTTTCCCCATGTTTAATTCCATAAAATAAGAGGATAATTTAGGATACACCTGTTTTTTTCTAAATTAGAATCACATTAGCATATGCTCAAGTCCTTCATCAGATGAAAGATGGGGTGTGAAGGCCCAAAAGTTTGAAGTGTCCAATAAGAAGATCCCTTAGTTTTTCTCTTATTGAACAAGGCTCGACCTCTGGTGTAGATTATCTGACTAATGATCTGGCCTGCTTTGTGAAACATAATAGTATGTAGTGCAGGTGGTCTTCAGGAACATAACACCGCTCTAGCTGGTCGTATAGTAACTCAAAGCATTTGTAGCATATTTTGATGACTAAGTCTGAAGTCATCCTCCCTTACTAGTACTAGATACTTCAGTGACCCAATGTCTGAAAACCTTCACAGACACTGTTTCCCCAGTTAGTAACAGCTAAAGCCCATTAGGAAGCTATACATAGGCTTTGCAAACTTACAAAGAGCTATAAATAACGCGTCTAGACCACTAGTGGTCTCCTAACCTGCTACTGGTGGTTTTTCCTCATCTAACACACCCGATCTAACTAATCAGCTTCTTATAAAGCCTTTCTTGAGTTGAAGAGGGTCTGTTAAAGCAGGAAAAGCACCAAAGTTTTTTTACCGATAGTGCTCTGGCTAGCAAAACCTGCTAAATCTGTGAACACCTGCTCATTAGGAAGCTATGAACTTTACAAAGATCTGCCAACAACGTGTCCACATGAAAGGCCCTGCAGCTCGGCTTAAAGGTAAGTTAAAGTGCCCCAGTCTTGCCTGCTGGACCAGCTCGCTGTAGCTGAACTCTGCAGATCCGTGGTCGCTCGGCTCAGACAGAGAGAGACTCAGCCGCACTGTGGGCTCCGGTTCTCCCGAGGCACTGCCACCACCTCCGCTGCCGCTGCCGCCTGGGGCTTTTCCAGCCCCGAATAACCCAGCAGCCCCGGCCCCAGCCCCTCCATCCCTCGGGAGGTGGTGATGATGATGAGGATGGTGAGGGCTGACCTCGCTCTCCTCCTCCCTTCGTCGTTTCTTGGATTCAGGAGCCGCGCTGTATGAAGCGAGAGTCACGAAAGGGACTTTTCTGGGGTCGGCCATTGGAGGGATGACCGCTTTTGCCCTCGGGTGGTTCTGTTACCCCCCCTCAAACTCTCTAAAGTAACTAAGCAGGCGGGCTAGCAGCAGCCTTTAGCTGAAGCTAAACCGAGCTGCTAACTAACCGGCCAGTCAACACGCAGCTAAGTTGAAGAGTTCACAACACAAACTCCCGCCGTCGAGGATCCGGCGTCCTTCGGGGCCTCCAAAGTCGCTTTCCTGGACGCAGATGGCTAAGAATCTCAGTTCTTCTTCGCCTCCATGAGACTGAGGGTTCCAGCAGCATCCGTGGTGGCCATTTTATCAGCGCTAAACGGGTTTATTCTGCTGCGGGTCACCGGGCCTGCGCAATGCTGGCGCCCAGCGGAAATGGAGGAAGCGCACGGAGGGAGGAGACGCACCAATCACAAGACAGAGCGCCTCTTAGAGCCCGCCCACTTACTCTTTTATTCCATTCCTGATCTTTATTTTTACATTTGTCTGGAGCTCCCGCGCTTTTTACTTTTTAAAAATATTTACTTACTATTTTGGTTTTGGTAATGTATTTTTATTCGTCTTTTTTCACAAAAAATGTGACCTGTGCAAAAGTTGTGGCACATTTTATATTTTGTGTTTTATTTTTTCCAATATGTTAAATAAAGAAAATAAAAGTAGCAAGAGAAATACCATATTTATGTTTGTTCTCTGTTGAGGACATGTTAACTTAGTTCTACTTAGAAAGTGAACAAAACCCATAAATTGACAGGTCTTTTGCAGACAACTGTACTATAATGTAACAAGGCCTGTGTTTGGTTCCCCGACTGGGCGACCAGGGTCCTTTCTGTGTGGAGTTGCATGTTCTCCCCGTGGCTGCGTGGGTTTCCTCCCACAGTCCAAAGACATGTAGTCAGGTGAATTGGACACACTAAATTGCCCCCCTGTGTGAGTGTGTGTGTGATTGTATATGTCTGTGTGTCTGCCCTGCGATTGACTGGCCGTCCAGGGTGTCCAGGGTGTTTCCTTTCTTCCATCCAGTGACCGCTGGGATAGGTTCCAGCATCCCCCACGACCCAGATGATGTGTAAAGTGTAACGATGAATGCACATTTCTATTGCCACATTACTGACATGCATCACAACACAGCCTCATTGGTAAGTGCTAAAAACTATATTTTTCTTTTTGAAAACGTAGATTTAAATCCATATATACAAACCATGAGCTGTATCAACATCTACAATGATATAAACCTAAATGAAATCTAATGAAAACATAAAAATGATTTAAAATAAAAGCAAATAACGGACCCAAATGAGTAATGAGGAAGTCAAGGACAAAACTAGACAGTGACTGCTGTGTTACTGCACTTCAGAATCGGCTTAGACAGCAGTATGTCTGAAACAATGTCACAGTGTTATATAACACCACAGGCTAGTGTTCAAAACAGCATGGATGTCTTAATGCCGTTCTCAGAGCTTGCTTAGTGCGTACTTCTTATCAATGTTGTGTAAAATAAACAATAAGACCATTGTAAACACTTAATTTTTATTAATTTTTCACAGGGATACAGCACATCCTCATAATGCAGCCAAAACAGAGTGATGCATTCAAACTCTACTATGTTAATTGATGTTTATCTTATTAGGCATGTGCAGTAAGAAGCCTGATTGTGTTTTGCCAGTATAAACACATGCAGAACATGTCACAAACACACGTTCCTCATTCCTCCGTAATCGTCTCACTCTGGATCAGAAAGAGTAGACAGCAACCAAGTTAATGCATGTTACAGGCTTCAGAGGAAAACACATCTCACAACTGTAAACACATTCACAATTCTACACCAAGCAAGAAACCGTGAGTGTGATAAGGTACTATTTCAGCTTCCTTATAGTCTCCTTTCAGCCTGAGCGTAGTTAAAGTTGAATGTGTCGCCACTGTCAACGTGTTGTAAGTGGTACAAACATGCCTTCAAAAATAGGCCTTCCAAAATAGGAAGCCAGTGAGCAAAACAGACATTAAGTACTAATCATATATGGACTATTGTACTGAATTAGTTCAAACCGCACAAAAAAATAATAATAAAAACGATTCTTTATTCAGATATTTACAAGGATTATGTTATGATCTATGTAAACCCAAGGTATTAATTGAGATAATTATAAGCTTAAAAGATACGAATTACCATTTATATATTTCTTTCTATTGGCAGATGGCTGTCCTAAACACTAACACCTAAATTTGAACTTAACTTACTGTTTTTTCTTTTTCTTTTTTTTCTTTTTTTTTTTTGCTGACCAGGTCCAGTAGAATAATGGATAAAATAATCCACTTTCATAAGAAAGGAGAAAGTCAAGGGGAACACAGAAGTTTCCAAAACTGGAGTTCAAAAACTGACTAAAAGATACAGAGAAAATTAAATATGAAGTAAGACTTAGAAGACCACCAAAACTGTCACCATCAGATAAACAGTACTAAAAGCTTTAATCTTTGAGAGAGAGGAGAATATCAAGCTCCACTCTTACTTCAGATCTGAAAAACTCCACAGGTGTTTCTGTCCATCCTTCTACTGTGAGAAGACAACTCAACACTATGATCTGAAAGGATGTGTAGCTGTCAGACCTCAACATCACTGTATGTCTTTGGGATTATTTGGATTGTGAGAAGCAAAAAAAAATGCAACCAACTTCTAAGACTGAATTTTGGAGGTGTAAAAATATATCCCTGCAGATTTCTTTTGAAAAACTGAAAGTAAGTCACCTAAAAAGAAGGTGTAATAAAGGCAGTGGGTGGAAATACTGTGTAATTATCTGTTAATTTTGTTTTTCTTAATGTGGAAAAATAACAACTTTTGACTGGAAATGAAATAAATGTGCAAAATAAGCGCAGAGTGCTGTTGTAGAGGCTAATAAGTGGGAAGTGATGGCACATCTGATTGTTTGGACCAGAATCCAGAATAATATTGGAAAAAAAAAACTTTAAAAAATCAGCTGTACAACATCCTAAGTGCTCCATAAAAAACTCTTATCCCTTTAAAGCAGAAGCCTGGGTTTAAGGAATTCCACAGCTGATTTTTAGGGGCTAAATAAAGAATCAAGACATCTCAGTCAATGCATAAACAAACGAATGAATAGTTTATTATTTTAATAGCTTGAAATGCTCCCAATTCATACAATGAGTCAAGTAAGCCCAGCTCATAATTTGGCTCCTTTTAACCCTCTGATTCTGTCCAGAGTCCTGCTGCAGCATTTTTACAGATTACACAACAGCATGACATCTGAAGATGGATTAAAACCCAAAGAGCCCAAGAAGATCTCAAATATCTCAAGCAAATGACAAGCATGCTTTTTGTGGTGCAATAATGTAAAAACTGGTGCATAACAGTCCACAGGGAATGAAAGTGGACGAAAAGCTCCAAGCAGGAACCACTGCAATACGCAGTGCAGTGTTCAACTCTGGCAGTGTTCCCTCTACCATATAATACACATGCAAGTAATAAATAGAAAAATCAATTACATTTCAATTAAATTGAAAAATATTCCAGGGAAACTTTGCATTTTGTTGCCAGCATGTGACAACTGAACTGCACTCAGGCGACAACTGAACTGCACTCATCAAAGCACTCATCGAAGCAAACAATTAGAGCAAACTAATGTAGGACACATCCACATTCAGGGGTATGTATTTTTTATATGTGAGATTTATTTTAAATACATTGTTTTATTCCTACATATATTCCAAAGAGTAATGTACAACATTTTCATACATTTTCAAATGCATTTGAAGTACATTTAACACATATTTCCTTTCCATATGGGAAAACAGCAGTGTCCATTGTGTCCAGTAAAAGTGTATTCATGTACGTCCCACATGGAAAAGAAATACATGAGCAAATGAGAAAATGAGCAAAAATACATCTTGGAATGAAACAATGTATTCGATGTGTATCTCCAAAACATGCCCATGTATGTCTTGTCTATGTGGGACTGTATGCATTACAGATTGCAGTTCCATTTACATGCTGTTGCCATAAGGCAACAATACAATTTTTATTGTTTATTTTATCATTATTATTTTATTTTTTTTATTAGCAAAACCCATGATATCCAAATTGTTTAATTTATGGAAAAGAAATGGTAACCTCCCATAGGTTGTGTTTAAAGCATAAAAAATAATTTTAAATTCTGGTGAGACAAAATTAATTTGAAAAGAAACGTATTGCCTTATGGCAACGTCATAAAGAGTTGTTATTCAACTAGTTGGCTATAATTAATTACTACCTAGAAAGGTTCAGTCAATAACTGATTACTACACAAAAAAATGCAAAGGTAGATGCAGAGTGCAGTTAGAGGTCAATTTTAAAAGTCTGGTGTAGTACAATAGATTTATTGAGAAATAGGACGTTTAAGACAGAAGTAGTTCGCTAGCTACTTTAGCAACTGTGTTAGCTGCTCATCACACAACCACTTACAATGACCACAGTTTTACATTAGCCAGCAAGCGGGACACCACTGGCATTTCAAAATATGATTAATTAGACAGATTAATTGGAATTTGCTGTATAAAAATGAAGTGAGTACAGCAGCAGCTGTATAAAAGCTACATACAGACACTATCTACAGTGGCTGGTTATTGTGACCGTTATCTCAACGGTTGCCGCCGTAACCTGACGGCGACTGGCGGAGGCAGTTTCTCCAGTATTACTGCAGGTGGCGCACTCTTCCGGCTCTAACGTTTCAGACCCTTCCTGCGCAACACAAACGAAGAAGAACTGTTTCCAAGAGGTAAATAAAGTGAGACGTGTTGTTTTTTGTAACTTTATTGCTGAAAATAGAAATTACTGAACTACGTTTAGAGAGGGATTTAAGTTACTGATATTGAGAATAATTCTCTCTATTATCGACCGAATAGAGGCGCTCGCTAACTTTCTTGACATCCGCCAAAAAGTGAAAGGGGCTTTTTCAAATTTCCTGTATTAATCAGTTATTAAGATGTAAACAGAGTAATTCAGAATGTTTTGGTGTGAAACAATCCGTTGTAGATAAACTTACCAAGTCAGAATTGTTCACAGCAGTGGTGAAAGGACCCAGAGGAACCAAAAGTCTGATCTGAAAAGTTTAATGACACTAAAAGCTCCAAAAAGCTAGGTTACTACACATAAAGCTATTACATGAAATGTTTAAAAACACGCTGTTTGATGCATGAGCCATTATATTACAATCATTCTGAGATAAGATTTTTGTCTAAAACGTATTTTTTTATCTGTACATGGCAGAGAGGCACCTGCAGGGTGTTGGAAGGCAAAAAGGTAATTTTGAATAAAGGTGTTTACAGCCGGTGCCATCTCTAGTTTGTATGATCAGCCTCATTTTATACACGACTAGTTGCTAGGTTGCAAATATAGTCACTGACTTAAGTCTCCTCTTGTTCAGTTGACACCAACATGGATATAAGCTTCACTAAAGGGAAGTCGGCCATCCTGGAGCGGCCGTTGTCTCGACCCAAGACGGAGGTCAGCTTAAGTGCCTTTGCCTTCCTCTTTTCTGAAATGGTCCAATACTGCCAGAATCGAGTGTACTCAGTGTCTGAGCTGCAGGCGCGCCTGGCTGATATGGGCCAAAGTGTGGGGGCCAGCCTGCTGGATGTCCTGGTGCTCCGGGAGAAGAACGGCAAAAGAGAGACCAAAGTGCTCAACATCCTGCTCTTCATCAAGGTCTGCCTTTGTCCAATTTTGTCTGGGGGCATCAGTCTCTGCCCTCATAGAGATTTGATTATGATTCAAACGGATATATTAAACAGCCTTAACAGCTACATATATTTTTTTCAGTATTTAGTGTGTCCAGCCTTTGCCTTCATTACAGCTTCCATTCATTTCCAGAGACTTGCTTTCAGTTTTTCAAAAAAATCTGCAGGGGTATTTTTCCACACCTCCAAAGTTCTGCTTCTAACAATCCAAGCAATACCATACATATTCAGTGATGTTGAGGGCTGGACTCTGGGGTGGTCAGTCCGTTGTTCTGAGTTTCTACCATTTTTTCATGACAAACTGTGTGTTCTTTCTCTTTTTTGTAGGTGAATGTCTGGAAGGCTCTATTTGGCAAGGAGGCAGACAAGCTTGAGCAAGCAAACGATGACGACAAAACATACTACATCATTGAGAAAGAGCCACTGGTGAACGCGTTTATATCTGTGCCCAAGGAGAACAGCACTCTGAACTGTGCTGCCTTTACTGCTGGGATAGTGGAGGCCATCCTTACCCACAGCGGATTCCCTGCCAAAGTCACTGCACACTGGCACAAAGGCACCACACTGATGATCAAGTTCGACGAAGCGGTCATCGCCCGAGAAAAGCAAATGGACGGCAGATAGAGACTTTGAAGGAGCTGTAGGTTAAAGGAGAGACACTTGGATTTTGTAACTTTGTAAACTGCGTGGGTGAGAGCTATGGGGGCCAGTTGACTTGGCTCAAAAAATATCCTTTAGTAAACCTGTTCCTGATGCTTATTGATTGCTTGAAAGAATTGTTTCATCATTGTCATAAAAAATCTTCAATTTCCAGAAAAATGTTCTTGATATCTGGTTATGTAACTTTAAAATGAATTTCTTCTGGTCCATTTGTAATGAAATGTTCACACAATGTAAAAGGGAGCCACTGGTTTTACGTGATGTAAAAACATTTTCAGAAAGGAAAAATGGATTTACAAGGTTTTCTTATGGCGGTGAAGATTTGTATTAAAACATGTCTGAACCAAAAGACCAAGATCTTTCACCAGGAACAGTTGCATTAGCATTCTTTGTCTCAGGGATTTAGCTTTCACCTCAACATATGGCAAATATGTTTGTCTGTATGTATGTCAAACATGTATGTATGAAATATCTGACTTCTTTTTGCTGTATGCTATTCATTGTATTATTAGTCTACTTTAAACAGCATATTAGTGTGGGAGCAGATTGAGTATGTGACTAAATGAATGAAGGCAATATAGAACACTAGACTGTAAAATATTGCATCCTTCACTGTTTTGGAAAACATCGTGATGAAAACTTGTGCCTGAACATGTTAGTTATTGATTCATCGTTTTTACTATAATGCCAAATTACCAATTACTTTTACTTTACTGTTTGCAGGCTTACTGTCAAGGCTTTGCTGTGCATCTGGTCAAATAATGATTATTCTGCAGTGTAAGAACTCATAGGGAACAAATCAAGAGACAGTTCATAACTGTATAAGGGTTAATGGGCATTGTGTCAGTGGGTTCAGTGAATAAGCAGACATCTGACTTAACTGACTGAACTTCATCCTGAATAATTCTGATTCTAATAAGAGAAGTATACTAAAAAAGTAACGTATGAGATAAAAGTTTACCTACATCTGATGAGACCCGTCTACCACCCCGCAAAAGCGCTGTCAAATAAAAATAAAACTGTCAAAATAAAAGTCCCGGTTTACGGTTCCTGGAATTACTTTTTCGTTTTCAAAAAAAGAAAAAACGTAGAAATATGAACTGAAAAATGTGTTACATAGTTGCATTATGTAACATTAAATATTTATAAAAAAAAATAAAATCTACAAAACATGCACTGTCCCTCTGAATCCACAGATTTGTGTAAGGTCTCCAGCCATATTGCTAGGAATTATAGTCCTGCCCATCGTGTATATCATACATATTATAAATAATGACCAGAAAGGGCAACTGCATGATAATTATGGTAGAACTATCAGAGCACGGATATCATAACACGGAGTTCAGGGAGTCACGTGGGCGCTGTCACGTGACCCTGTAGGATGTGCTGTATGTTTACTGTGTTTTCCATTCTGCTCTTTTGACATCTCCGGTGTTATGACACTTAAGTTACCACAAGAGCGGCAGTTAGCTCCAGGCTTTACTTAATCCTGTTGCTCTCTAGGCGAATTAATGTACACTTATTAGCTTTTCGGCATATTTATTTTAGCTGTCGTCCCCAAAGGCATCGGTATGGCAAGCTCCCTGTCTCAGAATCCACGAGAAGAAGACACAGGTTTGTTGGTGCTTCTTTTCTTTCAGGCAGGGTCTGTATTTGCACGCATGAGAATTTTAAAAGAGGAGAGAACTAATCCTTCATTTCAAAGTACTTAAGTAAAAAAATCTCTTAGTGTGCTTCTGTTTTCTACAACTCATCGACAGCAGCGTTAAAACCTTTGAGTAGCCTAACGTTACATTCAGTAGGTTTTTCATGGTGAGCTGCAGGAGTAGGTAGCGTTAGTGATTTGCCCTATTTGATAATAGCTAACATAGTGTGACTGACTGCACTACAGGCCACTTTCCCAGACCCAAATTAAGCCTAAAGCTAGACCAAAATAGAAATTGCAGTGGACACGGTGGTCTTAGGCTCGTGTACAGCAGCTCTAGAGCGTCCCATTCTATTCTATTGGCGAAGCTTTTCTATGGAGGTTATGTTAGCTGTGTGTGCACATCTGAACGCCAGCAATGGGTGCACCTTAAAGGGCTCATATTTTGGACAACCAAACTATTTGTTAATAACGTTAACATTGTTAAAGTTTCAAATGTCCTATTCACTCACCAGTCCGGAGAGCCGATATATGGAGACTAAACTGCAAAAACAACCCATTTTGAAGATATTTGTGACATCACAAAAACAACTCATTCGCATGTATCCACCTGTTCAGTCTACAGCAGTTCAGGCTGAAGTTATAGTGTTTCAGTTCTGACTGCTTTTTGTATAAGGCACAATAAGGCATCCAGTCAGAAGATGGGTCATTTTCATTTCATCACTGTCCAAAGAAAAAGAGGAATCACCAAAATTTTGCAGGAGAAAGAAAAACATTCTTTACATTTAATGTAAGTTAATGTAAAGAAATATTATTCCAAGCAATTTTTGGAGCATTTTTGTTGGTCCATTCATCATGAAATTTTGAAAGGAGAGCTGTTTCTTCAAATTATGTTGAATGATGTAGAAAAATAAAAATAGCAAAAAAATGGAGGTGCTTGACACCAATGATGTATCTGTCTTAAAGCCACAGTCATGAAAACAGTCTGTTTCATTATAAGGGATAAAGAAAAGAAAACGGTCATGTAAAAATGGAATTATGACTGTTTTTGATACGTAAAACCATTCAAATGTTATAGGTGGGCCTTAAGAAAAATGGAAGTATGGGCCCTTTAAAGTACCCGAATACACTAATTAGGTGTGTCTGGATACCTTAGGCGTGTAGTGTATCTTTGGAGGCTGTACTGCCTACAGTGTATATTAGATGGAAGGTCTTTACTGAATATGTATTAGAGACATTGGCCATATGTCAGTTGGACTATTAACTATATAGTGCACTTGACTTAATATAATGACATAATATAATGACACTGGACATTATAATATATATAATAACATTTAAACCTAAATAGTGCTCTGTATCTCCAAAATAAAGGAGTAAGGATCTGTTTCAGTTGTTTTTATGCTCTTTTAATTTTTGCTACAGAAAAGGACAAGTTACTGACTTCTGTAACTGACCACAATGACGGCGGCCATCCTTCGCTGGATGTCGGCGGCTCATCATCATGGAAACGGGTGGATGAGGAGGAGGAAGAGGCTCTGCGCAGAAAGCTGAAATACTTCTTTATGAGCCCATGTGACAAGTACCACGCCAAGGGCCGCAAACCCTACAAGCTGGTGTTGCAGCTTCTGAAGATCATTATAGTAACAGTGCAGGTGGAGCTTTGATTTTTGTCAGTATATTATTGGCTATTATTATAGTCTTAATTATAGAATTAATCATCAGTTGCAGCTAGACCTGGCACAATTGTGAAATTTTAGCCAACTATTGATTGCCATATTAATAATTGCGATTAACAATTTAATTGTGACAGGCCTAGTTGCAGCCTTAACTTAAGATACCACAAGGATGCAAAAATATGCAAATGTTTGGGTGCCTCCAGTCAAATTACATGTGTGAAAGTAAGTTACACACAACATATATACACACACACACACACACACACACACACAAACAACAAAATGGAATTTGACAAGGGGGGTTCAGACTTTCTCTCTCTCAATCTCTATCTCTCCCTCTGTTTTTCTCTTTTTCACTCAGCTGGTGTTGTTTGGTTTGAGTAATCAGATGGTGGTGATGTTTAAGGATGAGAACACAGACTCCTTTAGGCATCTCTTCCTGCGAGACTACCAGGACGACTCTGATGGACTGGCTGTCCACACTCAGAGCGGAGTGTGTGAACACATCAACTATGCCATAGAGCAGGTACGCTTTACCTCACAATCATAAACACATATACTCATACACTTTTATGAGTTGGATAAGTTTGTGAAATGCAAAAAAAACAGAAAGTAGGAATTTGTAAATTTGCATCGACCTGTGTTTGCTTCTGTGTTGGGATATCACTGCATGGGCTCTGGAATATTTTGACAAACAGTTCATCAGTGCATCCCCACGTGCAAGTAAAGACTGTGCTACACACAGCGAAAGCCATACATCAGCAACAACCAGAAATGCTGCCAACTTTGCCAACTGAAATGGATTGATGCACAGTGGGAATATGTATTGTGATCTAATGAGTTAACCTTTCAGATTGTTTATAGAAATAATGGATGCTTATTCTCTGGGCCAAAGAAGAAAAAAAGGACCATCCAGATTGTTACCAGAGTGAAGTTGTCATCTTATGGAGATGTTTAAGTACCCATGGCATGGGTAACTTACACATCTGTGAAGGCATCATTAATACTAAGAGATATACACAAATTTTGAAGCAACATGTGCTGCCTTCTAGATAACATCTTTTTTTTTAGGGATGTGCTCATTTCAGCAGTTGTTACAACAGCATGGTTGGATAGTCAGAGAGTGCCAGTCTCCCACTGAAAATGCAAATAAAAACAGAAAGCAGTGATTTGTAACATTGACCTGTATCTAAACAAAGTTGTACAAAATATGTACCTATCCTTCCAAAAAAGTTGAGACAGGGACAATGTAAGGCTAGGAACGCTGAGAAATGTTCAAAGAAACATCTTAAACAGGTGATGCAATTAGCTTGGGTATAAAAGGAGCGTCCAGGAAAGGCCTAGCACTTGGGTGGGTTAAGACTCAAATGATTGCAAGAGTTTTAGATATTTTCCCCTCTGCTGTATCTTAAAGCTTTAAGCAACCTGCAGAAATCCCTGTGCGAAAAGGCAAGGCTGAAAAACCACAGCTGAATGTCAGTGACTTTAAAACCCTCAGATGGCACTGCATTAAAAATCTGCATGCTTCTATGCAGGATGAGCTCTACATGGTCATTTTCAGGGATGTTGATGCTTATTGCAACATGACAACATCAAGGCACATTCTGCACATGTTACAACAGCAAGGAATGCGTAATCAGAGACTGGCTTCCTGCAGTCCAGACCAACTGAAAAAACTGCCACATTAAGAAGTGTAAAATGTGACAACAAAGGCCCTGTACAGCTGTACAGCTGAAGACTTGTATAATGTAAAAAATGGCAAAAAATTCAACTTTCAAAACCGATCAGTTGGTGTTTTCAGTCCCCAGACGATTATTAAACATTGTTGAAAGGAAGGGTGACGTAAAGTGGTAAACATGCTCCTGTCTAACTTCTTTTGAAATGTGTTGTGGACATCAAATTTGGAAAGAGCATATATTTACCAAAACAGCAATAATGTTCATATGGTTTAACATCAATGTTGTGCTTTTGTACTTGTTTGCTGTTTTGCTGTCTTGTTCTTACTTTATGTAAACCCTGTGGATGTTGAGTAAGATGGCTTGTTTTAGCTTGTCAGCAAAAAACAGACTGGAACCAAAAATACTCTTGTTTTAATTCACAATCTAACTGCCAAGCAGTCTTTTTAACTGAATAATGCGCATGTGCCCAGCCCTTCTCTTAGGGATTTGTCTCCAGTCCAACTCTTACCACACCTGATCCTAAACAGGTTCTCCAAAAGTAAAGAACCAGTCAGCAGACATACTCATGAAGGATTTTTTTCACAGATTTTTCAAAATTTCTGCGTAATTAAGTGGTTAAAGTCATTCAGAGTGGTTTGCTGTAAAATGCTCCGCTCTAGAGAAACTTACAATGTCAGAATTATCTTGTATCTTGGGTTCTAGGATTTGGAGAACAGTTTGGTTCCAGATTTTTCCTGGACGCCTTCCGGCCATCACATGGATTTGTTAAATTCCATCACCAGAACATTTGTTTTATTAAAGCGAAGTAATGATTAGCCAAACGACTGGTGGATGATAAATACAAATAATACTGGGCAAATAAATGCTTCCTGCACAATGCTGTGTGTATGTATACATAAATGTATATATGTGTGTGTGTGTGTATATATATATATATATATATATATATATATATATATATATATATATATATACACACACGCACATATACACACGCACATATACACACACACATATACACACACACATATATATACATATATACATGCATATAAATCTTACAAGACACCACAAACAACAACAATAACAACAACAAACAAATAACAAAGTCTCTCTCTCTCCCTCTCTGTCTCTCTCTGTCTCTCTCTCTCTCTCTCTCTCTCTCTATCAGTATCTGGCTCTCACTCAGAACTCCGTCAGCAGATACGCGTATGTGTTGGGTTCAGGAGTAAATGGTAGCGCCCTCTCTCTGTGCCAGCACTATTACAAGAAGGGCAGCATTGACCCGGTCAATGACACCTTTAATATCGACCCTCACATTATAACTGGTAAGTGGACACGCTCTCATTCTCAAGTCTATGAGGAGAGGAGTCAGGACTATTATATATATAAAGCAGCTATTCATCTGTAGACAGAGTCTGTTGTCTGTTAGTCGATTACAGAAAGGTGGAGCATAATTTATTAAAAAAAACAACAACTGTGCTCTGTAATATTTATATGATATATGTTGTTTCATCTGATAAATTGCAGTACACAACAGGAAGTCTAGGGGCGCTATGACTTTATTACACCATAAAATGAGAAATTGCTTGTTTCACAGATGGAGCTTTGAATGAAAGTAGTCCTTTAATAATTGTTTATTGCAGCCCTGTACTTTCCCATTTGTAAAGCACTTTGAATGACAGCAGTGTATGAAAGGTGCTATATAAATAAAACTTGCCTTGCCTTGACTTGTACTATTTCATTTTAGTGTTCCTGTTTTGAAATTACCTCTGTAAACAAAAAATGCACAGTATCTTTTGTATGTTTGTATTGTCATTAAAATATCCTTATTTATTCAGTTGTGGTAGCTACTCTGCATGTGCTACACAGCAGGTTTCAAGTATATCTTTTTTGGACGTAAGGAATTTGATTATTTGAAATGTACAAATCTATGTTATGACTAGAGACAGCACAATACCACTTTTTCTTTTCTGATACTGATAATAAAAACCTCACACTTCAAATTCTAATTATAAGATGTAAGATGGCATTTTAGAATTGTGTCTTAGCTTTCTTTTGTCTCTTTTCTAGACTGTATAGGGGTGAATCCCCCTACAGACCCTTCAGATCCAATCCCTGAAGACTACAAGAACTTCACACTCAAATTCCACAAGTAAGTAGGAGGGAAACCTTGAGCCTTACAAAGAATTTAACAGTTCAAACAAATAAACAATGTTTTGTTTTGAAACATTGTTACTGCAGCATACTAAATAACAATGCATTTTTATTTTTTCTTGCGCATAATTCCAAATGTCCAGTTTACTGGATAATAAAATCTACTGATATTGATATTAAAATAACATTATCGCCCCCAATTTTTCAAACATTATCTGCTGTCACTCACAAATGAACATAAGATTTTACTGTTAGCAAAATAAACAAAACCCATGAATGATAACAGTTTTGTAAGACCACAGTGTATTGTACTAAATTTTCCATTCCACCTTAAATGGTGAACTAACCAAAGACCAGCAGTGAGGTAGCTGAACTTTACCACTCCTCTATCACTGCAGACTGGCAGGGTCGCCTACAGAGCACTGCTAGTAGCCTGTTAATGAAGTAATGTTCTTCTTTATTTGAGGGCTGTCTCATTTCGTAGGGGAAGATTTCAACCACTACCCCCTGTAGCTCAGTTCCATGGGGCAAGGTGACACTCGAAAACAAGGGGTAGGGGCAAAAATAAGAAATGGGATTGGGCCAAAATATAGGTTTTAAATACAATCTGCATAATTAATATTATTTGCTTGGAGTGCTATAAGTAATGCATGTAGTGAAAATCGTATTATGTCTGTAACTGTGATGTGAATCTAAACCGTAATTAGTTTCACTACTTTGTTATTTTGTTGAATTGTTGCAGTCCTGCAAGTAGGACACACGCATTAGATGAGCATCAGTGCTGCTGGGTACAGTAACATTTCAGAATGCACTTTATTACACATGATCACACCTTTCACCATTTTGCCATCTGCCTCTCTCCTTTCCTCTGTCTGTCATCCTCCTTATGTTGTAGGCTGATAAACGTAACCATCGAATTCAAGCTGAAGGCCATTAATATCCAGAGTATCATCAACAATGAGATTCCTGACTGCTACACCTTTTCCGTTACTGTAAGCCCTGACCCTACAAACACCTGAACTGAACACACGCATTTAGCAAATAAAAGAAGCTAAATACTTCATTTACACTGTAAATAGAAGAGAGTTCGTCTATTCAACCAGTCCATTACGAATCTGCAGTGCCTGTTATTGTGTAATGAATCGATTTCTGTAATTGGCTGAACATGGAGCTCCCTCTGTCATTGTAATCCCAGTCCAATCCACCTCGAGGTAATGGACTGCTAAAAGATAAATCCAAGAAAAGAGTGTTGTTATTGTTATTGAATATGCCTTTTGGTGTACTTCTTGTCTGTCACCTTTTAATCTAGGCTATTTGTGGAAATTTACACAAATACTTTATCCCTTACACATTACATTATACAGCTTCATCTGATAAAACCGATCCTGCTTAATAAGCTCATAAACATAAATCACAAATCATAGACCACATCTGTTACAAGCATTCATCCATTACAAGTATTCACACTCATATTAAATGAAAATCCCACCCAAAAATGCTAACTTTGCTAATACACAAAGGGTAGTAAGAACCATTTATTATAATGAAAATAAAATGCAAAGTGTTCATTGCTAGCTTCCTTGGGTAATTTTTTTTTTTAATTGAAATATTAATCAAACCTACAGTTATTGTAATCAAGGGTTGGAAACACTATATAATGTCCAAGGACAATGTCTAATGTCTAAAAGTAAATCATTTAAAGTCAACATACGTTGACATTTTTCAGTTTTTTACATAATTTAAAAATACCTGTTGCCCTTTACGTTGGGTGTAAATTTCATGAAAAATGGACCAAAAGAAGCAGCCAAAAATAACTTGGAAAAAAGTCTGGTTCCATTGACTTACATTAAAAATAAAGTAGTTTTTTTCCTTTTCCTGTAAAGATATGATTGTGGAATTACGAGGTTTTCTTCAGATAACAGCGATATGTGGTTGGTCAATTAATTCCTAAATTGGCCAGGGCCCACAGGGGGGGCCCAAGGTTTTACTACACACTTTAATAGTGTTCATAAGACTGGGATTTTAGAGGGTTAAAGTGAAGAAGCATTGTTCACTACTCAAGCAAAGGTGCTATTGCTTTACATTTTTGCTTACTACAGTCTGAACTCTTACTGGAATGTGAGAATTGTGAACCCGAGGCTAAGTACAGATGTGGTAATGATGTGACAATGATGGATATAAAATGATTCTGCAAAACTGCTAATATTTAAGAAAATGTAACTATAATGGAACTCAGGTTTTCTTTGATTTAGTCATTAGAAAATTTGCAGTGGTTTGGGCAAAAATAAAATGTACACAATTTTCCTCTTACCCTAAATGTATTCATTTAGCCAAGACATGTGGGGTGTATAAAGTTGACTTCTTTAGTTTTACACTGGAGCTAATGTAGCTGCAAGTAATGGAAGCTTATAAAGCACCAAATAGCACTGTGCCGACTGTAAGCCTAAATCATGACACACTTGCCTCAAACTGTCCGGCTAAGTCATCTCAAACAGACTTATGTGGCTTATGACACTGTATAATATACTATTTCCTATAACACATTTTTTATATATATATATATATATATATATATATATATATATATATATATATATATATATATATATATATATATATATATATCAATAACATAGGTATTTTTGTTGTACACTGTCAGAAACCACATCAGCAAGACTGTGTTTGACAGCAAACAAGTCATGACTGACTGACTATATTAGGATTGAGGGGAAAATTCTGCACATTTGATTTTTGTGAACTGGTTAACTGAAGTTTTTCTACACCTGCAAGTTGGAGGTCTGTTAGGCTGCAGTGGTCACTTCCTAATTGTATTTATAGTCCACACCTGCTGGAGGTTTACCACGTGTGATATACTAAAAAGTGAAAAAAAATCCATTGTTTTTCCTCTTTGTGTGTGTTTGTGTGTGAATTGTGTTTTAGATCCTCTTTGATAACAGAGCCCACAGTGGGAAGGTGAAGATCAGTTTGCGTAACAAGGCCATCATTAGAGAATGCAGTGCAACTAGTGTGTCTGGACACAGTAAGACAACACGCTTTGCAAAAAGTCAGACACACACTGTTTCTTCACTGTCTGATTCCTTCAAGGAGCCCATATACTGAACATCTGAATTTTCTTTTCTTTTTTTAAAATAGAATTTTGACATAGTAAACTGCATAAAAAATACTTTGGCAGCAGGGTGCCAGACTACAAAGTCTGGATGTAGCTGGTGCTATAATTTTCTGGATAGTTATCTTGAGATCACAGGATAACTAACTTGTTATTTCAAGATAACAGCTTTCTTATATTGAGATAATAAGATAATTAACTCATTATCTCAAGATAACAACTTTTATCTTGAGATAACAAGATAACCCGTTATTTCGAGATAACAACTTTTGTTATCTCATGATAACAAGATAATTAACTTGTTGCTGCCTTTTAATGTAATTCAGCAGTTTTGTTACTTAGTTGACATCAGTATTTTACCACAAATGTCTTTTTCTGTAAATCAACAGAAGCGGTGTTAAAGTACAGTATATGTACTCCAGATAGGAGTCAATATGGCAAAAATATTGTATCACCATACTTCAAGACATATACACAATATTCATCATGATATTTAGTTTTTCTGAGATGTAATAAGTTGGAACAGACAAAATAGAACCTATAGTTCCACATATAAAAATACTATATTATATATTATATACTATAATAAACCTACAACTACAATATTTTTATTTAATATTTTACAAACTGTACTGCACTAAATCCAGTTAAACAGGCCAAATTATGTTCACTTTGTAATGAAACCTGTAGTTAGTCAGAGTTCTTTAATACTGCTGATATACACAAAATGCTTAGAAAAGCCTATTGTGACACAATTTAGCATGAAAACGATAAAATTTTGCCATATTGCTGAAACTGATTTTTGAATTTGAGTTGTTTGAGTGGTAGATGTGGAGAGGATTAAACGTTGTACTGTACATGTGAAGGGAGGGCCTGAATTTTTTTACAATGATCCCTGAGAATTTCACTCCAACCTTTGTTTCCACATTTCTACTGCACAATACATGGCAACCTGTTAGAATGTCTTTTACATAAAACAGTAAGAAAACCAGCTTTTATGATTCTAAAGAACAGAAAGACAGGTTGCAAAATCGTCATGTGAAAATTAATTCAAACATTTTGTTACATATTCGTACAAATACAAGTGGACTTCATAATATGGGCCCTTTAAATAGATTTGACCATAAGAGTGTTCTACAATGCTGCGTCCAAACTAGTCATTTTTGTTCAACTGCCAGAATGTATTTTACATGCAATGCAATAAATCTAATTTTTATTATTATTAATAATAAAACAAATCTAGAGAGCTTGATAAGCTTGTTAGTTATCAGTGCAGACCTCAGAGGCTCAGTGTTGTGGTTACAGTGTGCATCAGGTGAAAAGCTTGTTGTATATTATCACAAAAAAGAGTTATTTATTTACAATTATTTTATGTTTTACAACTCTAAAAATGTCTATTGTGAACACAGAATTTTGAGGGTGGGTGTTTATGATTCTTTTTTTTACTAAATGCTCATATTCTAAATAATCATATTTGCTCATTCTCCCTCTCTCTCTTTCTCTCTTTCTCCCTCTTTCCTCAAATCTGTCTCTTCGTTTTCTTTGTCTCTCTCTCTTTCTCCTCTATATCTTTCTTGATCTCTCTTTATCCTTCTCTGCCCTTTCTCTTACTTTCATTCTATTTCTTTTTCTTTCACTCTCTCTCTCTCCTCTCACTCACTGTCTGTCCTTCTTATTCATTCCTTTCTCTTTTACTCTTGTCTGTCTGTCTTCCTCTCTTTTACTCTCTTTCTCCTGTCTCTCTTTCTCTATCTTCTCTCACTCACTGTTTCTCCTCTTTATCTCTCTCTCGCTTTCTCTCTCTCTCTCACTCTCTCTCTCCTCTTTGTTACTCTTTCTCTCTCTCTCTCTCTCTCTCTCTCTCTCTCTCTCAGAGGAGAACTACTGGCGGGTGGCGTTTGATGTGTTGGTGGCGATAGTATGTGGTCTCTCTCTGGCCCTGTGTGGACGCTCCATACTCAGAGGAATCGCCCTGCAGCATGTACGACACAGAGGAGAGGGATTGAGGGAGAGGGGAAAAAGGAGAAAGAGAGAAAGAAAGGAGAGACATTGCTACACAGTGACATAGATACATTATTAATTATCACGGACTGCATGTCCTAAATTAGAGTTGTACACTGAGACAGTACAGCACTATTTGGACGAGGTGGGTTTTCTGTGGTGAGGTGGGGCAGTGAAATTTTACCACAGGACGTCTGTAATGTTAAAGACCAATTTTCATGGAACAAGAAATCTCTGTATAAATGACAGAGATGGGAGTGGCTACTCCGTGTGCTGTCTTTACTCCAGCAACAACTAGAAAATAACCTGAGGTTATTTCTGTGGCTTGTTTTTAGAAAGTAAAAGGCACTGGAACCTTTAATGATGCAAGAGAGCACAGTCTGTAAAAATGACTAAATGGAACATTCAGATGGGATTAAACTAACTTAGAAACAGCAGTAAAAATTACCCCACCTACTTGTGTGAAACTAATCCCACAGTAAGACAGTAATGGAGTAACTTCTCCGTATATTTATACAGGGATGTGTGGATTTATGGATGGACTTATGCAGTAATGGGTGAAAGGGAAGCTATAAGGGTGGATAAATGCAATGTAAGATGTTCTTTGTGATGTGCTGATGTCATGCAGGGGTGAATTTAGGCTTGGACTGCTTGACCAGCTTCCACTGGTTTGAGTTTGTGTTTGTGTCTGTGCAGGAGTTTGTGCGGTTCTTCAGGCAGTCTTTGGGTCGTGAGGTGTGTTGGGCTGACCGGCTGGAGTTCATTAATGGCTGGTATTTACTCCTCATCATCAGCGACATACTGACCATCATTGCTTCCTTCATCAAGATCGGAATTGAGACCAAGGTTTGGGATCTGCAGACATCACTACAGACAGACAAACACACACACACACACACACACACACACACACACACACACACACACAGCAAAGTTAACAGGACATGTCAGTTGAAAGCCTTTAGTAGGGCCTGAAGTTTCAGCATGAACCCGAATAAAGTCTGAGAACTTTCTTTCCAGCATCAAGTTTTGAGTCCAAACCCAACCTGGGCCTGATAAAATTTTGTCTGATTCCGACCCGTACTACATCAAATTTTGTGTCTGAAACTGACCTGAGCCAAACAAAATTTAGTCCGAAACTGGCCAATCTTCACAGAAATAATGGCTAATAAAACCTGTTATTTATAATTTTATAGCTGGTTAAAGGGGCCCGTATCCTAGCCCGAGATCTACTTATAACATTTACCAGAACCAGTCATAATTCATTTTTAGATTAGTATTTTCTGACCTCTCTGTATCCATAAGAACTAAACAGTCTGCTTTTGTTACTGTGCCTTTAAGAGTGATAGATGTAAAAACCTCTATTCTGATTGGCTGCCCTGTATGGTGCTTTGTTCAGAAATCAGTCTGGGCTGAAGCATTCCTTATAACTTTCAAGTGATTTGGCAGAGCTAAACTAGGTATAAAATAGGTGGATAAAAGTAAATGTTTGTTTTTGGTGACATCACACCACTGTTCAGTTTCCGTTTATGGATGGGGTAGCCCTACATAGTTGCATCTGGATGAAATGGACAAAAAGTTAATGAGTATTAATAATACAGCCATTTTTGCATTAGAGGTGAAACTCTGACGCATGGTGTAGGCTGTTTTAGCACGCTTTTAATCTGTATATTGTAGACTACATTTGCAGTTTAACCAGCATAGTTAAAGACACATTTCTTACATGAAGACGTTTCAACATTTCTGCATAATGCAATCATGTAAATAAACTCATTCAGATTGGTTTGATGTGAAATAGCACATTGTAGGGAAACCAACTCTGATTTTCTTTACAGTGGTGGTGAAATGAACCAGGGGTTGCAGTATCTGCAATATAACACAAATGTAGCAATTTTATTTTTATCTTTACTGACCAGAGAACCTACATGTGTCTTGTGTGTAAGTTCTGTGGTTTCATGGTAGACAGGCTCATAGGCTCAGAGTCTTCACTACACACACATACACAAACAGCGTAGAGTTTAAGTCACTTACAGCAAGGATTACATCAGAAGGTAAAACACATCTTCAAGAAATGTACTAATTTCTTCCACACTGTACGATACTGTTTAATGTGCTTTAGCTTGCCACATTAGGAAGTCCTCTCTCTGGGTCTGCTTCCCCAGACGTTGTGTAACAGTAAGAGCATTATACGATGATAGACTGAATTTTTAAGGAACGTTTAAGGTGATGCTGATTAAAAGGCTTAAATGGTCTTTATTGTCATTCCACAAGATAAATTGTATACATACCATTGGAATGTCAATCTTCAGGCCCCATGGTGTAACACACAACAGCAGCACATTACACACGAGTCATAGTTGTTTTGCTCCACTGGTGGAACTGTGACAGTTGTGGGACTGTCTGATTGGTTGTTTGTGTTGTGCTGTAGAACCTGGCGTCCTATGATGTGTGTGGGATTCTGATGGGCACTTCAACTCTGCTGGTGTGGGTGGGAGTCATCCGCTACCTCAGCTTCTTCCAGAAGTACAATGTGAGTCTTACAGAATGAATGAATGAGTATATAAAGAATAAATGAATGAATTAAATTATGAATAATCAAGCGATCATAAACATACTCACATTAGTAGTGGATTTTTGAAAATTCTAGGATGTTGTTTAAGCCGTAAGCTTTAGCAATCTTGAATTATTATTGACATTTTGGTGCACATTCATATACAGCAATTACATAATTACTGATAGTTATATATTTTTGCGTATGTTTAATTTACATGACAGTATAACATTATAATATTTATATTCAATTGTATAAGTTATTAATTACAAAGCAATTACATAATAGACAGTTATGTGTTTTGGTATACATTTAATTTACACTGCAAAATATTTTCAATTGCATAATTACATAGTAATTACATGTTTTATAATTATGTAATGAATTACATTTACATTCATCTTACATTCTTCATCAACAGGCTTGAATGTACATTTCTGGCTTTATTCTGTTTATTTTGATGTCAAAGAAAAAGTATAAAGGATATTTTTTCTTCCCGCAAAACAAAACTGCATGCACACCACTACTGTCATCAAGTTTAAATTATAATAAAATCTCAATTCACTAAAGTAATATATATATATATATATATATATATATATATATATATATAGTGGTATAAAAGTTTACAATTTACACTTTCAACTGAATTTCTCTGCTTGTTTCATTGAGCTACAACTGAGCTTAATAATTCAAATAAAATTACAGCACATTTTTTTTCAGTGATTCATTGTTGCTGGTGATAACTACAACTTTGCAGGCTAACGCCATATGACATAGATATAGATGAAATAGATCAAAGCTCCTTTTCTGAATGAAAGCTTCAGATGTGCACAGGAGATTACCCAAGTGTTGCGTTAGAGGTGAAACTGAATGAGGTAAAACTTTAGGCAGAGCTGGTTAATTAGGAGTCTGATCATTTCCTGTTCCTCCCATTCTACCAAAACCAACTGCAAAATGCTAGAGTGCCCACAAGCAAGTCCTCAATGAATGGGAGTGAATTAAAAATGAAACGTTTCCATTCATTGAGGAACTTTCTTTAATTTTGGAAAGCAGCAGGTTGTATTGCATTAAAATCAATAAAAACTTATTAGTATCGTTCCGTTTTTATAGCAAACAGGTTTTGAGTAGTAATACACTAACATTACTGCTACTGAGTGCTTGTTCAGTGAGCTGATCCCTCCACTCCTAGGCTGAGTAAAGTGGTTCACACACATTGACATGCACTTTTAGAAAGTCTGAAACTAAGTCTGTATTATATCAGCAGTATTGAAATATTTGAAAACAAGTGCATTTTTCTATATAAAAGGATAAAAAATTTACAAACTACGAATTCACACAAAAGCTCCATGCAAACCCATTCATTTTAGGCTCTCTCAGGAGCGCCCTCTAGCGTCTGACCAACCCGGAACCAACCACATGTCTGAGTTGTTGGTGTCACTAGAAATTCTCTGCTTTTGGTACATAGCAGGCAGTTCACCAATGCTGGACATATCTATATGTTTTTATGTGTTGTTTGTGCAGATCCTGATAGTGACTCTGAGAGCAGCATTCCCTAACGTGATCCGCTTCTGCTGCTGCGCCGCTGCCATCTATATGGGCTACGTCTTCTGCGGCTGGATCGTGTTGGGACCCTACCATGCAAAAGTAACACATCCTAAAGATACTGATCCTCTTTACACTGGGACTGTACCATGCTAAAAAGTGATAGTTTATCAGAAAAACAAGTGCACACAACTGTCACATTATTACAAATGAAGTCAGTCTGCCAAAACATGTTTTCTGTCTGAGGTTTGTTCCTTTTTTTGCACTACAGCTACAAGGCTAATGTAGCTAACAAATAATGGAAGCTTATACTTGACCAATTAGCATAATGCAAACTGCAAACCATGTCCAAATGCTAACGGTATTTTCTGTTCAATTATTGAGATGTCAACAAAGTCGTTCAGAGCAGTTTGAAGTGAAATGCTTTGTTTTATTAATATGTTTTATATATATATATATATCTTTGTCGATAATATTGATGATTGTAAAATAGTAGAACTTGGAAGAAAAATGCTTTTTGGGTATTTTTGGGTTGGCTATTTTGCCTCACAGCACACTGCATGTACCCCTCCAACATTTATAAATTTAAAAAATACATTTTAGGCCAAAATCTTATCTCAGGACTATTGTAACACAGTGTCTCAGGCATCATGTAGCATATTCATAAATATTTCATATACAAACTTTCTGTTAGAGGCCTTAAACTCTTTTGACATGGGGTTCCTATCACCACCACTACGAACGATTCTGATTCAGTAAGTTTCTTTAGAACAGAGTTTTGCCCCATCAAACCCATTTTGAATGTCTTTATTTACATCTCAAAGGTTTAATTATGCAGAATTCGTTAAAGTTTGCTTGAAATTAATTTTATGTGATCTCAAATAGACATGCTTATGTGGTTTCTGACACTGTATGACAAACTGGTATATATAAAAATGGAGTGTTAATCTTTTTATTAAACTAAAATATTTATTACCACATATATTACTAACTCTTCTACTATCTTTCTCTCTCTGTGTCTCAGTTCCGCTCTCTGTCCACGGTGTCAGAGTGTCTGTTCTCTCTAATAAACGGAGACGACATGTTTGCCACATTCTCAGAGGTGGAGCGCAGTGGGACGTTGGTGTGGCTGTTCAGTCAGCTCTACCTCTACACTTTCATCTCTCTCTTCATCTACATGGTGCTGTCACTCTTCATCGCCCTCATCACCGGGGCCTACGACACCATCACAGTGAGTCAGAGGGGGAGGGGAGGAGGTCTGAGAGATAAGAATAATGATGTTTGTTTGATCTGACATCACCACAGGGAGCGTTGACTATTACAGTCATTGAGGGTGTAGAAGTGATGGATGATGCAAATGTATGAAACCATTAATTACATTGTCAGTAAGCCAGCAACCAGGAGGTTGTGGATTCAAATCCAAGGACTAACTGGGAATTTCCTTTGAACACTGTTCACAGCCCCAGCCAGCACTGCTCTGCTGGCAACTCTGTGCTGCTCCCAGATTGGTACTAACCTATCAGACCAACAAAGTGGCTTTGTAAAGCACTTCAATTTTCCAAACTGAAAAGGAAACCGCCAGATTTCTCAGCCCTCAGCCATCACAGAGACTTGTTCAATTCCATCATCATCACACCTGATTTCACATACTGAAGTACTAATTAAGCCCAATGAGGTACTAGATGATAACTACAATAATACTGGGCTTCCTGGAGAAGAGGTTTGGAAATGGTTAAATAAACCCATCGACATACTTAAAATCACTATTTATTGTAGCAGTATTATTTATTTTATTGGCCAAGTATGTTGACACACACAAGGAATTTGGTTCTAGCCGTTGGTGTCTCTCTGGAATTAAATGCAATATACTGACAATGTACAAATAATTTACAGACAGTACACAATATACAGTATACAAGCAATATGCAGATTATGCAGGGACAAGCAATATACATAAGTTATTATTTACTGTAATATTAGTGTGTATATATATATATATATATATATATATATATATATATATATATATATATATATATATATATATATATATATATATATTCAATGCATGTATGAAACCACAATTTGACAAGGTCTAAAAACAGATGTGTGTTTATCTGTGTGTGTGTATCCACAGCAACAAGCCCAGGAGCCACCACAGGTGTCAGATCTGCATCACTTCATTGCGCAGTGCACAGACACGCCCACTTCAGGAAAGTTCCACAGCCCAGAGAACACGTCCTGTTCTCCCTTCTGCTGCTTCAACTAGCGAGGAAAGAGTGTGTGTCTGTGTTTATGTGTGTGTGCATGCGCGTGTGAGAGAGAGAGAGAGAGCGAGTATGAGCAAAGGTATGTGTGTGAGTTTGTGCTGTAAGAGAGTTTGTCTTGTCTTTGTAAAGGTGTGTAAAGCACAGAGGGTAATTCAGCCCCCTGTTAGAGCTAAAGCTGTTTTACTTGGTTTCTTATGGATTTCAGTACTGGTTGAGTTTTGCCTTGTTGTCAGTTAAACTATGTGAACCAGTGCCTCCTAGTGGCAGTGACAGTTAGCTCAGCTCTGCACTCATGTCATCCTCAGTATTCATTGGGGGCATTTAGGGACTTTTATTTTATATAATATTTGGTTAAATTTTTGACTTTTACTTCTTTGTTATTTTAATTAATTTAATTATTTATGAAGAGAATGTGCTGAGCACTATTTGCACAAATATATTTTTATTCGTTTGTCTTTTTTTGATGTTGGTAAATGAAGTAGTCATACAATGTGTATCTGACAGCTAAATTACAATGAACTGCAAATTAATGAATGTCTGGTCAATATACAGTACTGTAAGAGTCAGAGACCACCTTTTCATTTATTTAATTTCCAGTCAAAACCACCACTGAATACAAGTTACTCAGTTTCAGTGTTAGAAAAAAAGCAGAAAAACATGTATTTAACAGAAAATTCCACAAAAGCCTCAAAGTATAGGCACAAAACTCAAGTATAATATCAAATCTGTCAGTATTTAATTTGTCCACTCTTTACTTTTGTGCACTCAACTGCCACTTTAACTCTTTCATCCTTCCAATCTCAAAACTAACCAGTTAAAGTTGTTCGCCAAAACTCACTGATATTATGTTCCCCTTCAAGCAGAAACTAACATTCACACAAGCAAATAAGTTGGAGTTTGAAAAATGATTAAAAGTTACAGAGAAACTTAGACTCCAAACAATCATGCAGGACCTGGTAAACCACCGCAACCGTCCCCATCAGATAAACTGCACTTACAGCTTTAATCTTTGAGAGAGAGGAGAAAATCAAGCTCCACTCTTACTTCAGATCTGAAAAACTCCACAGGTGTTTCTGTCCATCCTTCTACTGTGAGAAGTCAACTCAGCACTATGAGTCTGAAAGGATGTGTAGCTGTTGAGAAATCTTACTGAGAAAATGAGTACAAGAACACCGAAAGTGGAAATCTGAGATAGAGTAAGTCTGATGAGTCTGAATGGAATTATTTGGATCTCGAGGTGCAGTAAGTGCACCCAGTGTCTAAGACTGAACTTTGGAGGTGTGAAAAACTATCCCTGCAAAAAAGCAAGTCTTCTGAAAAGAATAGAAGCTGCAATAAAGGTAGAAGGTGGACACACTAAATAAATACATATAATACATACAAACACATTCAAATAAATGAAGGGTGGTCTCTGACTTTTGCACAGTGCTGTAGTCTGTAAACAGGACATTCATTTTTAGATTACAGCAACCAAGCACACAAGAAAAAGCTCAAGCTTCTTTCTGACCTTCAACTAAATATCACACACAAATCTCCGGTAGCCTTCTTCATGTCTTTCTCTCCGCTCTGTTGCTTCTTGTCTTTCATCTCCTCCCTTCCTGGTGTGTGTGAAGGAATAGCGTAGCCTGCAGCTTTACTGAAGCATCAATATTTATGGGAGCTCTTGTGGTGTCCAGGGAGCTGACCTTGTGTTTTTAATGGAGTTGGAGCAGTTGGAGCTTCTTTTCTGACCATGCTGGCCTTTCATCCACACTGTCCCTGCAGAGAGAGAGGAAAGGAGGGTGGAGAGAAGGAAAGGGGGAGTGATAGTGGGAGAGGAGGTAAGAGAGAAAAGGAGGAGAGAGAGAAAAAGACAAAGTAGTTAGTCGGGTTTAGGCCTAAACGATACTGTGGACGAAGTCACATCGCAATATTTAAAATATTTTAGTTTCTACAATAAATATTGTGATATTTGAAAAAATCAGAAACTAGTCAAAATGCTTTGATGAACTGTCCCCAATGGCAATAATTAGCTGTTTTAGCCATGGAAATTGTGTTTTTCTGCATGATGTGGATGAAATGCTGTCTCGCAAATAGGGCTGCTTAGGGGGGGAATTCCACCGATTTTTCAGAATTTCTGCATAATTCAGTCGTTGAGATGTAAACATTCATTCAGAGTGGTTTGGTATGAAATGAATAATTGTAGACAAACTTACTGACTTAGATATCTTCACAATGGTGGTGATGGGAACCAGGGGTCCTACAATTCAAATGCAAATAGCGCTATTTTATTTACTGTCCAAAATGACCCTGTGTCTTTTTGTATGTATTGTTGATTATGGAGAAAAAGTAGTAAATCTGGAAAAAAAAAATACTATTCTGCATCCTTCTCAAAAATGTTGTAAAACAATGTCTCAGGCATCAATGTTTTAAATTTGGTGGAATTTCCCTTTACGTGATCTCAAACAGACTTGCTTATGTGGTTTCCGACACTGTATGACATACTGGTATCTATAAAAATGCATAGTTCTGACACTTCTCAGTTCTGACTCTTGAGTTTCTTAAGGATGGAGCATTTCACATCAAACCACTCTGTTTACATTTTAACAGTGTCAATATACAGAAATTTTGAAAAAAAAATGATGTAACTCTTTTTAATACATACCTTGTTAATTGTTCGGTTATGCTGATATTGCAGAAGGCAATATGCTGTTGCGATTGCAATATGCAAATATGGCCTCCAACTAATTACAGTAGACATTCTAGATGTGTTATTGCATTATGTTTTATTTTTTTTATTTTACATGTACTTTTATTCCTTTTTAACAGTCACAACATTAATGAAAGCAACAAAAACATGTCCAGTATTCACAATAGGGCTCCCACTTTGTTTGGATAGCCCCCTAAGATTATCCACAAATGTTCTAATTATTAACAGACTGATGAAACTCTCAACAGTGATAGAGTTAAACTTAGGACTAGCACTATGGTTTGTTTAGGACCAGGTTTTGGGTTAAAATTAAGTTTTGGATTGAGGTTAGGTTCAGAGTGACTGTTTAAATGAAGTATCACATAGGTACCGTCTGACCTTCTGTTTACATAGACAATTAAATGTAGTACAATACAGTTTAAAAACAAACTGTTCATAAAAAAAAGCCACAGGCTTCTCTTTAACCATGTCATGTCAAAAGTTCACTAATGCTCTTTTATCTGTAATCAGGCATATTGGAGTATACAATGTAGTATTTTGTCCACATCATACAGCACTAGCAGCTACTGAGGGTCATTATCCTTGACACTGTTTTGCTGCTCCCTTGTGTCTTGTGTTTGCTTCTACTCTCTCACCCAGAACTGAAAGATAAAAAGGGACAAAAGGGGGCTTTTGTGCGAGGGGTGTTGTAGCCGGCGGAGTTATCTTGCTCTTTTGAGGATTTTGCCTATAGCGCCCAGTCGATAGTGCAGCTTCTGTACTCGGATGCCTTAAAGATTTATTGTGCGTCATTCGCGAGTTTGGCTGGGCACCCGTAATGCGCTTTGTTTTAATTGAAAAGCCTCACGAAGGGAGATTTATGAAAGGACTGTGCTCTATAAAGGGGTGGTTCTCAGTGCCAGTGCTAGAGGGCTGCAGGATTGCATAGTTTTTAGTGATTCCTCTGTTTGAACATGCCTGATTTAACTCATCAAATAGTTATCAAACCCTTCAGGAAGGTGGATAATGTGTTGGAGCAGGGGACGCACTGATTTCTGGGTTTTCCTGGACTGATTGAACTAGTTTGGAGATATCCAGCTTTAGCTTTTTGGAGGGCATTAGTCCAGCACAGAATATTTTTTGTCCAAATGCTGTTCACAGGTTTTGTATGTTTGTTAAAGCAGAAAAATTGATGGACAGAGGTGGACATCCCTGGATAGGAGGTGCTTGGGTGCATAGGAATATCTCCACATTGACCAGTACTTTGAATGATGCACTGCAAACAAGTCAGTTTTGTGAAACATGCTGTAGATAACATTTTAAGCAGTTTTCAACAAGTTTTTGTTTTTGGTCAGATGCACAGTACACTGTAACAAAATATCCTAAACTTCTGGCTTTTTATTAGTTTTAAGGGGAATTTCACTTAATTTTTATTTCTGCATTCTTTTAGATTTTTGCATTATTCAGTAATTGGGATGTAAATGAAATCATGCAGGGTAGTTTGATGTTAAATGGTTCATTGTGAAGAAACTTGCTGATTTCTTTACAGTGGTGATGATAGGAAGAAGAACAAATATAGCCATTTTATTTACTATACAAAATGAGCAGTAAGCTACATGTGTCTGTTTTTTTATCATTTATTAATACTAATAGTGGTAAAATAGTGGAAAATCTGGAAAACAATTTCTTTGGTTACTGTTTTGCCTTACACTATTCTGCATGTTAATCTCTGTCGTAAAAGGCTTTTAAAATACATGTTTTAGGCCCAACATTATTGTAAAACCAGTTTTTGGGACGCTACTGATGTCTGGTTCCTATCACCACCACTGTAAGTAAATCTAACTCAGTTTCTCTAGAAGGGTGCATTTAACACCAAACCACTCTGAATGACTGTGTTTACATCTTAACCATTTAATTATGCAGAAAATCTGAAAAATCAGTAGAATTCCCCTTTAAGAAATTGTTCAGTAACTGCTATCAATTATTCAAAGAGATACTCTGTACATACTGTAGAGTACTGTAATGTAACACGACAGCCAGGAGTCATGTATATGCTTTATGTTGTGGTTTTGTTGAAGGACACGGTGCGTATCTGAAGCGTAATCCAAGTTTATACACAGCAACTCTGAAGTTGTCACGATACTATGGGAGATCTAAGCTGCTACAGCTTCATCTAGGGATCTGGAGGTAGTGAGAACGAAGTGATTGTAGTTTTTTCTCTTTCTCTTTTTCAGTCTTTTGAAGTGTAAATTCCACTGCAGATGCGACAAGGCTTTTCTGAAGGGAGGGGTGGGTGGAGGGTGAGATGAGGAGCTGTTTGGAGCTTTGGAAGGGAACGGCCTGCCTGTATCTGTGCAGTGATGAAGGGAGATAAAAGAGAAAGGAATGTAGTTGGCGAGGCTGAAAATAAAAGAGCTGCACTGAGGTGACAACTGATACCTACCCAAAAACACGCTCTCCAGCTATATGACAAATGCATGAGATGATGTACCTGATCATCCTGGGGCAGTTTGTAATGAATTTGCAATGATACGTCCAGAAAGTCACTGGTGTAATAAAGCCTTGTATCTCTGAGAAAAAATGTGTGTGTGTGTGTGTGTGTGTGTATATATATATATATATATATATATATATATATATATATATATATATATATATATATATATATATAAAACTGTATGTGTGCATGTGTGTGTACCCTTTGTTCTGATTGGCTGCACTGTATTGTAAGGAGAAACACTACTTCAGCATGAATGGGCAGAGCTAAACTGTCATTGGCTGAATAGGCAGGTATATGTAAATGTGTTGGTTGTCATGACATCATAAAAAACAAGAAGTAGACTGGTTTTGTGGCTTGGTTTCCATATATGAACTATATGGAAAGGGTTGTGTTTTAAAAATGTTACCATGTTTACACGTTATGTCAAACATTTATTCCAAATAAATGAGGAAAATCTTTTTTTTTCCTGTTATAGGCTGTTTAGTGTACACTTATGATATTTATTTAGGTAATTTTGGACCATTTCTATTGGACCATTCATCCTGAAATATTGACCCAATATAAAGGGCAGCTGGTGTGTGTTCACATGGTATAATAAAAAAAAACCTGCAGAAATAGGAGATACAAGGTTTTGATATGACAGTGGCATCTGCATTTTTTGTGTTAGTGTGTTAATGAATTTTGCTATTGAGCCAATGTAAAGGATTCTTATTTGAAGTGTCATTCTTTGTGAATTAAGGGATCTTCCAGTAGAACCCAATTACCTTATACTTATGTTAATAATTTATTTTAATATTTTAATTAACATATTTTAATGTATTGTTAGTCTTTTTAAAGGTCCTATATCAATATTTTCTTCTGTTTTTTTTATGTGTGGTTTTATGTGTGAAACAACATCCCTTAG